TTGGCAGTACTAAAAAGAAGGAAGGCGGCTAAAAAAGCTTTCCTAGAGGAGTGGATCTAAAAAAGATGCTCGCCGTGCCTGGATAGAGTAAACTGGAAAACGGAGAGGGGTACGGCAACACTCCCTTGAGTTAAAAAGATAGCTGGACAGGCTGGTACATCTGCGTCGGGACTGGATCAAAAAATGATGCCGGCGGGGCGGAGTAGTAGAATGAGTAAAAATTAAAGAATCCCCGTCAAACAGAACCAGCAACAGACTTGTAGATTTTAAAGATCTTTATATGAATCAACGTTTCGGGTAATACCATTTATCAAGAATGATTTTTTATAAATCCTGTGACACCTTATATACAAACAAAAGAGATGACGTCACAGGATTTTTAAATTTATGTACAATGATTGGTTAAACAGTAAAGGATTGTTAAAATTAAGGATTGTTCAAATTATGGATTGTTAAAGATAAGGATCGTTAAATTTATTTGTATGTACAAAATGATTTTTAAAATAATAAATTAAAGATAATAAAATTATTAGAGTAAATTAAATAGTGATTTAGGTTTAATTTTGACAGTAAAAATTAGGTGAATTATCGCATATTTAAATAAAATAATTGTCATTAATTTCTTCTAAGATAGCGGTGGCGGTGGCTGTTTCTTCTTTATTGGTGTTGTTGACGGGAACTGGGCTGGTACTTTCTGGATTCTCTTCTTTATATGGATGAGTAATCATTTGATTGTTTTCAACTTTTAGTTCATATTTAAAGCCGTTTACGTAAATAAATTTTGGTCTTGCTTCAAAGGGTCGAATCCACGTTGATGGTGGTAAAATTGGTATTGATTGTGCTTGATTTCTTTCAGCGTTATCGTTTTTCTTGATGGTTGAACTTGCGGCTTTTTCGGTTTTCTTATTGACAGAGTTGTCCACTGGTGCGGTTGACTTTTGGTATGTCATCCCTTCTCTTCTTTTCTTTTTGATGGTTGTAATTTTATGCACATTTCTAATGTGTTTTTTACTATTACTTCCGTTTAAAAATGTTTTACTGCAGAACGGACATTCGAATCCCATCTTCGGTTTTTCTTAAGTTTGTTCGTTCAAACCTCCAGGAGCTTGTGTTGCTAAGAGCTTGATAATCGATTCTTCGTGACGTAATCTGACGTTGGTGTTACGTGACGATTTAGCGATAATGTTTGGCTACGGGGGTGTCATTAAATTTTCGGATATCGTTGGTATGTCCGTAAAAACGGATTTTTAGAGAGTTGCCGGACTGCCCGACATATTGGATTTGGCAGTTGATACATGTTATTAGATAAATAATAAATTTAGTGTTACAATGAATCAAGATTGTTGTTAATTTTGTAGGTTTTGCCGTTGTAACTTGATTTTACTTTGGTGGATTCTAATAGAAGTTTGCAACAAATGCAGTTTCTTTTGCATTTGTAGCAGCCTCGTGGTTTGTTGATGTCTGTGTTGGGTATATCGGATTTGATGAGTAGATCTCTCAAATTTTGATTTCTTTTGTAGCATATTCTAATTTGACAGTTTTGAAGAAATTCAGTGTCTCCATGGTTTTCTAATAGTTTTTGGTTGGTGGTGATGATCGATTTCAGGTTGGTTTTTGGTAGAAATTTGGTGGTGTAAGTGAGGATATTGGTTGAAAGATCAATAGTTTTGGAGGGATTGGATAGAGGTGCCTTGAGCGCTTTGGTGATCCCTTGATGTATGACGTTGTTAGGATAACCTCTACAGTTCAGTCGTTGCTTCAGCAGTGTGAGAGATTTCTTCAGTTCTTCTGATGTGCTGGATATTCTTATTATACGGAGTGCCTGATTGAAGGGTAGATTTTTGAGGGTGTGGGTAGGATGACAGCTAGTGTAGTTGAGGTAGAAAAAAGAATCGGCGGGTTTGCAATATAGTTTGCTACACAATTATTATGTCTGATCAGGTACATAATATTTTACTAATTTACACACACACCCAAAATAAAAAAAAAAGATTTTAAGATAAAACACAAGCCACTTTTAAAGAAAGAGTATGTACATGTAAGTTTTTTTTAGACGTATCTCTAATGATTTTTATAAATTCAGTCTTTATTATTTGATGATTTATTTGGACTAAAAACATATTCAAACTTTATTTGCTTCAAAACATTGTATTCAGGAGGAAATACACCAAGCTATAAAAAAAAATCTAAAGAATCCATGTCAAGCTGGGTAAGAATTCCTTGCATATAAAAGATGATATCTTATTTACGCTATATATCGAAGCCTAGGTAAAATCTCAGATTATCATCTGCCCACATATTTTTCAGCAGTTTAGTTTTAGAATATACTGTACATTTTAGTCTCTCAATTTTACCACGTCTGCTAGTCATCATGTTTATCAACATACATTAAGCGCTCCCTGTTGAAAAGAGGTCAGACAATCTGCATGTGCAACCTTTGTCGTCACTCGAGCAGACAGCCATAATTGTCAAGCTAACATTTAGTGAGTGCACGCTCCATGGGTTGTTTTAGGGAAATTAGGGAATCCAGTATTTTTCAAGTAATATTGAGTGTCTCTACCTTATACCAAAATTGCCATACTTTTATTGGAAATAACCACCTGATAAATACTTTTGTTGGAATGCATTTTTAATAGATTAGAATTCATAAATATGTCACTTGATTGATAAAAATATGACTATATTATCAATTAATTAGAGACAACATTTCAATGTAATGTTATAAACAGCATTTAAAAAAACATATCTTTACTCTTATCACAAAATTATCAAGTATACAACTTCTGCATAAACAACTGGTTTAGTGGTATAATTTATTGTTTAATGACCTACTTGCATTCTAAACAGCTGACATAAATGTACCATACTGTACAGTATTACTTACATTACACTCTTGATACTTGACCTATGATCCCTACATATTGACCTTGACCTTGGTACAGTGTGAAGTGTGTGTGCAGTAGTGGATTAAACTGTGCTGTATAGTGACTAGATGTGAAGGTGTATTTAGATGGAAGAGTTTGAGGAGGATAATGATTGCAATGTTTATAGTTGGAATGAATTAGACAATGAGCCATCTTGTGAAGATAGTTATGTTTATTTGACAACAGGTAGTCCATACTGACAAGTTTTAGCATTGACAATCTGCTTATCACAACATGAACATGTGTGATGTGTCGCATTATGGTTGAAGCGTCACAGTTTCTGAGTTTGTAAACCATAAACTTATATTAATAATATGTTATGACAATACTTCTGGTAATTACCTGTAGGTAAATGGGAAAAAATTAGCACTAACAGAACTGGCATATTGTCTCTTGTTACTAAGAGGATATTTATCATCTGGATGTTGGCCTATTCCAAAAATCTGTTTGCATTACAAAATGAAATGAAATATGAAACAAGTTCTAAAAGGGTCAACAATAAATGTTTGGTTTTTTTTTTTAGTTTACATTTGTAATTGTCTTATGCTCCTGATTCAATACATTGAAGTTTAATAGATTCAGCTTAGACAAAATTATTGTTGGCACTGCCAAAATAATTTATAGCCATGTGAATTTCGGGACTTTGTTCATGATGTGCACAAAATGATTATTGCAAGCCAAAATGATAGTGCAATGCAGCCATAAATGTATTTGAAAGAAATCCCCAGTTAGTTTTATAGGCTATAAATCTCAATAGGCTACAGGAAATAATTGTTCGATGATAAGTCACTAAGTGACAACTATTTAACACAGATCCTTACATGTATATTTTGTTCGTATAAATTTTCCCATTGTTGGACAAGAAAGTATCTCTGAATTTTCCATCAAGGTTCCCCTTGTTTGAATTCAATATCTCTAGGGCAGGATTTCCCTGTCTTCATTAGTTTTGTTGGTTCTGAACAGCAAGTTGTTAAACACCAAAATGAAATAAATGACTGGAAGCATTATCATTAACTGAAGGAAAGACAACTATGGTAAAGTCTGAAAACAACAGAGGGAGAAATGAAATGAAATGGGGTTTAACTGGGCTAATGAAGATGGGCATACGCCATACAGTGTGCTATGAGGAAAATTTTGCCCGGACAGCAGCACTACGGACTACTCTTATATCGAATTCCAACTGTCAAGGGTTTTTTTACATGCATGCCAATGTGCACACAGGACCTGTTTTCAATCCCATCCAAAGGACTTTACATTGTCCCATACCAGGACCTCTGGCCAGCTCCACTGACATGGGGGAACCACACCAGAAAATTTGTATGAACTTTCTCGGCCAACACTATGATTGAACATGTGATTCCTATTTCACTGATCACTAACTGGATTTTTTTTTTGGGGGGACTACTATTTAATGACGAATGAAAATATTGTTATATCAAAGTTTATGTTGTGATGATACTTCATAACATCTATATTGCGATATGGTATATTACATGTAATATCAGCTGATAGATTGATTTTGACATTCCCAATCTGATTAAAATACATATCTATATTTCGTTTCATTTTTTTTTATACTTTTGATGGCCTCTACTACATTAAGATCTGACCGGTTGTAGTGGAAGGTTGCATCAGAGGTCATACAAGCAACTTTTGACCCTATGATGTCAGACATTTGATTAACCAATTAGCGTTGATGTTTCTAGTGGGTTACCCACAGTGCCATGTATCCATGCCAAAAACTCGCTGTAACAGACCGTTTCATTGGCTAATCCTTCACATCATCCAGAAAGCGAATTATATAATAACTCTTCCAGATCCTGGTGTAGTAAAACGAAATTTGAACTATAAAAAAAATATGAAACAGGATCTGTGTTTTATTCAGATTGTGACATTCCAAGAAATTGTCCATTTCAAAGTTACTATGATCCTGTCTGTATCTTATTCTGTAAATTCAGTCTTTATTATTATTATGGTGTATTAATATCAGCTTATCAATATTAGAAATTGTCAATTTAGTGATCCTCTTGGAAATCTTTTTAATACAGTTCTATGTTATTTTAATTTTATTCATAGATGCCAACAAATGTTTTTCTGATGAATCTCGTCTGTCGAAATTGATGAGAAAAGTTATCATAAATAATGATAAAGAAAGAAGATCAATATCAGCCAGAAATCTCAAAGAATTTTTACATACAGGAGAAGGGCATAGAGTATGTTAAACTCATATTAATTAATTATGAATTTACACAATTTTAACATTAGTTTGATAGAAAATACAATGTAAAAAAATGCAACAGTAAACCTGTGTAAGCAGTTAACCTGTATAACATTGAAGTAATTTATACATAGATGATTGTTTACAAAATAGGGTATTTTTCAGATACGGGTAGACTAGGTCAGTTTGATGAATGTTGATTTTCCAAATCTTTCTTATAAATTTGTGTTATTTTATGTTTGTTTATAGGCGACAACCAAAACAAGTGATGACATTCTTGGTGCCCTACATTCAATATTCTTTGAAAGGTGGGTGAGGTTATGTATAGTTTTAAGATACTGATTTATTAAAAATATGTCTTCCTTACACTATGTATTATATTTTTTTTTGTCTTCAATAAATGTTTTTGGCTAAAGATTTTATAATATTCTATTTGCAGATCATATAGAGATGTTAAAACTGAGGTTGCTCTGTGTATCGGTGTGGTGGGGAGTACCATGGGACCAGACATGCAAGGGTAAGAATTGGGGATACAAAAATCCCATAACAATCTATCATATAACATGTTAATTAATAAATCATTGTCAGATTAGTCAATAGACAGTAACTATACTTTATTTAGTCTATTGATTTATTTGTTCTGATAAAATCTCTATGCCTCAATTCTTCATTTCCTTTTTTACTTGGCTTTTAAGTTGTAATTGTTTTAAAATGTTTATAGTCAACTCTGATGAACATAATTTATAGAATTTAATTCTATTTTAAAGAAATGATTATCCTAATCCTGATTATTCTCTGAAGCCGGTTTTCGTTTGACTAGTCACAACTTTCTAAACTGCAGTTATGTCTGTTACAATCATGTCAGTATGTTTGATGTGGTGCAGTGTCAGTATGTTTGCTGTGGTGCAGTTACATACAGACAGTTTCCCAGTACCTACTGAAATCTGTGACTGTAGTTTAAAACTGATTAAATTAAGATAGAGATTGATACTTCGCCCATACCACAAACATCTAGCGTTTTAGAATGCCTATTATTACAGATATTTTGATTGGTTGTTTAATCAAATGGAGAGTGTACAAGAAGATGAAATCAAATCACTGTATCTACTTGCTCTGTTAGAGGTAATCTTGTGTTATACTATTGATATCATTGATTGTTTAAATTTAACTGTAAAATCAGAAAGACATACAATTAGTTAAATTTGTAAAAGTACAGTGATAAAGATGTGGAAACTTGTACGTAGATATATAATATTATATAGCAGTATTTACTGTAATTTTTAGTTTGACTGACTAAAATGAACAAAACATTACAGCCAATGCAGAATATATGCTTTCCAGTTTTTGATGATTTTGTACTGATGGGTATTTCCCTCATCTTTCATGAAAAAAAACCTCAATGAGACAGTAAATATTATTTTGTTTTATCTGGTTCAATTCATAGTATACAAAATGACTGATTTTTAATATATGTGCTTCCTTGTAATTGCAGACATTGAAATGTGATGAAAAGAAACATACCGCTGCTGATCTCATTGGAGTGAGTACATTAATGTCGGTCAAGAAGTAACAATGATATTTTGGGAAATACATAAAGAATGAATGAAATTAGCTTTTGCATGATCCTATTATGAATTTATACTATTCCATTTTTCATATTGTAAATTATTTACCAAAATGTAATATGTATTTTGCAGTATGTTATGGAGAGAATCTGGACGTTATTAGAGAATGCTGATACACCAGAATTATTACGATCTGTTGTTGATGTTATATTATATGTAGCTAAAGTACATCCTCATGTCTTTAGTCTTCACTTTAGGGTAATAATAATAATAATATTAATTGACAGGTGGTGGTAGTCTTTAGTACTCATATAAATGTTTAACAAGTCGAAAACAAATAGCTTTTCAAGGCTATTTAAACTGATTTGATTTCTTTTTTGTCTCATGAAAAACTTACTGCTATTGATTAGTGAAATAAACTAATATTCAAATATACAATCCGAAAACTAATATCATTTCTGTGAAAATATATTGATTTGGCAGAGATTTAGAGTATTTAAAATCAAAAAATGCACTGAAAATGGTCTAAATATTAGAATATATACAAAAAGTAAAACCCAGCATTTCATGTGACTAGTACTGTTATTATTAAGTATGTCTTAAACTTTATATTTTGTATTTATATAGGGATGCAGTATCATATTCTTATGATATCTTATTTTGTTATTTCCATTAAAGGATACAGTAGATATATTAGTTGGTTGGCATATTGATTCTACACAGAAAGAGAGTTTAATTAGCTATACATCTGAGGCTCTGGTTAGTTTCCGTAAATTCTGGATGTCAGATTTATCTTTCTCTGTCACATTATTAGGACAATTTCTGGAGGACATGGAAGCTTATTCTGAAGTAAGTTGACCTGATGATTATTTTTTTTCTTATTCTAATTAAAAATTTAGCTTCTTGTAATGAAATCATTGGCAAGGACTGGTTCAGTGTTTTGTCGAGGCAGTTCAGGAAGATTGAATACCTTCCAGAACGTAAAATAACTAACATACCTGATCAAGCACTCGCACTATATTCAAATAGTGGTGTTGCTATACTTTTTTCTCTGTGTATATAGATTGTGAAACAATTTAGATCTATTTTGTTATACAGGATTTGGTATTGTGTATTGGAGGACAGGGATCAATAGAAGATGAATTACCTACAGCTGATGAATGTGTGACTAAGATATCATCCTTATTACGTGTATTTACAACTGTATTGAACTGTCTAGGTGATAGTTTTACTGTAAATAAAGGTGGTCGAATGTCATTAGAGGAGGTGGTTAGCGTAAGTATCTTACAAAATGACTATTTTTGGGGTGTAAAATGGAAACAGGTTGTGTCAGGCTAATAAATTTGATTTGTTGCAAGCTATGTTTAATGATAGAAAAAAGGTAGATTTTCTTGGATGATGTAACTTGAAGCTACATCTGTGTGTAGTGTGATCAAAACTATTTTATATTTTTAGATTCAAGAGAGAGTTATTAGAAGTATTGAAAGTGTGGCTAAATCACTTTATTCTGAATGTGTTCTAATAGCTGGTAAGATTTAAATGATTCATTAAAAATAGTAAAACATAGTTGGTAGATTATTTATAAGTCTTTGTTCATCTTTTGAGATAATTAATGCTTTGCAAACAAAATATTGTGAAAGTTGAATCTCAGAAAGGAATATCAGTTCAAAAATGGTTCAGTTCTTTTTAGTATTTAATTACATGTGATAAATTCAAAATTTGTCAACATTAATCATTCTCTGCAGACAATATAAATGGGATATGGTCAAAACACACAACTTATAATCTTTGCTAAAATCTCTAGATGGTAGGGTGACCCACCATAAATAAATATCTCCAAATATCTCGACAATTATGCCACAATTATATATTTGCCAAGCCTCAAATCAGTTTCACACAATTATAGTCACTAAATAAACGATCATGTTGTACCTAATAAGCTATGACCATTAATCATCTATAAATAATAGACTGAAAACTGGTTCCATGTGTCCTCCATAACATCCAGACACTTTTGAGTAAAAGATAGGTTACGTGCCCTTGTTTTGAAATTAGTCCCGCTTAACCAGTCTATCGACCATTCTACGTCTGATTGACAGGTCGGGATAATCAAGACTACTTTTTTACGAAACGTAACAGAAAGCTAGAACAAGAAATTGAATTTAGAAATAAGCACGTTGGCTAGCTCAACAATTGTTTTAAGAAGCTTGTAAAAGTAAAATGAAACTACTGCTAGTATCATGTTCCTGTCTAACCCGAGTGTTTCAGAGATATTATTTGTACTAAACCAAAAGATGCCGCTCTTAACGGTACAGTTAATGATAAAGAGATTTAAAAAATGAAACAAACGTAATTTCTGAATCTGCTGTAATAACCATGAAGCTTAATTTTACTGCTATTCAAAATCGTCAACAATAAATTTTTTACGGCTGTAATAGTTGATAGATTTGTAGAGAATTGCACGTGCCATGACTATTTATAGTATCATACTGTCAGAAAGTTGGTCTCGACACGGCGAATGTGCACGCTTCAGTGGTAGTCTCGAACTATCAGCAGTGGACTGTATTTCTGTAGAGTGCATGGGTCACCCTATAGATGGGCCTCTTTTGAAACCGAGCCCGTGGAATTATTTGGATTTTGTTTTCTTAAAGGCCATTATGGGAGATCAGATAAAAAGTTGACAGATCTCACTGTGATAGTTAAAAAATATGTAACGTAAATAGAATATGCTGAAAATTTCAGTCATATTGCTCCACTCTGAACCAAGATATTAGTTTTTGAATTTTAGGCAATCCTCGAAGTCTTGATTATCCATTTTTACGTTTAATTACAGGCCATAAAATTTCACGCGAACGATACCAAACGGTTACATGCGGTCGCACCAGATCAAAAATATGCGACCAATTTCCTGGTTACGCAAATAGAAATATCGGTTACGTTAACAAATTACAGCAGCTTAATTATTACTTATTAAACATGCATTATGCAAGAGTTAAATCTGCATATTGCAGGTCTTTCTTTAGCCCTGAAATGTTTTCTAAAGTATTAATTAGACATTAATTAACTGATCCAGGCCTTAATTAACTGTCGATGGCATCAGATTTCTCCGATATTAAATAGATTAGAATGGTTCGGCGATATTTTGATTTAATCAAATATGGAGGACCGAGACTTAGCTTCGATCAACCAGTACGGTGGTTGAAATTATTGCACACGTCTGTCAAACCTTCAAAGGCTAATATCTTCGCTTGCAATAGAGTAATTTGAATGAAATTTTCAAATTATTCATTTTACATCATCTACTTTCAAACTATTATAGCAAGAATGGCTAGTTCTTTATCTAAATCTTACATCTGTGGCGGAAAACAAATCTACATGTCCATAAACAGATTTATAAATCTATAAAAAACAATGTGAATAAATTAATTGAAGACGCTAAAATTAAATTTTACTCTGATAAAATAGAAAATGGCGAAAACAGACAAAAAGACCTGTATAAAGTTGTGAATTCCCTTTTGGACCATAATGCTGAGCGTACTATTCTCCCGGACAATGATAATGACACTGAACTAGCAAATTTATTCTCTGATTTCTTTCAAATAAAAATACAGAAAATACGAACTGAACTTGATGATTTAAATAAAACTGTTGACTTTAACGCTCATGATTTTGATAAGTTAGAAAATTCTGTTTATTTAAAAAAATTTAACTTGGTTAGTGAATCTTTTGTTTTAAAGCTAATTAAATCGTCTGCTCCTAAATCTTGTTCATTAGATCCTGTTCCGACTTCTGTTCTTAAGGACTGTCTAGACGAAGTTATTCCAGTTTTTACCAATATTATTAATTCTTGTATATCCTCCGCTACTATTCCCAACGTTTTCAAACGAGCTTATGTTACCCCTTTAATTAAAAAGTCTACACTGGATCCTAATGTTTTTAAAAATTACAGGCCTGTCTCTAACTTAAGTTTTATTTCTAAAATATTGGAGAAATGTATTGCTTCTCAGATAAAGGCCCATCTAGATGATAACTGTTTGTATGAACCATTTCAAAGTGCTTATAAACAATTTCACAGTACGGAAACAGCTTTAACCCGGGTTTCAAATGATATTTTAATGGAAATTGATAATAGAAAATGTACATTTTTAATTTTATTAGATTTATCTGCTGCTTTCGACACGGTGGACCCTTCCATTCTTCTACGTAGACTTCAATTTAAATTCGGTATTTGTGGCTCTGCATTAAATCTTTTAGAAAGCTATCTTGTGGGTAGAAAACAGTGTATTTTAGTTAATTGCAAATCGTCGTCTGAATCTGTTTTGTCATCTGGGGTTCCCCAAGGTTCTGTTCTTGGTCCGATTTTATTTACCCTCTATACGTCACCATTAGGCGATATTGTCAGAAAATATGGTCTCAGCTTTCATTTGTATGCCGATGATACTCAATTATATATTTCATTTACACCTGATTGTCCATCTTCTTTCAATTTATCAAAATTGCAACTTGAGAACTGTATTAGTGAAATTACAAAATGGATGTCAAAGAACTTTCTAAAATTGAATGATGATAAAACCGAATATTTGTTATTAGGCTCAAAGCATCAATTAAGTAAATCTGCACATGATAACCCCCCTGTTGTAATTGGTAATTGTGATGTATTTTCATCTTTTTCTGCTCGTAATATTGGCGCAATCTTTGATAGTTTTATGCTTATGGGAGCTCAAGTAAATAATATTTGTAAATTGTGCTATTTTAATATCAGAAATATAGGTAAAATACGTAAATGTGTAACTGTAGAGGCCTGAATTATTTTACAAAAAATGTATTCCAATCCACTAAAGATCGCAGGCTAGCGATGCCATCTAGAGTTGATTATGGTCTGGATAAGTTAATTAATGTCTAATTAATAATTTACTAATTAGATAACATTTCAGGCCTAAAGAAAGACTTGCAATAGGCAGATTTAGCTCTTGTTGAATAATCAATATGAGTATATTTTAGCATAGATTAAGCTGTGAAAAACCAGATAGAAATTATGATCAGCAGTTTCAAGGGTTAGACTGAATTATATCAACATGCGTGTACATGTTTACTTGAAATGTATTTATAGTTGAACTTGCGGAATAGAGCAATTCCAGAGGGTGGGGCGATTTCCCAATACTACCCAATACCACTAAATACCAACCCAATACCACCTCAATATCACCACATACTACCCAATACTACAACATAATGATGCAAAATAGAGATATCATTTGATTTTTTTCAAAAATAGAGAGTTATATCGCGGGAAATGTGCTTTAAGGTATTTCTACGGCCAATGGCTGTCGTAATTTTATTGATTTTTTTCCGAAATTTACAACAGGAATTTTTGGCCATCGATGTTATAGTTACCAACAGCCATTCCCATGTTTACGACAGCAATGGCCGCGATGGCTTTCGTGAATTTTGAGCCCTGTAGTATTGAAATAGTTTTCATAATGCGCAACTCATTTCACTTCTAATTAACAAATTAGGACACCAACATAATGTTAACAGGTAACTGCCAGTCACTGTTAGTTTGAACTTTAATAACTTGTCCTTTACTTGTATAATAAAAGGATAGAAGAAATGAATATATTTTTTTTTTTTTTAGCCAATAGTTGTTTAGAAGTTCTGATGAATCAGATCCAGTCTGGTGGTGGAACATCCAGTGATTCTTTATTAAGCTATGTTATATCACTAATATATGTAGATAAACCAGTCAATAAACAGTTCTTAGTCTCAATGTTATCATTTGTAAGAAAGGTCAGTTATATTTGAGTTGTCATTTATTTGACTGTCATATTCATTTTAAATCATCCAAGCCTCATTGTGACTGAAGGCTAAGATTCATTTTACTTCTTTAAATTGAGTAAAAATTAGTGCTCCTACGACTAGTCGGATAGCCGTAAACGGTTAGAACTGGACGGTTAAACGGTTTGAATTCAACGGTACGGTTATTCGGAGATGTCCCCCATTACATAGAGTTGTGTCTGATTATATTCCTCTTTATAACAAAACTTGCCCGTTGTAATTTTGTATTTGATGTTTGAAAATTTTAGAATGTAACAGTCGTCCAACGATGTCGACTGCTAAACAATGATACTATTAATAGCACTCGTCGTGGTCATACGGCAAAGTCAACGGACCTTGTTCGTCTTTTGCTATTGTTAATCCAATCTAAATACTTCTCGGCATTTCTAACTATATTCTACCTTGTTTATTATTTACTTCAAAACGTAACCACCATTCAAAATATAATCATAAAGGCTAGAAAATGACATTATACTAGATTCGTTACGGCATTGAACACGTTTCATATCTCGTAATTTCTCGAATGAATTCTACTTTGGTTTTCAGTTAAATTAACCAATCATAAAAATTCTACTTGCAAGCGAGGAATTATTTCTTTATTGTCCAATCAATAGACGCCTTCTAATTTACTTTATTCTATTCTTAGTAACATTGTGTAATCGTAATATTATCGCCGTCTGTCACGTACGAAGGGAAATTGAGTATTGTTTTGTATATTATCGTTATATTGAATTAAAAAAATGTTTCAAATGAACCAAGTTAACCAGGTAAATAAATAGCTACGGCCTTAGATAGTTTAAATTTTCATTAAAGAATTGTTCATGTCTGAAAAAATTCCTTAAATTTTTGCGCGTGTAATGCCTTTTATAAGGCGAGTATAGCGTGCGCACGAGTAATGACTCGTAGCTCCTGACAAGCTCTGTTTTATGTTTAAAATTGATACCATACGGTTAACGGTTACTAACCGGTTAATAGCTACGGCTATTCGAATAACAAAAAGTCCTAACCGTAGGAGCACTAGTAAAAATAACCGCCAAATGTTGTTCTTTAGAAAATTCCCTAGACAATTAAATAAAAAAATGTATGTTAGATGCATGATGTTCATGGATAGAAACAAGCTATTCTTCTGTACTCGATTCAAGTTCCAAGAGGACATCATGAAATCAACTGATCAATTTTAATGATATTTGAACCAATATGATGTTTTTGATAAAGAGTTAAAGTCTATAATTCAACAGAACAATAGGACATTAAATCACATTTCTTTTTCTATAATTGACTTTTTATATGGAATATTGTGCCTTTGAGATTAAAACACAAATGCTGGAGATTATTGCCGTATTGAAATTTACAATAGATTTTTGCTATAAACTGTCATGGTAAATTTTATGTGATTGAATTTTATGTTGGAATATTGCTTCCATATTTCAGATAATCAAAAATTATGGCACAACGTTACCAGTACCATTTCTAACAGATATTCTACAACCCAAGTCTTTACTTAAAACGGTCAGATTCTCAAATTCTAATGAGGTAATTATTTTTGTAACATGTATATTTCACAGTTTCTGATTCTTTTCAGTATGTGATATAAACTTTGCCTCACCATTGTAAGATATATTTCACAGTTTGTTATTGCTTTCTGTATGTGGTAGAAACTTTACCTGACCATTGTGTGTATGATAATTAATGTATATATATACATGTATATATATCTTGATCTATGGGTCTCTGGTGTGAAACTTTATGTAGAATATTCTTATTTTTAACCTAATTAACTTTATTGTTTCAATGTTTCTATGGTGTTTGATGTGAGGTGTTAAAATTAGTTTCCTTATCAAGTTTAAGTATAGTGGAGTGTTAAAACAAAATAGTTTACTTATCAAGTTTAAGTTCCATTAATTATCACATATTCCCATACTGATTTTGTTGTCCCCCGCCTTTCGAAGAAAGCATGGGACTATTGAAATGGGTTCTTCCGTCCGCCCATCTGTCTGTCCGTGACACTTTTTGGGACATAATAACTCTTTCTAATTGAGCTAGAATGTTCAAACTTGGTATAGGTGTTTATTAGGTGTATAGTTTTATTACACCTATACCTTGACTAAGTTCGATAATGAGCATTTTCTGCTCAGGGTAAGAAGAGCGATAAGCATTTTGATTGGTCAAGACTTTGGAACACAATAACTCTCATTCTAATTGAGCTAGAATGTTCACACTTGGCATAGGTGTTTATTAGGTGAATGCCTTGATGGAGTTTGGCGTTAGAAGATAAGAATTTTCTGCTTATGGTAAGCAGAGATAAATAATTTGATTGGTTGATGCTTTGGGACACGATAACTTTAGTTCTAATTAAGTGAGAGTGAGGACACTTTGTGTAGAGTTTTATCACATCAGTACCTTCACTAAGTTCCATAATGCCCCCGTCAGACCGGGATGGCGTCCTTACTGCGCTGCTGCGACTGAACGGCGACCAGAAAATGCATACGGTCGCCAACAAACGCGAACACAACACAAGAAAATGTCCCCAAAAATTACAAACCTGAAAAAAAAGCGTTTTTTGAACATGCTCTAAACAAACGCCGTGGCTCTCCGATCATTGGCGACCCTGGAGACCCCAGCACCCCAGCTTTTACAATGCTTATGGCACTCTTTGCGCGCACTGAGACCATTTTCCGTCGCCGTAACAGCGCAGTAAGGGCGCTACCCCAGTCTGACGGGGGTATAATAAGCATTTTCTGAATAGATTTCTTTTGAAGTGGTTATGTCAATATTTCACACCATATAAAAGAACCAAAAATGGAAATGTAAAGCCTGTTCATGACTGCTGTTTTTCATTTCAGTTTATATGTCTGCAGTCGGTAATATATACTTCGGATATCGATCAAAACATTAGTAAAAATTACCATTTATTGGCAAATACCGATGTGTGCTGATAACACATTTTATAGATCATTACCAACGTAATTGAAAATCAACACATCTCTACTTTATGTTCATTCTACTGCCATGAGTCCTTGTTAGAATTTTAGTAGTCATCATTGTTGTCAGCAAACACAATATATGTTGTTTCTATGTTTTAATATTGTTTATTGATTGCAGGTTGTTGCCGAGGTAATGTCTGTCTACCATAATCTCTTGGGGTTAAAGAATATTCCACTTCTTGAAGAAACATACAGGTAATTAACAAACCCGAGTAAGCATCATTATAAAATTGTGAGGGAGCCACAGTGTTGTTTGCTGTAAAAATTCCCTGCGATTTTCTGGTGTGGTGAAGGATGGAGGGCCTGGCAAGAAACAGTGTCTAGTCATTAGGATAGTACGAGGTTCCGTAGCTGTAGCACTGCTGTTCAGAAATATTTCCCTCATAGTACACTCTGCATGGTGTATGCCTGTCTTCATTAGTCCGGATGGAGCAGAAAAATAAAAAAAACATAAACCCCATTTCATAGTTTTATCGTGTAATTATGAAAAAACAAACAGTAAAATCCTTTAGTATTTTTAGTCACAGTCCACATGTTTGATATAGTCCCATTTCAAAACTTTTGAAGTAGTAAGTGAAGTTAGAATTTAGCTTCAAGAAATTGAAATTGAATTTTTCTAATTTTTACAAAGGTTGATGTTATGTGATATGGAGATAGCGTATAATACCCTGGTTAAAGATCATACAGAAGAGATGATAGAACTAACTACCAATAATCAGTATACAGATATATCTTATACATCTAAACAAGCTGAAGTGGTTATTATCTTTAATAACTGTGCTTTTACAGAAATAACTAACACCAAATCAAATATATTCAGTGTAAGTATTTTAACTAAATCAAACATATTTAGTGTAAGTATTTTAATCAAACCAAACATATTTAATGTAAGTATTATAACCAAAATCAAACATATTAAAGGGACATAAGGTAAGATTAGATAAAGAACTGACACTTCTTGCTATAATAGTTAAAAAATAGATAATGAAAACATAATATGCTGAAAATTTCAGTCAAATTGCTTCACTCTGAACCAAAATATTAGCGTTTCTATTTTACTTTAGGCTACCCTCTATCGTCATTACTACTGTTGGTACAATATAAAAAAAGTCTTGATTATTCATTTTTACGTTAAATCATCCATCGCAAAACGTATTCAAATTCACTAAATATCACATTCTAACGATGGCATTGAAATTTATTATGGGCTTGATAAGTTAATGGATGTCTAATTTAGATAACATTTAAGGCCTAAAGAAAGATCTGCAATAGGCAGATTTAGCTCTTGCATAATGCATGTTTAAGTGTAAGTATTTTAACAAATTAAACATTTTGACTGGAAGTGTTTTAACTAATACCGGTATGTCCCATTCAAAGACACCGTGAGCATACATTCAATTAGGAAAATTTCATTTGCACAAAAATTGGATCATGTTTAGCATCCAGCCCTCGTCCCCAGAGAATGTAATTAAAGATGAAGTTGAATAATGTTCTCCATGATCAAGGTTTATACACATAAGCTATAATGATGTTTTATTATCCAGTGCCAAACGAAATTAGGGAGGGATACTGAAATGGTGTCTGTGTTTCCGTCCGTCCGTCATATCTCATAAACCGTTTAAGATATCTTTCTGAAACTTTGTACACACATAAACTTATTACAGTAGTTGTGCCTTTTGCTATTTAGGAATTTCTGGGATTTATATTTTTTGTGTTTCAATGGAAACAAACTTTGGTGTACAGTATTGTTTCCGGAATATATCTCATAAACCATTCAAAATATCTTCATGAAACTTTGTACAAACTTCAAACTATTATAGTAGTTGTGCCTTTTGCTAATTTGGAATTTATGGGATTCAATAATTTTTGTGTTCCCATGGAAACAAATTTGACTTAGTTTTTGGTGTACAATTTTTGTTTCAGGAGTACAATTTTTGTTTCAGGAGCATATCGAATAAACCATTCAAGAGATCTTCATGAAACTTAGTACAAACATTAACCTATTATAGTAGTTGTGCCTTTCGCTAATTAGAAATGTGTTTCCATGGTAAAAAAAATTATCTGTTGAATTTTTACTACACATTTGAATTAGTTCTGGGTATATAATTATTATTCTAGAATATATCTCAGAAACTGTTCAAGATACCTTTATAACATTTTTACATTCATCAACCTATTATTTTATTTTTTGATGACCGTCCTTCCATCCCGATTTCATTTCCGGGGCATATTTCATTATCCGTTCAAGAAATCTTTTTGAAACTTTGTACAAAGATTAAACTATTATTGTATTTTATTTTCTGATGTATAAGCTTAATGTTTAACATACAGCAGTTGATTGAGGTAGACAAAGGTTGTTGTGCAAACCTTACAGTCAGAGTATGAATCTTCTGACTAGTCCCATTGATATTCCAAGAAGTTGTTTTTCCTTATGCCTTCCAAACAAGTGCAAGGGTGCGGGATGGTGATGACTAGTCATCTTGTTGTGTATACATGTACATATTTAACAAATTTATTTGTATATGTTTCAGATGTGGGCATTGACACCATGTATATTTGATCTGTTGGTAGATAAATTAAAACCTATAAATAAAACAATAGCTTGTTGTTATCCGTCTGTACAGTATGCTATAATACATACATTGTATTCCCACTGTATCAGGTAAGTAATATAATAATAAACATCACATTATTGTAGAAATGTTAAGCAGATCATAAAATTTATCTAATAAGAACCATTTTTAATTCCCAGTAGACCAAATGCTTTCTGAGTTATACTAATTCCAGTTCAGGGGAACACATGCTAAACAGATAGTCATATATAGAATATACAAACATTTTCATATTCCATTTTCACAGTTAAAAATCTAAATAATTATCAGATAATGTTAGGTTTTGGACTATGGAAACTTTTAATGCATTTTTTTTAAGTTTCAAAGCTCTGTGGGGTTTTAGGTTTCAGTTTTATGTTATCAGACATGTAATTTATTGTATTTTTCAGACATGATTTCTTCATATCAAGTAGTGATATAATAAGAGAGTCTACAACAGAAGTATCATCACTAGTTGTAGGAGCTACTAAAGACTATTTAAACCGTACTTTAATTCTATTACAACAACTACTGACTAATACTAGTACTTCATATGATACAAGGTACATTCAACATGTTGATCGGGATGGGGGAAGTGTGTGGGCTGTTGGTCATCCAAGTCAAGGGTTGATCTCTGATCAGTATTTGACATGGATTAGGTTCATCTGCCTAACCTCATCTGGTTTCTCCAGACACTGTTTTCACTTCACTTGTGAAGAAAACTGCGGTGAAGCGAATTATTGACATAAGTAATATACCATACATTAGTCCCAAAATAACCTGATTTGTTCTGAGTAGATATCAAACCCCAATTTGCTCTATCTTTTTTTACATACTAAAGTTAAAGAATACAACTTGTGCACTCGGAGAACTTTCAATTCACAAATTTCCACTAATTTTTTGGGAGGTTTTTTGTTTTGAATTATGGATATTATTTATTTGACAGATGTTTGGTATTAAAGTGGGTATCAGATCTAACATCTAATCTACAGACATCAGTTCATGTCTTAGATACACCAGCATTTGTAGGATTGATTAAAGCTGTCATCAAACAAGGTAAAAATACTAAAAGTTTTATTGAACATCTCAAACACTACAAACTCAGCATCTTTTCATATAAAAGTTGACATCAGAATTTAGTTAAAATAGTGAACTGATTTGTTGTATGCACGTTTGAAATTGGAAAATTTTGATTTAAATGCTGTTCAACTAATCAGACCTTGTGGGTTATGTTTATTGTCTAATCACGGGTTAGCTCATACTCCTTGCAGTGTTTCGTTTGATTATACCTTATCCCACTTAACACTGCTGTAAAGGAAGCAAATTTCTGTTCCAAATTATGACTGGTCAATAGTCTGATTAACAACAAATAGCTAACAGCGTAACAATATCATTACGCTTTAAACAGAGCTCCAAATTGGACCAATTATGTTTACATAACGTTACGTCATGATTCACAATTTTATTATGCCCAATTAACCAGTGCATAGCAGAATATTGCAGAAAAACTAATTATGTGACAAACAAGGCTATCAAAACGAATACAATGTAAACAATGCGGTTTTTAGAAGAAGAATACTGTTCCGTTTTTAATACCTTAAATCACTGTCCAAAGTCTTAGGGAAGACCCCAGATTAAACAACGGGCTGTCATATGTTGCTGTACTTCGGATAGATTTGATTGAACAGGAAGAACATACACAGTTTCTCAAAAGCTCAAGTATCAGAAGCCAATCCAGCAATGGCCAGAGAGGGATTTCTCGGGCCATTGCTACAGAAATATGGGGTAAGCTAAGCTATTAGTAAGACTAAACAGTGATGATGTTAAGTCATTGTTAAAGAATATTGCCCCTACTTACTAGGATTGGTCAGGTTTCTTGAGATACTTATTATTATTTTAAATTGTAGGTTTTAACAGTGAACAAACAATATTTTTGTCAGCTTGTCAGTGTCTTATAAATATGTTTAAAACACCAGTGTCATTTCCAATAGATGTTGTTAAACAGTAAGTATTTATAAATTTTGTCTAGGCATATATATTTACAAAAACAATATTGTTATTAATTCATGAAAGAATTCATTTCCAGTCATTGCCTGAAGTAAAAAATATATTATCTACAGCTTACTTTATCTTGCAAACCCCCACATTTTTCAAATACAGCAATTGACAATCAATGCCATTATTAAAAGATTAATCAAAGATATAACTTGACAGGGTTGATTCTGTTCATTGTATATTGTTGTGTGTATTTTAGGTGTGAAGAAGTATGTGTATATAGATTATCTGATGTTAATAAAACAGTTAGAGATTTATATACAGATCTATTTCAACTTTTACCATTAAATATAACATCCAGGTAAAATACACCACATGTCTTTGTTGTCTTTGTGTGAGATATCACTTCGCAGTTGAATCTGATGTTAACTTAAGTGTCTATTATCATCTCTCGTGTGGGACTGTCCACATTTTCTTCTAAACTATTATCAGCAAGGAAAAGTCGTCAATATTTTGATGAAGTCTATGAAAATAGGCTATTTCTCAACGAACAATCTATTTTACCCCATATTCTTTGAAGATTTATTACCCACTGTGGATCAGTGATTTCAGGACGGGAAATTTAATGGAATGATCCTACACTTATCCAATAGTTTAGATCATAAATCAATCAAAATTATTTTGAAATAATGTCTTCAAAATTGTATTATTTGCCTTATAGTGGACAGATATTTGAAGCAGAAGAAGAAGGTTTGGCCGGACATAAACAAGACAATAGTGTTGGATTGAAAACTATTTGGTTAGCTAGACGAAGTCATATGTCTCGTACTCCGTCAGGCACCTTCCATTCACACAACTTTAGACATGTCATGTCTTTTATACTGAACAATACACCACCAAGGTATGTCATTGCATTTTCATAACTGAGGCTTTTGGTTGTTAGAAGTTTGGAGACTTTGGTTTCTATGAAGAACATTGAAATTAAAACTGCTGAGTGTCTTTTGAGCGGCGTTGAATCTCTTGAAAACTACAATATTGTGAATGTTTAATCTTTAATAGAAATGTCAGACCAAAATACACGCTAGCACCATGTATAAAAGTGTTGGGTAGAGTCTTTTGATTGTTCTCTTTTTTAATTTATTAAATTAAAGAAGATTGTCTACCATTAATATTTTGGTTTTGTGTTCTTAATTAAATGTTAAAAAATCAATTTGAGTAAATTTTTTGCATGGATCTAGTCAGAAAAAATTAGATATAACCTCAATAATGCAAATGATGATCAGCATCTTTAGAGGGACAAATTATTATTGTATTATTGTAAACTGATGTTATATTTCCAGTCAACTGGGAGTTCTATATTGGTTAGAAGCTATGTTTCATAGTGCACAGAGGTCTGATAAGGATGGTGATAAAAGTCAGGAGACTTCCTGTCTTCATCAACTGGTAAGATTTATATTATTGAAGATGAGGCAATGTTCAATTCCATTCCATTCTCATGCATGCCAAATATTTGATTTAATGGAATATTCAGAGATTTTACTAGTCACTACTCCTAAATGGATTTATTATCCAACCTCTGATTTTACTAATTCTGACGGTAGACGTTATGAATTTTGATTTTCATTCTCAAATGTGTGCTGTAAAGTGAAAGACTTCCAATGGATGAATATAAATGAGTACTGATGCAATGGAAATTATCCAACATAATAACTTCAAGGTTTTATAGTTATATTGTCTACTGTTCAAACATCACTACAAATACTAATTTTTTTCTTTTGAAAATTTTTATCTCCATTATTCCAAATTTCTATAGCATATTATCTTTGGATTTGGAAAGAATATTCTATACTTTGTCTTTATGCTATTTCCACTTGAAAAATTAATATTTATTCTCAAGATTTCATCTTTTTTTTTTCTTTTTTTTTAAATTTAACAGATTGATGATAATCAAGCTTTACTGTGGTCGTGGGCTACGTGGGAAGCAGCTCAGTTTTGTATATTATCTAGATTAAGAACACCACTAGGTAAACCACAGGATACATTTACTACTATAGAAGGTGTACTAAAAAACTTTGCTGCGGATGTAGAAGATGGTAGTATAGGAATAGAGTCCATCAAAGGTATAATAACACAACTTTCTTATCTCAAGAAAGAAAATTATAATTCTAAAATAGTTTTTTTCCCCCCACTTTTTCTCCAATACTGTACTGGAAGTTATTGTCTAAATAAATCTTGCAGTCTAGAAACTATCACCAATGGAAAAGCATGTGCTATGAATTTAGGTGTTAGATTTTATAAATAGTCATTGGTGAAATTTTCCGACAGGCAAAATTTATAGTCATTGGTGAAATTTTCCGAAAGGCAAAATTTTGAAACAAAAAGGTTAAACATGAGCATATCAAATTTGTTCAAATATAAACTTTTCTTAAGGAATTTTCAATCAAAGTTGAGATAATTTAGGCAGCACTTACAGCTTTCCTTCACGAAACAACTTGCCGAAAAGAAAACTCCATTTTTGCCAACGTTATTGTAAAAAAAAATAATAAAAAAATAGAAATGGATATTTATTGTGTTCATTATAGGTGAAAGACCTGGTGAATATACCACACTAAAAAGAGTTCATCTTCTCATGCAGTTTATGGAGAATTTAGAAAAACTGCTTTACAATGCTTATGAAGGTTGTACTGTGGCAATGCCAGCCATACCAAAGGTAAAATTAACTTATTTAGAAACAGTTAATCAATTTTTATGCAGTTGGTTGAACGATTGCGGTAGTGAAATGTAACAAATTTCCAACTCATATTTTTTTGTTGTTGTATATTTACAGGCTGTGAGGACATTTTTCCGTACAAATCGTGGAACATGTCAGGAATGGTTAACTAGAATTAGAAAGTGTGTTATAACTACAGCGTTAAATAGTGGACTACCTGCTACAGCTGTTAGACATGCTCTAGAATTACTTAAAGATATGCTTGAAAATGACAATATACAGGTAAGTCAAATATAAAGGCTGGTATAACTTGTGCTTTAGGTCAAATATCTGTGTTTACTTTTGCATGAAATTTCTTAAACTAGTCAAGAAATGTAGAAATATAATAGAGTAAAATGAAATCTACATTATTATTGTGGCAGTCTTCTGGGACTGAGATATTTCAAATCAGGGAAAGTTCAATCTAATAACCCCATATTATTACTTGAACACTTTAAAGATGGGTTCCTGCGTACAAACTGGGTGATTTAATGGTATATATGGACTAAAAACATATTCAAACTAATTAATTTGTCATAACTTTGCTTCAAATCCTTCTCAAACATTGTAATTGCGAAGGAATGTCCTGCTATAAGAATTCGATCAAACCAGGTCATATTTATGTCACGTGACTTACCTCTCTTGGAAGTCAGAGGAGAATTCATTGCATACATAAGACGATGTTGTCTGTAATCGCTTACTATTTATTATTAGTATCGAATCCTAATTAAATTCTCGGATTATCCACTACCCGCGTCTTTTTCCGTCATTTTTATCTCAGAAAGTGTTGTACGTCTATCTCTTCATAAAGTTTATCAACTTGTACATCAAGTGCTCAATGTTCGCGTGTGACAATTGACATTATGTGTGCAGAAATTCCTAATCGTCGGGCTGTTGATTAGGGGAACCCTTACATTTTTGTCCTGTATACGCTCCATGAGTGTTTTTCGGGGAATCAAGTATTTTTCAAGTAAGATTGGATATCTCTACTTTCCGTATATACCAAAATTACCATACTTTTATTGGAAATAACCACCTGATAAATACTTTTCTGGGAACCCATCTTTAAAGATTCAAGTTAACTTAATAATAACATTTATTAATTAATTATTGTAATGTATGATTCTTCAGGGAGCTGATTTTGATAAGGTTACTGTGCAAGCTGTAAAAGCTATGGTAGAATTAAAGAGTCCAGAATCTATATTAGGCTTATATACTTGGTGCAGAGATAAAGCTGGTAAAAGATTCCCATGGATTAAAACTATGGCTGAAATCGCCAGTAGCAAGTAAGTTTGTTTCAGTGAATGTAGCTTTTATCTATCTGCATTTTATGAAGGGTGACTTTAAACAACATGTATTTTGTTATCTGGCTTCAGTTTATTATGTTTGCTTATGTACCTCGAGTCATGGATTGAGCTTGATTATTCTTGTTCTAAAATTGTGTTTGAAATGTATGTTTATAATGTATGTTTATTTGTGACATTGTACCATTTTAGATTGGAATCGTCAACTAAAGAATTAAAAGAGCATCTGATATCAATGATGAATAACAAAGATGATAAGGAAGAAGAAAGAGATACATCACCCGATGTTAGTCCAAGTCGTGATAATAATAAACAGAAAACAATACTAACCAAACCATCAGAATATACACCATCTATTATAGGTTTTGTTGCAGATGAGGTATGTTACATTTCTTAAACCCTCAATACGTCCAGAACGCTAATAATTATTTTTCGTATTTAAATTAATAGAAATAAGAACTAATAGGTGTTCTTTACAATGTCATCTAGATGATTAAATAAAAATAACATGGGTTAGATGCCACCTTGAATTCATTGTTCATGGAAAAAAACAAGTTATTCTTCATCAGTTGGTTGAAGTTATCAGAAAGCTATGACATCATGGAATCAATAGAAAGGGATGGTCATAACTTGTATTAGGATTTATCGATTTTAACAATTTGTTTACCAATATGCTTTATGGTAAGCCTGTGTTTAATGTGTATGGACTGGAAGTCTGCATTTGCCTTGTAGTCGATAATATTGATATTGTTTATTAAAATATAGGTAATTGAATGTTATTGTTTATTATAATTTAGGTAACCGAATGTTATTGTTTATTATAAATTAGGTAACTGAATGTTATTTGGAACTGAACGATTGGAAGGCTGTGATGGAATGGCAGGAGGTGGTGAGCCAATATAGAGCTGAAAATACTCTAACTTCAGCTCAAAAAGCTTTCAATTCATCAGTTGATTTAAATTACATACAGTAAGTCAGAATGTAACCACATTATTGGGGGTGGGGAATCGTACAAGGGCCAAATATGTCATTGATGGGTATATTTGTTGATTTGATTCAGTAAATATTTTAATACTTTTCTTGAAGATCCACAGGAAAATACAGAAGAGGGTTATTTAACATGGTACTGTATTAGCTGTAATTAGATCTTACAAATCTGTACATGTTTTTCCGTTACCAGTGCAGAACAGTGAAAATTTATAAAATGTATTAATTATTTCAGAGCTTTGAGTCATTTTGATTCAGCTAAACTATCTGCTGTTAAAGAGAGCTTAGAACTGGTACCAGGAGCATCATTATCAGACAGTTCAAAAGGTGATTCAAGCATAACCTGGAATCCTAAACTTGAACTACAGAACATTCATCAACAGTTTATTAGAGGTGCTACTCTTTTACAAGAACAGAAAACCATTACTGCAAGGTAAATTGAAACATATATTTACTTTTACTGATAAAACGGATTTTATGATTAATGTAATAGATTAAATGGTCAGCTGTGTAAAACCTAATATTGGTATTTCCTTTTCAATCTGTTGAATTAGATCAATTTCACAAAAGTTTTAACATTGGTGTTTCTATGTCCCAGTTTCTGTCTATATTAGATGATATTAGTTTGCATGTACATACTTTCTTGGATTAAGATTACAAGTATGACAATTACTTTACAGAACAGAGATTGTAAAATGTCTACTACAAGCAGAGAGATTAGCAGAAGGTTTACTACATATTCAATCATTTGAATGGCCACCATGTTTTTCTCCAGATATTACGACGGATTTAGGAACTATTTCAACGCTCAGACATCAGCTGGAAGATAAAAAACAGAGGGTAAGTCTGCTTGTTTCTTTTATTATTAAAATAATAGCTACAGATGTTAATATAATAGTCTAATAGAAATTATTATATCTGTCTATATATGTTTGTTTATTTTGCAGACCACACTATGTCCACTATCCAAGGAATTACACGAAGAAGATTGTAATTTAAATGGTCTATTTCAAATTCTTCGTTTGATAAAAATACAACTAGCTGTTCCTGGAATTGACAAAAAGTCAGGTAATTTAAGATAATGTTTTATTGGGGATAATAAAGAAATCTTTGTTTATATTTTGACTCCACAGTGTCTGTCATTGAGTAGAGTGGCGTTGTTTGATTCCCTGCTTGTACGTGACCAGGAGAAGGTTTGCGGTCCAACATCGTGGATTTTCTCCAGTTTCCTCACGGCTAAAGAATTCCTACGCGCAAGCGAATTATTGAAATAGAAATGATTCATATGTTTGTCCCAAAATGACCTAGTTTGTGTCGAGTGGACGTTAAACTCCATTTCTCTCTCTCCTTAGAGCACACATCTGTTGGACTATCTGACAGCAATGTGATAAAATCATTTGTTATTTAACTTGAATATTTATATTCTGTACTCACTATATTTCCTATTTCAGATTTATTTAAACAGTTATCAAAAGTTCAGCTGTGTGCAGCCTCAGCTGCTCGAAAGCAAACAAATTTTGGTATTGCAGAAAAACTACTGCTACGTCAAGTGGACACACTTTTGAAGGATAACTCAAAAAATGGACATCCTCCAACGCCAACAGACTTGATGCCAGCTCTAGCCAGTCTTAGAGCAGCCAATGGAGGGATTGACCAACTAGATATATTGAAAATTGACAGAGAGGGAGCCAAACTATTAAATGATATTGGGCAGAATAAAGAATCTATGGAAATTCTGAGTTCAAGCCTTGTTAGTAATCTAATGACTGGCAACAACAACAATACTACTAATCAAACTATCAACAATAATGTCAGAGAACTTTCATCACGTTCTTTATTAACATTGGTTAAATGGCTCCAAGCTGATTCAAAGAATGTAGTAGCCATGACAGGTCAGGTACGACTAACTGGACAAGGTGATGGTAATGGTACGTCTGCTGTTACAAAGAACGTAAAGATATTGTTGGATATAGAAGATACTGAATCAGAACATATGTTAAGTGTTCTAGAAAATGGAGAGCATGGTAAATTTATTTAAATTATTGTGATCAGATTTCAAAGAAGCATCACATTATGTAATACTTTCTAGCATTGTAGAGATTGAAATATTTATTGTTTTTAAATCTAATTTCAAAACTGGGGGCAAAAAATCATCAATCTATATTTCGTTTTGTTCCTTTTTACTTTCGATGGCCTCCAGTTGTAGTGGGAGGTCTCATCAGGGGTCATACGACCGGCTTTTGACTCTATGACGTTACACTTTCGATTAACCAATCAGCACTGATGTCTCTAGTGGGATACCCACAGTTTCGTGCATTGCACATCAAGTACTCGCTGCAACAGATATATAACAACTCTTCCAGATCCTAGTTTAGTACAGACAAGTAAAACAAAATTTGAACTTTAAACAATGAAACAAAATAGGATCTGTGTTTTAATCAGATTGAAAAATCATGAGATAAACATTCTTATTACAACTTGTCTGGCTATGGTTGTTTTTAGTGTATTAAAGACTTAAACAACTTTTCTTTTAACAGCTTTGAAAATTGGTGCCAGTCCTATGTTACCAGATACAGACAGCATTATTGGTCGTCTGCTACACCTAAGCACTATGGAATGTCCAACTTTAGCTAAATCATGGTTTGTGTTGGCTAACTGGTGTTATAAATGGGGTAGAAAAGCTGTAGATAATGCGAGGTATATATTGTTACTTACGTTAGCTCGGATGTTACTCAAAATGCTTTTTTTCATTAAATCTACAGGGCTTGAAATTTGTCATTTTTTTACGAGAATCTAAGAGGATTCTCATGCAATCTGCACGAATCCTCCGAATCTTAATTAATAATACTGTCTTAATTGTGTTTATTGTGTTAATCTAAAACACTAAAATACAACAACAATGATAAAAATAAAACAATCAGACGTGTGCTGTTTTCACTGTAACTGTTCACATTTTGCACCAATTTACCTTTGTATGAGGCGTCTATTCTTTTATAGTGCTTTCGGCACACCTTGTATACAGTGTGAATTACGCATTTATTTTCAGAATCAAACGTAAACTCGTAGTTTTAGTTTAGTTCCTTACTGCATTTCATAACAGTTACTTTAGATACAGCTTTAATTTTGCTTCCAGAAGCCATGTCAATGTCAAAAAAATTCATTTGATAACTGCACAAATATAATAAGGGAAAAAGTTTATGTCCGCACGAACGGAAGTGAAAAAAAACCAAAACAAGTGGCCGACCTTGATTGTGACAAAATAGAAATGGAATGATCCATTATATTTATGTGGAACTAGAGAAATCAAATCGCTCGAAAGGATAAAATGAAACCCAAAATTTTGCTTCGTTTTAAGGTTGTTCTGCTAAAGCAGTTTCTTTTAAAAATTATATAAGAGTGATTAAAATAAATAATTAGGAAACAAATAAATTTTTATCGTAATTGAAATTCAATGCATAAATACAAATGTAAATGGAGTTACAACGTTATAATACAGATTCCTTTAGGTGCTCAACTTGACAAGATGCTGTGTCGTGCTGGGGAATTTTTTCACACAGTTCATTACATAGCATAAACACAAAAGCAAAAGAAAACAGCCAGCCAGAAACTCGTCAAAATTATAAGTTAGAAGTAAACAGTAAAACAAAAACACAACAAATGTTTTATTTTATGATTTTATGTAGTATTCTATAAAGTAAGTCATACAAATTTGATTCAAAACACCCTGACTGACAAGAGACATTCAATAGTCGGACTCGACAATTCTCCGAGATTTCTTCTTTTTTCTTTTTCTTTTTCTTTACAAAAATTTTATGTGAATCCTTTTAGATTTGCGTGAATTTCTAGCCCTGAATCTATAAAATATATTATTTCTGCTTTTAGCCATGGAAGTATTGAATTATCTGTAGAAGAGAAAAAGGAAGTTCTGGATATTTTACCAAAGGTAAATTTAGTCCTAATTTTAGTGTTAGAGATATTTTTAGAGCAGTAAGATGGCAAGTACATTATATGTTAATGTACGTAATTTTTTTGCTCATAATAAGCAATTATTGCTTAAAGTTGATCTTATCTATTTAGCAAATTAATCTATCTATAATTACCTTTTCACTTATGATTTGTTAATTATATTATTTGCAAAATTTATTATTCAGGGTGTTACGAGTGAAGAATCAGAGAAGATATTATCCATATTAAGTCAAGTGCATAGTCCTGTTTCTAATGAAGAAGATATTAGTGATCAAGATCAGGTTCGTCTTCATAAACATTTTCGGTATTATGCGTTTATATCAGAAATTTCCATTTCCAGACTTGAGATTAATGTTATTTTTAAAATGAATATTTTAAAGATATTATTCATTGATTATTATGTTGATATTTTCTAGAGTTTATATGATGATGGAACTGAAACCACACGTAAACAGTTAATTTCAAGTTGTCAGATATTACAAACAGCTGATGATGTTATATTGGATAAATTATTAGATGTATGGCAGAAAGTTGTGTCTAGAGTTTATAATTATTATCAGCTATCAGCTAAATCATACTTCAGATATCTTCAACTTAACAAACAGGTTTGTACTTTATAGTAATTGTTAATACGATAAACAGGTTAGAATATAATATATAGTAATCGTTACCTACAATAAACAGGTTAGAATATAATATTGTTACTATAATAAACAGGTTAAAATATAATATATAGTAATTGTTACTGCAATAAACTGGTTAGAATATAATGTATAGTAATTGTTACTATAATAAACTGGTTAAAATATAATATATAGTAATTGTTACTGCAATAAACAGGTTAGAATATAATATATAGTAATTGTTACTACAATAAACAGGTGAGAATCTAATATATAGTAATTGTTACTACAATAAACGGCTTAAAATATAATTTGTAGTAATTGTTACTACAATAAACAGGTTAGAATATAATTTATAGTAATCCTGACATCAGGTTAGAATATAATAAATAGTAATCCTTACTCGATCAGTGGGTTAGAATATAATTTATAGCAATCCTCCACAATAACACGACACTGGTGGTCAACCCATGTGAAATATATGGCATTAAGTTATTTAATGAAGCTGATTTTTCAGACTGAAATACAATGTATTCTGTTTGATTAATGTGTTTTGTTTTTTGTTATATAGAGTGGTGATGTTAGTGATAATGAAGATAGTAATGTTATAGCTACATTACGTTTATTACGTCTGTTAGTAAAACATGCATGGGAGCTACGTGCTGTACTAGAAACGGGTCTAGCACAAACACCTACTAATCCATGGAAAGGTAATAACATTCTTCAATGTTTTGATTTAAGAATTATAAATTGAACATTTAAAGCCATGTATTATTAAAAAGAAAGATGACCTCATTGTTTTGGATGCATATGAGATCCTAGGTATCTTGACACAAATTTTCCACATTTTACGAAAAATGGTACTGTAATAAAAAAAACAAAATTCTGGTCAGTTGACAAATTGTAAATCGCATGCGATTTTATTTATCTTAGTAGTCCAAAATAACAAAATGTATATTCAGAATAATGAGTAAATGAAATCAATGTTAAATTTATGAATTATTTCAGGAATAATTCCTCAGTTGTTTTCTCGGTTGAGTCATCCTGAGAGTTATGTCCGACAGAGCGTATCAGAGTTATTATGTCGTGTGGCACAAGATGCTCCTCATCTAATTGTTTATCCTGCTGTTGTTGGTAGCTCTACAACATTATCAGAAACAAAAGTTTCTGATCAAAGCGGTAAGCTATTGTTTATCTTGGTGGCTTTATTGTGCCCTAAAATATATCTTAAAGCTGCTTGTCATCACTTGCATTTATCAGACAATTCTAATTGTTCACAAAACATAATCTAGCGCTAAAATATACTCTGATAGTTTATTTAACATTTAATTAAGGAAACAAAATCAAATTATCAACTGTAAATTATCTCCCACCTTGGATTCTGTTGGATTAAAAAGAGGCCCATCAAGAGATTTTAGCAAAGATTATAGGTGGCACTGGTTTGTTTTAACCACATAATATATTGTCTGCAGGGAATGCCTAATGTTGACAGTTTGTCTTGTATTTATAAATACTGAAAGGAAAAACCATCTTTGGACTGATTTCCCGATATATAATCTTTGAAATAATGTTCAGAGACGGTAATGATAAACTATCAAGTCTCTACAGAGCAATATGCTTTTGTGAAGTTTTTGTGTGAAATTGAAGAGAATGCTTGCATCACACATCTAATTTCCTAAATGCTACACTTAATATGAATGATGGAGTAATTGCTGTTAAATTTTTCAGGATTATTAAATGAGTATTTATCACAAACCGATGAAGGTATAGATGATGATAACTCACAGGGTGATGACGAAGATGGGGATGATGTAACACATACCATATTACAGTCATGTCTTACTGCTATAGTTGATACTTTATCTACACATTTCTCACAGTAAGTAACTATATGTAGTTATAGTTGATACATTATCACAGTAATTAACAATATGTAACTCTAGTTGATACTTTATCACAGTAAGTAACAATAACAATATGTAGTTATCTACACATTTCTCACACAAAGTTGTTAGGATAATTGTTTATCTATACAATGTTCACATTAAGTTACAAAGTCAATACTTAAGTTCCCACTTAAATGTGCCATTACATATTTTGATATATGCAATGTATGTGGTTTGTTTAGAATGATATCAGAAGTACAGCATATGGTACAGGAATTACGAAGGATAACATTATTATGGGATGAACTGTGGTTAGGAACATTAAACCAACATCATCAAGATGTAGTTAGACGTATAAGTCAACTGGAAAATGAAGTGAAGAAAGTTTATAACAATCATTCACTATCTAAAGAAGAGAAATCAGCCATAGTTAAAGAAAAACACAAAACAATTATGAAACCAGTAAGTAAAATAATTTCTGCTTTTAAATGTATTGACATCAATGGTCGAAGTGTTAATAATATTGAGCTATTTCTCATAGGCCATGATAAATTCTGTAGTAAATAAAATGCTTACTTTTTTGTATATTTGTTTTACTTTTTGCAGCTCCTTGATTTAATAACTTTATTTTATGTGAACACAATTTTAGAATATTAGGTTGGGATTTTTTTTCATTCCAGACCTTGTACACAATGGAGAGATTAGATGAGATAACATCACAACCACCTGAAACAAACCATGAAAAATGGTTTCAAGATACATACAGTCAACTGATTAAAGATGCCCTGTCTCGTCTTAAAAATCCTCCAAATCCTAGTCATCCCAATTCAACATGGCAGCTCTTTAAACAAGTATGTAAATTTCCACTAAAATAAACATTCAGTACGATAGAAAATTACTCAAGATTAATTTTTATAGACATTAGTTATATGTTTAAAAGTATTGAATTACTAATTGATTTATAAAATCCTGTTCTGAAATCAATGAATTGTAAATAATCGATTTTGTTATGCTATCAAATATTTTAATTATTTTTATACAGTTACATACAAGTCTACAACAGAGAGCCCAGAAAAGAAATAGTTTATTGTTGAGAATGCAAGAGATAAGTCCTAAATTATCTAGTATAGAATCATCTGTTATACCAATGCCAGGATTAGGTGTATCTGGACAGGTTGGTATTATTCTTGTTATTTACCATATATTTTCTAAACTGTATATGAAGACACATTTTGAAAATGAAAGGAAACAGCAATAAGATAATTTAGATAATTTAATAGAAATTGACCGTTGATCTAATTGACCCAAAACACAGCTGTTTGTTCAGACACATCAATCCATAATTATACAAGGCAGTTCCATTTACCTATTAATATTTGGGACCTAGAAATGGACACAAATAGGTTGCAACAGGTCGCAACGCATATAATAATGTAATGTGAATGTAGGTCTATATAAACTGATTTACATTCAATTGTTTCTGTTTTTACTGTAATTTGTAATCAGTCTCATTCAAATGGCAATCTCTAGCGTCTGGTTATTTCAGTCTATTTATTGCACATGCTCTCCAGATAAGAATATGACATCACCGTTTGGCATTACTTGTGGAACATGTCTAGCCTCGTTCTTCGAGTCCCTTGTTACAATTGGTGCTAAAAATTATGGTTCACAATTCGTGTACCAATGGTAAAATATTTGTTTTGTCTTAAATATTGGATATCAGAATCCCATCTTTTCCCAGTAAGATCACAATATCAATGTCGATTTAAATTGACAACTAATTTGTGTTTTCAATGTCGAAAGACTTTGGATGATATTGAGTTAGAGGTTACTTTAAGTAGTTCTTAGAGTGTGTCACGCATGAAAACATTGCGTCTTTTAGATAGCAAAGACATTCAGAGAACACAGAGTTGATAATGTACTGTATATAGAATGATTGTAACAAGATTAATAATTATTTTACAGGTGATAACAATAGAATCTGTTTGTAACACAGCTCAGATACTACCTACAAAAACTAAGCCTAAGAAGCTGGTTTTTCTGGGATCGGATGGCAGGAGGTAAGACCTTCACAATTTTTTATCCTTCAGATTATTTGCATACTTGTAATGCCGGTCAAATCTCTATCATGATTTGCAATTTTATCTTGTACATTTAGTAATTGTTATTATTTGATTTCAGATATCCATACTTGTTTAAAGGATTAGAAGATTTACACCTTGATGAACGTATAATGCAGTTTTTGTCTATTGTAAATAATATGTTTGCCAGTAATAAAACGTAAGCTGTGATTTTCTGTTTATTTTCAAACTCATATAATGATTTCTATAACCTCCTTTTCGTTGCAACTTGTCAGTGGATACAATTTCTTCATAACACTAAATTCAATACTTTGACGTAAGAGAGTATAAAGTAAATCTTTAATGATGTGTTTTGTTTTTGTATTTCAGAGGTAAACGTCAATTATATAGAGCTCGTCACTACTCTGTAACACCACTAGGACCTAGATCAGGTTTAATTCAGTGGGTTGAAGGAGCTACACCATTATTTGGTCTCTACAAGAAATGGCAACAGAGAGAAGCCATTGCCCAGACACTGAAGGTGTGTAATTATTTTCTAATAATTAGGTTGTAATGTCTAACATTATTTAACTAGTTTATAAAGAAGGTATTTTACTACAATTACATTGACAGTTTAATCACTCACCAAACGGCATCAGGAGCTCCACGTATGATCAGGTGTATTTGATATTCATGTCCATGAATCCCATGCAGTTTTCGCGCCAAAATTTAACCTTAGTTACTACACCCGTAGTATGCATGGAACTGTACATGGTAATAAGATTCCCAGATTGATTGGCTGAGAAATGAGGGTGATCTGTTGTTATGCATAGTCGTCTGAAAATTCCATATTCGCTGTGAATTTCAAATGGAGTTATGATAAAAGATGTTCTTATGTATAGAAATGGTTATTATTATTATATATGGCTAATAATGAATATATCGACAAGTGAATGGCACCATTTGTATATCTATACTGATAGAGAATAGTTTGGGATTTTAAGTATTATGGGGTTATCTAAATTACCGGTAAATGCACCAATTGCTTGGATCGTCTTCATTTGCCACGTGGCCTATTTAAACAAAGGCAGCTTAATGGATCTACAGTATGATACAACATTTTAAATTCACTCCAAAATTTCCAATCACAAATGTCTAATCTATAACAATGCAAGACGATAATTCGGAGATTATGATCAGGCCAGTCATATGTTTATTAGACCGTAAATAAACATTTGTCAACTGGTGATGTGTATAGACAGTGATATATTGTATAGATAATGTATATACTATGTGTAGTCCCTGTGACATCACCAGCCATCAACCGGATTAAGGTCGTAATTGAAAAGCATTTTAGGTGTCGAATACTTAAATGTTAATAGCTTAATTAATTTTAACCAGATTTGTGTGAACTTGCAATAAAGTGGATATAGTAACTATTGGCTATAACTACTGAAAAATTTTCTTGCCCATCTTATGTGCCCTTTAAAACCTCCCTCCTGCATCAGATTTTTTTGAAGGATTGTCTGAGAACAAGAATATTTTTTTTTTATGTATTGTCTAATGTGTTAATTGTTAATGATTTCTTTACATAACCTATGTATTATTTGTTCCAGAACCAGAATGGAACCAATGCGGCACCACCAAATATATCTAGACCTAGTGAAGTATTTTATAATAAATTGACCCCAGCGTTAAAAGACAAGGTAATGTTAATTATCACCTTTTAATAGTCAGACTTTTTAAGAAGTCATATTTTTTCATGCCAGCATTTTGCCAAAGAATATTTTGAAGTAATTTATATAATATTTCAGGGTATTGACACCTTAGAGAATCGTAAAGAATGGCCGCTGAATACACTGGTTAAAGTTTTACAGGAATTAATGGAAGAAACGCCAGCTGATCTATTAGCAAGGTAATTAAGTTTAAAGTATATATTCTTTCTGCTTACAAGCTTTCATGTTAACAGTAATATAACAGTGAATGCAGGATAAGTGCCCATCAAAATGCAGACAGTACCGGTACAAACAACATGGTAATACAACAGAGGCAGAAATTACAACAGAAAATATCTGCAAAGGGAATTATTGCCCTATTGGTCGGGTGACCCACCATAAATAAATATCTCCAAATATCTCGACAATTACCCCACAATATTTATATATATACCAAGCCATAAATCAGTTTTGCACATTTAGAGTCACTAAATAAACGATCATTTTGTACTTAATAAGCTATGACCATTTAACTAACACTGAAAGATGGTTACGAGTGTCGGTCATAACATCCAGGCACTTGTGAGTAAAAAATAGGTTACATGCCTGTGTTTTGAAATTAAGTCTCCCTTAACCAGTCTACTGACCATTCTGCATCTGATTGACAAGCCGGGATAATCACAAGACTACTTTTTTATGAAACATAACGGAAAGCTGGAACAATAAATTAAATTTAGAAACACGCACGTTAGGCAATTTAACAATTGTTTTAAGAACCATGTAAAAGTAAAATGAAACTACTGCTACGAAAGAGTTTCAGAGATATTATTTGTACTAAACCAAAGGATGCCGCTCCTTACGGTACAGTTAATGATAAAACGATTTAAAAAATAAAACAAACGTAATTTCTGAAGCTGCTGTAATAACCAAAAAGCTAAATTTTACTTCTATTCAGAATTGTCAACAATAGATTTTTTACGGCTGTAATAGGTGATAGATGTGTAGAGAATTGCACTTGCGATGGCTATTTATAGTCTCATAGACTCTAGTGCTGAGTATTATCATACTGCGTGGTTAAACAGAAATCACTTCGAGACAAGCCACTGAAGCGTGCACATTCGCCTTGTCGAGTCACAACTTTCTGTAGAGAAAGTTTTCACTGTACAGGTCACCATACTATTGAGAGAAAAATTCAATTAGAATTTTATATCTTTTTTGAGCGGCATTTAGCAATTGACACACAGAATAAACACAAAAACATAGTATGGAACACAATTACACTTTTGATTAAAGCGACGTTTCGTTGAAAACGTTGAGAGAACCCTTAACGAAATGTCTCTTTAATTAAGAGTAATTGTGTTCCAATTTAAAATTTTACAGAATATTGCAAAGTTGGGTGGTTGACTGGTCTAACACATGCAGTTGAGATACTTAAGTCTCCTCTCGATACAAGTGGTGTGGTTTCATTGCCATTGTTTTTATAAGGCAAAAGGTAGAGTTCGCCATGTTAACCCTGTGGGTTTTTTCTCCACGATCCTCCCACTGCCAAAGATCGTGGCATTCATATAATTCATCTGGTTGTCTTATTTTACAGAGAGTTATGGTGTTCTAGTTGTGGTGCTAGTGAATGGTGGTTAATGACTAACACGTATGCTAGATCTACAGCCGTTATGTCTATGATAGGTTATATTATAGGGTTAGGTGATAGACATCTAGATAATGTACTAGTAGATTTAGCTACTGGGGAGGTAAGTCTATAAATCAAATATACTATTCAAAAAAAGTAGGGGATATTTGATTTTTAAGTGTTATTAAAGTCACCTAATGAAACTGTCGAAGAAACAAATGACAAAATGAAATGAAGTTCACATTCATCGATTTATTCCAAATGATCGTTAGACTAAGTAAGGCACAGACTGACCATTATAAGGGTAAAATGATACCCGGGGTCAAACAGCAAAGTTACCACAGCATCACAACCAAGTCAGTAACGGGTAAATCCTCCTCTGTTTGCCAAACAAGCATTGATCCGACGTGGCATACTCCTAATGAGACGTCTAAGGTCATTTTGGTCCAGATTGTCCCATTCCTGTTGCAACGCAGCAGCAAGTTCTTGGACATTGGCAGGACGTTGTTGACGTTGACGTAACCTCTGTCCAAGCATGTCCCAGACATGCTCGATGGGGGAGAGGTCGGGACTCAGTGCTGGCCAAGGTAATGTGGTGATGTTCTGTTGTTGAAGGTAACCTGTAACGATCCTGGCCCTGTGACATCTTGCGTTGTCATCCTGGAAGATGAAACGGCGGCCATGACGTCGTGCGAACAGCACAACATGGACTGCCAAGATGTTGTCCCGGTAGTACTGGCCTGTAACACGCCCTGCAACAACATGTAAAGCCGTTCTTCCAGCAACAGTGATGCCTCCCCCACACCATAACAGAACCACCCCCAAATCGATCATGTCTGATGACGTTAACGTCTTGGAAGCGCTCGTTTCGACGACGCCACACCCTCCTACGTCTGTCCAAAAAATCAACAGTGAACCTTGACTCATCTGAAAACATCACATTGCTCCAGCGTCGATTATCCCAGTGTTGACGATCCCTACACCAACGACGTCTTGCCTGAATGTGATGATCTCTCAAACAAGGGATCACGCGAGGACGTCGGGCGCGAAGGTGACCCCTATGCAGTCGATTCCGAATCGTCTGGCCACTCACTCTCACACCAGTGTCTGTTTGAAGACGAGCGCTGATCTGATTTGCTGTGATGACACGATTTCTCAAGGCCAAGGTACGGATAAATCGATCCTGGGCTTGAATTGTCGCCCTTGGTCGACCTGAGCGTGGTCTGTCCTGTACAGATTGTGTATCACGGTATCTGGACCATAGCCTGCTTATGACAGACTGAGAAACATTCATCGTCCGCGCCACAACCACCTGTGTTGTGCCGATCTGTAGCATGCCAAGGGCACGTAACCTTTCATTTTGGGTAAGCCGACGCATATCAAAATTTGTTTTCTGGTCACTAAAACAATTAAACTGATGTTTCCACCCTGGAATTCAATGCCACAATGACTGTAACATTCAAAGTCAGAGTCGTGCAAATCTTGGGTTGGACCCCCATGATGATCCCAAGCATCACCTGCATTCCATGCGGTAGCTATTGGTGCGTTTGGGCGTCACATGTAACTGGAAATGTTTCTTCTGTTAGGTTCTATAGTGACTTTTTTCGTAGTCATTTGCATATTTTAGTATTATGCCCCCAAAATCAAATATCCCCTACTTTTTTTGAATAGTATACATCCATGTATACAAACTTGTATTATATAGTAAGAGAACAAAATAACTATGTCTCTCAACAGTGTCATGTTGAATATTTTGACAGTAACTCTTTGCAGGACTAACACTGTTATATGGAAAAACAATCACTGGTTTTATTACACACAAGCACAACATTTCGATAAGTATTCTCTTATCGTTATCAAGGAGGGTAGAGGGTGTTTATTTCAGGAACCTTTACTCAAGTATCCTCTGTGATTTCAAAACGTATTTTTCAGGTGGTTCATATAGATTATAATGTATGTTTTGAGAAAGGAAAGGGATTACGTGTACCAGAAAGAGTTCCATTCAGAATGACACCAAATATTGAAACAGCTCTAGGTTTAACAGGTGTAGAGGTTAGTTTATTTCAAATTTGGAATTCTCTTCAGTGTCCCTAAGGCTCAGCATAAGTAGTGAATTTTTACTTTGCCTAAACCTTATTAATATTTTCTTCTATCGAAATATTCATTATAGTGTTTCCAATAATGATTCATGGAAATTGAATAATAAATTAAAAAGAGCGATAAGCAGTAAATATTCTTTGGATAAAAATTATTTCAGGGAACATTCCGTATTGCTAGTGAACATGTAATGAAGACAATGAGAAAAGGAAGAGAAACATTACTAACATTATTAGAGGCATTTGTATACGATCCTCTAGTTGATTGGACTACGGGTAATGAAGGAGGATATACAGGTGCATTTTATGGAGGAGGTTCACTGCAAACTAACCAAATAGAGAATAAGAAAAGTAGGAAAGAAATGGAACAAGAAATAACTACCAGTATGTTTTCCATCAGAGTGGCCGAGATGAAAGCCTTGTGGAATAAAAATAGGTACGTTCAAAGACAAAGATGTTTCTATCACTTGATATGAGATTGCATATTGATATCTGCTGAACAGAAAACTATTTCAATGTTATATTGCACCTGTCGATACTCTACCTATGATGTTTATTAATATAAATTTACATAGTTGACAAATACTGGTAGCTAGTAATAGAGAATCGGTTCGGAAACATCCAGTATATTATGTTCAATTCAAATTTGTTAATATATGTTTCAATCTGGTTAAAACACAGATCCTATTTCGTTTCGTTTTTATAGTTCAAAATTTCGTTTTGCTTGTCTTTACTACACTAGGATCTGGAAGAGTTGTTATCATTGACGTGTTCTGAATGATGTGAGCTGTTAGCCAATGAAACAGTCTGTTACAGCGAGCTTTAGGCATGTTTTGCACAGAACTGTGGGTAATCCACTAGTAACATCAATGCTGATTGGTTAATCAAATTTCTGACGTCGTAGGGTCGAAAGCCACTCGTTTGACCTCTGACACAACCTATCACTACAACCGGTCAGATCTTCATGTAGTGTAGACTATCAAAAGTATAAAAAAACGAAACGAAATATAGATCTGTGTTTTAATCAGATTGTATATGTTTTGTTTAAGTATTTGGTTTGGGGTTGCGGGGGGTCCTTCTTCTTCTTTTTCTTCTTCTTCTTCTTCTTCACCACAAACACTTGACTATCTTATTGAAATATTTTGTTTTGCGATTTCAGGGAAGATTTGTTGACAAGTTTACCTAAACTAATAGATTGTATAGATGAATGGTTACAGACGGAGACACAGTCTACTAATATACAACATGATACAGATATACTACAATCACTTATTACATTAATACATGATGCTTTCAAAAATAAACAACATAATATATATACTCTACATGAAAGGTATAAAATATTTTATATACAAAAAAACACAATATCTGTTAAAAACAAATAAGACTGTGTCTTGATGTTATTTTTGGAGATTTCAAGCAATCCAGATTTTCTTCAAATCTCACATTTAACAAAGTAACAACTGCATTATGGTTTTTAAGACATAAGCAGGCCTAAGAAAGATTTTTTTTCTGAGCTATTATTGTTTAACATACATAAATGATATAAATTCTATGAATTATTCATGTCAATAGGTATAGTGAATATGCAGTAGTTAAAGCAACTAAAGATAATGCCCAGCAAGCTGTAGAAGAAACTATAAATGAACTTAGTACATGGCAGGAGGTTCATAAGGTAAATAGATAATTTATATTATTAATATATGGATAATATTCATGTTATAAATCTTCTATGAATTACTCAAGCATTTAAATTTTGCCATTGTTGGGTTGTATAAGAAGTTAAAGATTTTAATTATATATTTAATTTTAAAGATACATTATGTAAGATTTAGATAGAGAGCTAGCCATTCTTGCTATAATAGTTCGAAAATAGATAATGTAAAATAAATAATTTGAAAATTTCAATCCAATTACTTTATTGCAAGCGAAGATATTAGCCTTTGAAGGTTTGACAAGACGTGTGCAATAATTACAACCACCGTACTGGTTGTTCGAAGCTAAGTCTTGCTCCTCCATTTTTAGCTTAAATCAAAATATGACTGACCTGTTCTAATCTATTTAATATCGGAGAAATCCCATGCCATTTAGAGTTGATTATGGCCTGGATCAGTTAATTAATGTCTAATTAATAATTTAGAAAAAAGAAAGACCTGCAATAGGCAGATTTAGCTCTTGCATAATGTATGTTTAAATTTACATATTTTATTTTTTATTTTTTTAGCATGTTATTGAGAGTGTGCAAGGGGCCATGTTTCAAAAGATGTGTGTAGATGTAGCCAGTACATTGGATATTGGTCCACCAAGTTATTCTGTAGCTACAGAATTTCTACATGGTGCTGGTCAGACTCACATGATTGGGCAGGTAAAATATACATATCATAATTTATGTCACGTCATCTTAATTAACATTAATTCATACTGCAGAGATATAAACTTAAAATGCTTTATCACTGTTAACGACAATCCCTTTTATCAGTGTATGAAAGTGAAAAACTGAATTTTTTATCACTTTTAATTTTTACACTCAGTTGATAGTGTAATAGGATTTGAATATTTCATAAGCGACAAATTTGTTTTGTCCATAAAGACATACCTCTTATAGTTATAGAATAAATAATGTTAAAATTGATCTCTGTTTTGTATTTTATATAGAGTGAGTTGTTAGAAACGGAAATAAGTGGTTTATTACAACAGAGAAGATCACTGATTATATCATCGCTAGAAGTACTAGCTAGTTATAGTAATATGATATCACAGGTATACATTAATATTACTAATATTCTAGAATTACTAGCTACTTATAGTAATATAATATCACATGCATATTGAAATATATTACTAGTAGTCGAGTTCTTGAATGTCATTGCAGATATCATTTTAAAGTCCAAGCTGTTTCATTTATATGGCCACACTTCATTTCTTGTTCGTCTGTCCAAAATTCTAATTAACACTCTGCAAGTCAGGGATGTGGTTAAATATCTGTCAAAGGGGCTGAACCTTGTAATTCAATATTATGGATAACATCCGAAATTAAAAACATGAATTAAAAATCAATATTGGTTCATTTCAAGCAATATTGATGTTGTTACCATACTGTGAAAATATGGGATCCTAATGTCCAATATTTATCAGGATACAACATTGTGTACTCTATGGTTTTGAGTGCTATTTGTAATGAACAAAGAAAAACATATCACACATCACACATGACAATGTGAAATTTATTAAAAATGGCTGATACACAAACGTCAAAATAATAGTTTAAAATATGTGTAGAATGGACTAAGCAGGTACAAAACAACTGACGTTCAATTTTTATACCCATTTTCGTTAAGTTAAGGTTCAAAAGAATAGACATTTATCTCCTTTAAAAGTTGGGTTGTTTTTTTGTTTGTTTTTTTTTTTATACTAAAAAAATTGACTGCACAGTTTGTGTAGACAGTAGTGAGAATAATGCATATACAGATGTGGATAGTGCTGATGTCAAGTATCGATACCGATGAGATTCTCGACCCTTTTCTCGTATTATCGAAGCATCAGCAAAAAATACTAATAATTACCTTTATGTGTCCAAGAAGTTCACAAGTTTGTCAACTAGAATAAGTAACACATTTTCAATACGTTTTGTGGTTTTGTTTTTTTTTTTTTTAATTTAAAATAAAACAATATACAGGTAACGAAACAAATCAATGAGTCTCGCACATTGTATTAGGCTAGCCCACCTTGACCTGTTTATGCTACAATACCATTATGTTTGTTTGATTTTCCCGTGACTGCAAAGACTGCCTTTGTTGGTTACTTCCCCTGGCTATCATTCCCTTCAACCCCAAGGTCAATTTCATGGTTCACTAACATATGTTTTACAACAAAGACACACGTTTATGTAGATTATTATAATACATCATCGCAAGGAAAATAATTCTCTGTCATTTTCAAAATATTTTTGTGCTTGGGCACAATCCAGAGATGTCTTTTACTCATTTCACTGTTCATTGACTTTTGATTGACATCCCTAACCATTTCATTTAAATGCCAAATCTAATATACGGTCCATGGCCAAATGAACTATGTCAGGAGGATAATATTTCCCTGTCGGTCTTTAATGCTAGTATTAAAACGATTTAGTCATATTTTCTGTCACGAGCAGTAGAGAATGTCCTTCATAAATACCTATAGACAGGTTTTGATACGACCGGTATAATACAAACTGTCTCTTGTTATCACCTTACCCCTCCCTCCTGCCCTCACAACAAGCGCTAACAAGTCAAGTGTCAATTGAAGTGAATCAGACAATATTTATGACATAATTAATGAAGAATATTGTGGAAATGCTTTTATTCAAATAAATCGACATTTCTATAACCCGTTAAGTGCGTAGGTCGTTATATAACGCCTTGGAGGTATTTTCCCCAACCTATTCTTAGAATATAGTTCGTCACTTGGGCGAATCCCTTAGGAATTCCCCCACGATTGCAACATGTGTAGGACGTTATATTACGTCCTGGACAACTGTCACTCACTGTGTGTAGGGCGTAATATAACGCCTTGGAGGTATTTTCCCCAACCTATTCTTAGAACATAGTACATAGTTCTTCATCACTTCGTCAAATTAATTACACAATAGGGGGTAGTTAACGTTTTAAAAATGTCACGCTAAACGGGTTAATAATGTTGGGGAAATCTATGTTACTATCAAAAATGCTAATGTTATTTGTAATTTTTGAAAAACAAAATGGCGGCATCAATGTTTGCATCCGATGCATCAATGCTTAAAATTTTACTTGATATCAGCACTAGCTGTGGATACTGTATATATAATAATTTTAAAATTTCAGCATTTAGGAAATGTACAAATTTATATTAATGTTTTTATTTCAGTTTGGTATACGGTTCTCTGATCAGTGTAGAACTACACAATATCTTCTCTGGTTACAAGAACTATTATGTTGTTTTACTACAAAACAGTAAGTATTGCATGAATATCTCTAATATTTTTGATATGGATATTTTTAGCATAATACATGTAACTTCAACTTGGTACTTAATACATCTAATTACACACTAAAACAAATATTATTGCCATCCCTATTATTATGTTTATTGTGATGATTATATGTATTATTGTTATTATTAATTATTTGTATGTTTATGTTATTCAGATGTGATGAAATCAGCAAGAGATTTCAAGATGAGTATGGTTTAGGTTCGAACGCCCAGCTAGTTAAAGCTCAACACATACTCAATGGTGAAGGTCGACTTCAAGCTATAATAACAGACTGTAATGCGAAAATGATCAAGGTAATAATAGTGCCATAATTTTATGTTGATCTTTAAATATCAATGATTTATTTGACAGAATGCCATTCTTTACATGAAACAGTATTAATTACTTTCTCTTAAACTGGATTATCGTAAAATATATTTATGCATGCATCCATCATTGAGGCATAGATAATGATCATTTGAGATAAAATTATGGCAGTAGTTCAGGATATAATTTGTTTTCTTTTCTTCATCTTCTGACAAACTTTTCACTGTGTATAGAACATTATAGATTTCACATATTTTGTTAATATTTGATTAAAATTTTATTTTATTTAAAATTCAGCTGATGGAAAGAAGAGCTTTAGAGTCAGTTGAAACATCAATTTTAGAGATGCAATTATTTGAAGCCGAAGCAGAAATAAAAGCTTTCGTTCATGGTAAGCATTACATTTGTTAATATTTCAATATGTTAAGATATTTTGATTAGCTGGTAATAGTTCTATAAAATATTTGAGTTGTATCCCAAAATTGACATAAAACAAGAGTTATATTCTTACAGGTAATGCCGAGCACACATTGATTAAAAAAAAAATAATAAACAGATTTATGTAGCTAACCTTTCGAAAAACCTTATATCACACTGCATGACATCTGCCCATCTTAATTAGCATGATTGGTGCAGTAAAGTAGGACATTATTTTTTCATTTTTATTTCATTTCTGCTTGGTCTTAATTCATTCTCAATATTTCATCAGGATAATAAAATTTCATTGTTTGAAAAGTGTTTATTAAATTTGATAATAATTATTTTTAGAGAATGGTATGTGTGGTGTTAGTTCATTAGTATGTATGATAGTAACAGTTCTATGTTCTCTTAATAAAAGATTTCTGTTGATGGAGGGAGCTGCAGCAGGTAATTTATTTCATCAGTGACTATTACTGCTATTCTATCTAAAAGGTTGCAAAATGTCTCTTTTGGGACACATTATTAATGTTTTTTGAGCGCTGTGGTCATCTGCGTTAATTACACCCTTTGAAGTTATAGCCATCACTATATTATGTTTAGTCATCCTTGAATCCCCTTCCACCGTAAAGCTACTCTGAAGACGTTACAAAATCTTACTAGAAGTTTTAGTTATCCAGAATTTATTAGTCATCTAATATTGTTTGATGTTGCACATAATTTTTTAGATAGTTATTGTTGGTACAACTAAAGTGGAACTCCTGCTGTGTGTATTGTCTTCATGCTATATTTTATCTTTATAATACTAGGTGCTGGTGATAGATTAATGGACTTAACATCAAGAGATGGTGATTGGTTTCTAGATGAATTATGTAGTATGAGTGGAAATGTTAACATGTTTCTTATGACTCTAAAAACAAACATGGTGGTAAGTTTTTCTTATTGTATTATTTTATAAGGCTAGACTGGAATAGAATTAAATAATATTTTGATATTTGATTTTTTAATCTGGCAAATTAGTTATGGGTATTGCAGTTATGTAATTTATTTATTCTTATAACTGTACTCTGTTTCTTCATTACAGACAAGTGACATGGAGAACTTCAGAGAATTACATCATGCTCTATCTTCTACTCATAATTCTTACTTAGCTTTACAGGTAATACATATATATATATGTTTTTAATACATATTTCTTATAGTAAATTATATAGGTTCTTAATACATATTTCTTATATTAAATTATAGATAAGTTTTTAATACATATTTCTTATGATAAATTATATATAGGTTCTTAATACATATTTCTCATAATAAATTATATATAGGTTATTAATAAAAATTTTATATAGATTGTTAACACATATTTTTTTATAAGCCCACATTGAAATGGGGTCGTATATTGTCGTTACCTCCGTCCATTCGGCGTCCACAATTGCTTGTGGACGCTCTAGAGGCTAAAGTTAATATCTGATTGACTTAAAATTTAAACAAAGTGTTTAAGGTCGTGAGACGAAGAAGCCCAGTTTTTTTTTTAATGATTTCTGATAATTACTACCGGAGTTATGGCCCATGATCACTTTGAAAAATCTTGTGGATGCTCTAGAGGCTAAAGTTATTTGATTGACTTTAGATTGATACACAGAGTTTAAGGTCTTTAGATGAACAAGTATATTGATTTTCAATGAACTTTGAGAACTTGAACACCGAAATCCATTTTATTAAATTTTTCATATACAAAACGTTAGCATGGGGCAGAACTAAAAGCCAAACAAATTCTAATGATTCTCTGATAATTACTTAATGAGTTGTTACTCTTAATCAGATTTTAGTGTATTATAGATGTTTCATTACCGACAATAGAAAAAAATATGCGACAACTCTTGTTGACAGCTTGGACGACTTAGTTGCTATGGGCATATGTTTTGTTGCCTGGCAAACTATTTTTAAGATAAATTATAGGTTCTTAATATATATTTATTATAATAAATTATATGCAAGTTCTTAATACATATTTCTTGCAATAAATTATATGTAAGTTCTCAATACATATTTCTTATAATAGATTATATATAGGTTCTTAATACATTGGTTCTTAACATATTTATAAATTATATATAGGTTCTTAAATCTACCTCATTTTGAAAATATGTCAGTTTTTCCAAGTAACCACTAGAGTTCTCCCAACTGCAGCCTCGAAGAATCCTCTGAATGCAAAGATGCTCTATATCTGTATTGATAATAGAAAAGTTTAAATTTTTTGTACGATATATAAAACCAAACTGGAATTTATAACTTTTCAGCTTTATGTTTCATATATAGCTGTCAATCAAAAACAAGTTCTGTTAAAATTGAAATATTTGTTGCAGGATCTTAATATAAACTTTCGAACAGTGATCCTACCAGAAACTCTGAAACTAATACAGTCTCAAGATGGTAGTTTTCTACAAGTATTAGCTGACATGGAGACAATAGTACAAGATGTAAATCAACCACTAGATAGAATTCTTAATCAACTAGAAGTTCTACATAGAAACGCTGTACTGGGGATAGAGGTTTGTTTGAGCAGTATTGTTTTTATATGCCCACATTTTCATGTGGACGTATATTGTCTTTGCCCCTGTGCGTCCCTCTGTTCACATTTTGTTTGTAGACACTCTGCAGGTCACAGTTTTTATCCAATTTTGATGAAACTTAAAATGTATGTTTATATCCCAAAGATCTTGGTTCTTTTTGATATTGAGGCAGTTCGTACCGTAACATCCTAGAATATGGCCCCTTATTGTTCTCTGTCCATCTCTTGCAAAATGTGGGTGTATCTTGCATGTCAACGGCTTGTTATGAAGTATACTGGACTCTATGATTATTTGTTGATTTGTTGTCATGATTGTTTTACATTATGACATTATTGATTATAGCCAATTGTGAATAATTTGGTCCGGTATAGACCAAGCACAGTACAAAAATTCACCCAACCATGACAGTGGAATTTTCATTTTCTAGCTTTTTTCGTGTCACATTCTATAAACTCTACAAGTATAGGTTTCTCATTGACTGTCTTCTTTCACATTGTATACATTGACATAAAATTCTGTCGGCTTTCACATTGCATACATTGACTTAAACTTTGTCTGCTCACATCATATATATTGAATTAAACTTTGTCTGCTTTCACATAATATACATTGCCTAAAACATCTGTCAGCTTGCAAATCATATACATTGAACTTATGCTGTTTGCCTGGCACATACATTGACTGGACTTTATATCAGCTCTCTTCTCATCTATTGTAGGTTTTTCTGTTTAAAATTTTTTTTTTTTTTCCAGAATGAGAATTCCGAAATTCTTCTGACAGTTAAAAAATTACAGAAACGATATAATAACTTACTACAGTCAACTACTACTGGTGAAATGCCAACAGGTCAGATGTTGATAATGGGATTCAATGGTTTGTTTACTCGTTTAGAAGATGAGTTTAATACATTGATGGATGCTATGGATACTATTATACTACTTGTACCAGAATCTTGGAAGAAGATAGATGCTGTTAGAGATGCTAAAGCATTACAGGTAAACTTTTAATACTGAAGGCTTTCCATAATTTGTGTTCAGTAGATCTGAATTGACCACTATTTTATTCTGGCTTTTGGACGAAATAAATATCTAATTAAGTTGTCGGCCTAATGAATAATTTGTTTTATAGATTTAATTTTATTATGTTTCAGCTTTCATCATTTACATCTAGTACTCGTAGCTTGTTGTCAGCTCTTTTCTTTGTTAAAAGAATGCAGGCCATGCAGGAATTCTTTCATATGGTTACTCAATTTGCTGCTGCTCTTCAAGGTAATACTAATACATTATTTTTTTGCTGTTGATTAAATTGTAAGTGTAATTTCAAAAAAACATATCCATTTCTCAGAAATATACCCGTTGCAGGTAATATTGACATGTGGGATCGTGTTAAAGTTATGGAAAGGATATGATGAAATAATTACTTGCATGATTTAAAAAAAAATTGAAGCTTTTCCGGTGACCTTTAATGATCTTTGTTTTTATACGCACACATTGAAATGTGGTTGTATATTGTTGTCGGTCCATCCAGCGTCCACTAGCAAAGTTAATATCCGGTTGACTTTGAATTTATACACTGTTTAAGGTCATGAATGAAGAATCTTATTGATTTTCACCGATTTCCAATAATTACTGCCAGAGTTATGGCCCTTGATCCCTTCGAAAAGACTTTTGGACGCTCTGGCTAGAGGCTAAAGTTATTATCCAATTGACTTTAAATTTGTACACAATGTTTAAGGTATCAAGTCATGATTTTATATTTATACACCATGTTTACACCTACCGGTATATATAATCGTTTCAATTGACTTTAGATTGACACACAGAGTTCAAGGTGTTGAGACAAACAAGTATATTGATTTTCAATGATTTTTGATAACTTGAATAGCTAAATCCATGATATTAAATGTTTTGTATACTAAATGTTAGCATGGCCCAAACAAATTCTAATGATTTTCTGATAATTACTTAATGAGTTGTTATCTTAAAAAGATTATAGTGTGTTTAATTACCAACAAAAGTAAAAATATGCGACAACTCTTGTTGACTGCCCGAATGATTTAGCTGTTGTGAGCTTATGTTTCATTGCCTGGCAACCTATCTTTAATTATTCTGTTGATATTTATATGCAAGGCAATGTTTCTAGATCACTACAATATGGTTCTTTTTAATGGTATCAATATTGACATCAGAATGCCCATAATGGAGTTCAGTCATCATAGACCTTTAATATTTTTATTTGTATATTTTAAAGGTTTAGAAGGTGGATTGTGCTATGATGATGATCAACTTGCTAAACCTGTCAAGAAATTTATAGCTGAATATGTTAGAAAACAAGTAAGGACGTTTTGCTTGTTTCATTTCCATTTCAAAATACCATAAGACTTAACAGAAAACTTAAAAACTTCATTTTTGTAAGACAGCTTAAAGATACATTAGTTAAGAGTTTTATAAAGAGTTGGCCATTCTTGCTATAATAATTCAAAAAAAGAAAAAGTTGAAAATTTCAGTCAAATTACATTGTTCTGAACGGATTTGTCACTGTTGGAAGTTTAGACTAGAAATAGGCATCAATTGTGTCTGCACCGTCTATGAGAATTGGCGATCGTTTGATTGACAGACGATAACTCAATCTACATATTCTTGATTATCAAGTTACATGCTCAATGGCTATAGTAGCTTCGCTTGGCAGGTCTTTCATCACCAGTTTCCGGTAGTGACATCAGCGACTAACAATAAACGTTAGCTTGGTCCGCCATTTATTGATTTAATCCAAACTGTATCCAGGTCATCCGTGGGTCTACAGAGTTGATTTTGAGTAGGGGGTAAATGGCTGAATGGTTAGCGTGCGCGCGCTGTATCATATAGTCTGTCATTGAGTCAACTGATGTGGTTTCGAATCCTTCGTTGTACGTGACTAGGAGTAGGGTCGCCTGTCCAACCTCGTGGGTTTTCTCCGGGTCCTCCGGTTTCCTCCCACTGCTAAAGACCCCTATGCGCAAGCGAATTATTGAAATAAAATTAAACCATATGTTAGTCCCGAAATGACCTAGTTGTGTCGAGTGGACGTTAAACCCCATTTCTCTCTCTCTCTCTCTGCATGGATTATCTTCATGTGGACGTATATTGTCTTCGCCCCTGTGCGTCCCTCCGTTCACATTTTATTTGTAGACACTCTGCAGGTCACAGTTTTTATCTTATTTTGATGTATGTTTATATACCAAAGATCTCGATTTGTTTTAATATTGAGGCAGTTAGTACCGTAACATCCTAGATTATGGCCCCTTATTGTTCTCTGTCCATCTCTTGCAAAATGTGGGTGTATCTTGCATGTCAACGGCTTGTTATGAAGTATACTGGACTCTATGATTATTTGTTGATTTGTTGTCATGATTAATTTACATTATGACATTATTGATTATAGCCAATTGTGAATAGGACCTAGTTGTGTCGAGTGGACGTTAAACCCCATTTCTCTCTCTCTCTCTCTGCATGGATTATCTTCGAACTTTGCATATTTATTCCTTATACTGTAAAGACAGTAACTACTTATTTTGGTGCATAACCACTTTCCTGTTAATATTGTCTGTAAATTTGGCAAAACAAACCCAACGCCTAGCCTTTTTGCTTCTTGTCATATTACAGTCATTGCAGCCATTTCATATTTCAATCGCTTCATTTTAAGAGGTACCATATTAATCAAAGCTGGAATGTTGCAGTGTTAGCGCTTGTTAAAATACCCATTTGTTTTTTTAGGTGATTGGTTTCCCATCTCAGATACTGGGTTATTTAATGTGCGTGTTGATTGATAGTCTAGGGTTAAATGTATCAGCAGAAATAGAATTAAAGGATATTGGTGCCGAGTCAAAGGTAGCATTAGATGATTTATGTAAGAAAGGTGTTGAAATGTGTTTAAAGGATAATCAGTTTCAACATGTACATTTAGTACAAGCTACAACACTTACTACAGCACATGATACTGCCTGGAGAAAACAAGACTTGGCTAGGTTGGTATTAACAAAACTCACAAAATTTTGTATGTTGCTAATTCGTCGATCACATTTATAACATGTCAATTGTCATGCCTGTTGGTGACTATTTCCGCAATTATTGCCTGTTACAATTAGGAGCTATCACTTTATTATGTGGAGTATAAGTCATTGTATATAATGTCTTTTCTGTTTGATGATGCTGGTGCCCATGGTAGTGGAGTAGAAAGAGCAATTACCTCTCAACTATATTGTCCCACTTACTAATCTAAGTGTTGGCTAATGAGAAAATTAAAGAATATTGATATTGCTCCATGTCTTTTATCTTGTACGGAACAATGGTAAGGTTATCAAATAACTCATAAACTAATGTTTTAATCTTACAATTGGTTTATTTGTGTTTTGAAGGAGATTGGACAGTAATATAAGATTATTCCAGTCCAGTACACAAAGAACAACTCTAACATTGGCTCGTTTCCAGTGGTTACATGAAGATATCTTTACTCAATCTGGTCGTCTACCTAATCAACTTCTGGCTCCACACAGATCTACTATAATGTCTGATATGAGAAAGGTATGCATATTCAAGACTTTGATATTTTATTGCTAGCAAGTGTTATGTATCAGTACACATTATTAGGCAGAGGTTTTGACAGCTATGCTAAAAAAACAAACAGCATAAAAGTCTAACCTGTATAAAATAATAATCAAACATTGCTGTTTGTTCTTCTTGGGAGTGACATTCGTCGAATGAGTCTTGCTCCACCAATTCTTCTTGGGAGTGACATTCGTCGAATAAGTTTATGGCTCCACCAATTCAAGTACTTGTATTTGTTTTTTGTTTTGTCATTTATGTCCACTTATGATGATTTTTTATCACCCAATTTCTAATTTAATCAGAGTATGAAGAATTTATCGAATCAAGAGACTTTAATAGTAGCGTGTCAGGAGAGATATAATCAACAAGAAGAGAATATAGCTCAGAGATTACGATGGGCTGCTGGAGCTAATCCTAATCTTAACTTTACACTACAAAAATTTGAAGAGGCTAGTCAACATAGAAAAATGACACAAGAGGTAGGATTCTATTGAACTTTGATTACTCTTTCATCACTTATTAACGCGGGATTGAATGGATGAGTTGTCTTATGTTATAAAGTCGTATATTTGTGCAAACTCAGGTGTTCAATCCCTGTTTAGAATGCGATCAGAGGTAGGGTCATCTGTTTAACCTTGTCTGTTTTTCTCTAGGTGTTCCAACTTAGCAAAAACCCAACACACAAGCATATTATTGAAATAAAAATACATAATGTGTTGGGCCTGAAATGACCTGTTTATAGTGATGAGTTAATTTTGAACCCCAGTTCTCTCTCTAATTATCAGCACATTTCATCCCCTTTGACCAGTGACACTTTTTGCCTGCAATATAATGAAATTGTTAGAACTTATCTATATGAAACCATGGACCATATATAGATGGACAAGCAACATGTCCCGTTGGTTGGATTCTCTGCCGCTAGCGCGAGACACAACGAGATCTCAATATCAACGGCAAATCAAGCGATGTGATTTTTGACTTTGCGTGATTTTATGCTGATTAATTTCTCGAATTCCTCCTTAGAATTTACGGTATTCTTATAGTTAAACGGTAATTTTTCAACCCGATAAGTATTCCTATCTGGTAGTGATGAATTTCTCCAGTTTAGAACTTTCAAATTTCCAAATGCAGCAGTTGAAAATTGTGAAATGATCGATTTCAATATTTTCGTAGTTTTCGTAGGCATTTTGTTTTTGCTTAATACTCCAAACTCCCGCATGTATGAAGGATTTAAAAATTATGAAAATATAGTTCAGGTATAATACTGTCCGGAATGATGATTAATTGTGCAGAAGTAAAAATTAAAAGAGTGTTTTATTGGGTTTGTTTTTAACAAAACTCGACATGTTTTTTTTTTTTATTCATATGGGTGCATTCGAAGTAAACAAAGACGATGTGTTGATACATTTACACCCCAATCATCAGTTAGTAGGCTATCTATGTATGGGTTGCAAAATAAAAAAGAGTAGCAAGATTAATAAAAATATTATGGATTGATTTCTGTTTCTTTGCTTTTAAACTTAATACTGGTAATTGCGCGAGGGGAGGTAATTTTATTTTAGTCATAATTGTCAGGTCTTTTTTTGCCTGTCCATCTATACACAGTCCATGATGAAATCTATATATATAAATCACTGGTTATTACTGTTTCAGGAAGAATTAAAGAGAGCAACAGATATTATCAACTGGTGTCAAGGTATATTACATTTTGAGGCATCTAGAACTCGTACATCTGAGGCTGTTACATCTGACACAAACTTTCTAAGTTTACTTCACAGGTAAATGTTATTATTGCTCACCATTATTTTTGTTTTGTGAAATATAAGTGGATAAGAGTTGTATTGTTATCTTTTAGGGCATCAGATTATATGCCATGTATATAATTGAGTTGATAAATCTGAAATTTCCTTGATTTAGTATCTCTATGTAATATTTGATATAGGAGATCTATTGATATATAGAATTGATAACCAGTATTTAAATATAATCTTTGATATTATAGGGTTATTGAGTGTGGAATTGTTAGGGTCGAGAGCTTTCCCTAGTGGTTTGGACAGTTGCGCATACAAATATTATTATTGTTGTTATTAATTGTTAACCAGTATTTAAGTATAATATTTGATATAGGAGATGTATTGTGACAATATAGAAATATAATATTTGATATTATAGGTGTATTGAGTGTTGTAAGTTGATGGAAAGTACAAACAGTTTTGTTACAGAATTAGAAGTACAGTTAGTCGAGAAGAAGGTTAGTAGGCCACATAAATAAAATATTCTGGTTCTCAGATACCCCCTAGTGTGTTTTATATAGACAATTATCAATTATATAACATTATTTAATTATTATGTAGTGTATATGTTTCTGTCAATATTCTCCTTTCATTACTGATTTATGTAATCTGTTATCTTCATATTTATTTAATTGATATTAGTATGATTAATTACTGAGATACCAGTAAGTATTGTGAAAAAATCAAATTTTCACATAATACGAATTGTTGTATTTTCATACTTACCATGATAATTGATTATAGTATTATTAAATACAAAGGTAAAATCAAATTTACAAATAAAAAAATTGTATTTTCATGCTTACCCTTAGTAATTGATTCTAGTGTTATTAAGTTTTATGGAAAATCTGATTTACAAATTAAAATGATATGAATTTTGTTACAGCCATTGTCAAAAGGTGAAGTTATTGATTCCAACTGGTTACAGGGTTGTCTCAAGACAATAGAAAATAATATGAGTGAAAATAAAAGTAAAGCTAATAAAGTCCAATCACAACTCAAAACTGCAAAGGTAAATCGGTTTCCAAGATTTGACTTCTTTAATCCTGTCCTCTCGGTGAAGAAGAGTAAGATGTTAATCTCATTTCATTTTTTATTTAATTTCATTAATGTTCTGAAATTAGTGATCCTAATTAAATATTTGTTGTAGAATCAAATTTCTAAATGGAAACTTTAATATTTTTATTCTATGGATTCTTAAAAAATATATATTCACTCAGAATATAAAAGAAATGATCATTCCCAGTGTAATATACTATTATGTATTATATATTTTAGGTTGAGTGTCAAGATAAAGTATGTGATGTTAAAGCTATTTTAAGTACTCATCATAAACTCATGTCAGATATTAGATCTATTCTTAAATCAGTTGCTAAGGTATGTACTTATATTTGTTATTATATATTAGCATACACAATAAAAGGTAGTCTTACCTAAAAGCATATTGGTCCAAATATGATTAAAATCGATGAATCCAAAGTTATGGCCATGTAAGGCCACACAAAATAAATGTCTTGTTTCTCGGGCAACTGACAGCTGAAACTGTAGGGAGGGAGGGTGGTTTCTTTTTTTTTTTTACTCATTGATGGTGCAAAATAAAATTTGGCTATTGCTGAAAATTGTTGGGGCGGGAGGGCGGTCTTTCTTTTTTTTTTTTTTTAAATGAGAAAGTCATTACTTGTTTACGTTTTTGCTTTCCGTTATATTCAACTTTATTGTACATACTTAAAACATAAACCCAAAATCAAGTCTACTAAAACACTGAGACTGAACACTGACTGAAAGGAAAATAATTTTCCATATTTAATTCACATAATTGAAATTGGTTTAAAATAAAATTCCATACGACTATGTAATTGCCCTCCATAAAGACAACAATATTTTTAAAAACTAAGCCTCTTTCACCAGGTGTATCAAAAATAATAATCATGGTAAACAGTATTTAAAACTAAATCTAGTATCGCCGGTTTATTTATAATTATTTACCGAATTCCAACCAATGCATGTCACACCGTGTCATCGGTATTGGAGATTGCCGGAAATACTGTTTCTTGGGATATTCGGTGTGTTTCTCAGGATATTCGGTGTTCTATCCGGTGTTTATATTGAATGACTATTTAAATCTAACTAACAACTGGTCAGTAAAACCATCAAATCGGTAATCCAATTATTATTTTCCGGATTATCGAAACTACCGTAAATGTGCTAATAATGACCCAGATTCTAAGGTATGCATTATGACGACTATCGTCATCGTATCGTATTCTTAGCAATAATTAATTAACCTGTTCTACGGTTCATTATTTTATCAATAGGACTTTCCAAACAAGGACCGACTGAAGCCGGCAATAATGAGCCAATTACGATCGAATGATTGAAATATTGTCGCCAATGACTTTTAACACGAATCAAATTCTAGTTTATCAGGGGAGGTAATTAATATCACGTGATACAAAATGGACGTTCTTTCGATATCAATAAAAAAGGCAAATCTGCCAAACTTCGCCATTGTTCGGATAAAAAAGACAGCATGTTCATCTGAATCAGTTTTAATACATTTGAATAGATATACATGTATGGCGGATGTAGGTACATGCGGGATATTTTTTTTAAGACTTGCTTGTCGATGTGCGGGCGGGCGTTACATATTTATTTTTTTTCATCAAGACTAATAAATAGACTGCACGCGCAACCAATTTTGCGTGCGGGCGGTGCCCGAGAAACAAGTTATTTTATTTGTGTTGCCTAAACGTCACATTACTTTCTATTGATTTCATTCCCCGGTTGTTCGTAACAAAGAGTAGGTTCGCCTGTCCAACCTCGTGGGTTTTCTCCTGGTCCTCCGGTTTCCTCCCACTGTTAAAGACCCCTGCGCGCAAGCAAATTATTGAAATAAAATTGAACAATATGTTAGTCCTGAAATGACCTAGTTTGTGTCGAGTGGACTTTAAACCCCATTTCTCTCTCTATTGATTTCAAACTCTCCTCTCCTTTGTTTTTATACGCGCACATTTTCATGTGGACGTATATTGATGTCGCCCCTGTCCATCCGGACGTCCACAATTTGTTTGTGGACACTCTATACGTCACAATTTTTATTCAATTTTGACGAAACTTAAAATATACTTCTATCTCCCAAAGATCTTGGTTCCTTTCGATATTGGCATATATCAGACCATAACTTCATGGATTATGGCCCCTGATTGTACTAGAAATCACGTTTTTAGCTTGTGGACACTCTAGAGGTCACAATTTTCATCTGATTTTGATGAAACTTGAAATTCTTGTTTATAACCCAAAGATCTTGGTTCCTTCCAATATTTTCACATATCGGATCATAACTTCCTGAATTATGACCTCTGATTGTACGTAAAATCGCGTTTTTAGCTGGTGGTCCCTTTAGAAGTCATAATCATTATCCGATTTAAAAAAAACGTTTGAATATATTACCATTACACTGTAATGATGCTTGACTTCAAATGTTGTGAAAATCAGACAAAAACTGTCAGACAAAATGGTCGCCCCTCTTGAGCGATTGGTGTAAAAAATATGGTATATCAAGGTTGTGGACCTTCTAGAGGTCATAATTTTGATCCGATTTTGATGACACTTGAAATACATGTTTATAACCCAAAGATCTTTTTTTCTGTCTCAGTTTGCGCATATCAGATCGTAACTTCCTGAATTATCTCTTGCAAAATGTGGGCATATCCTGCCTGGCAGCCGCTGGTTTAATATGTGATGGGAATTAGTTTTGAAAACTGTACTGTACTGACTATGGTTTTGAACATAGAATTTTAGTTTTAATGGTCTACATTTATATCTAAAGAAAACTTCTGGGCCCTTGTTTCGGTAAATAAATATGACTTAGCCGTCTGGTGGATTGAGAATTTGAGCTAAGCAATGACTTAAAAGAATTGTTCACATTTTATACATTCTCAAAAAATTGATATATTGTTATCATAGAATGAATATTGTATTTTTTAGCAAGAAGAGATAGAATATGGTGAATATATAGTTAAAGGTGGTATTAGAGATTATCTGGTGAATTATAAAACTTTCTCTGAGAATATATCCTCAGCTTTAAAGAGTGTAACACAAGATGAAGACAGTAATCAAGGCATGAAACAATCTAGAGTTATGTTACATGATATTATAACTGATATACCAAGGTAAATTGATATACTATGTTACATGATATTATAACTGATATACCAAGGTAAATTGATATACTATGTTACATGATATTATAACATATATACCAAGGTAAATTGATATTTTACATATCCAATATACATTTAACAGGAGTAATGATATTAAAGACAATGTGAAAATAGATGCGCTACCTTACATTTATTCTATACCTAAATTCCATAAAAACCCGGTAAAATTCAGATACATAATATCCTCCAGTATCTGCCATTTGAAACCATTAGCTAAGACTATCACCAAAAGACTTAAATTATGCCAAACTCAACATGCCATTTGGTGCAAAACACTTCGTAGCTATACTGGAATTAATAGTTTTTTCATAATTGATAAAAATAAACCTATAGTAGGCACTTTAGAAAAAATAAACAAAAAAGTTAATGCAAAAACAATAGAAACGTTCAATTTTTCTACTTTGTATGCTATGCTTCAACATGCAGATCTTAAAGATAATTTGGATTGGTTTGTAGATAAAGCCTTTAATGGAGCTTTCGGGAAAGGCAGAAACTTGGCCATTTATGCAGAAGATGCTAAATGGATTATAAAACGTTGCAATGCTGACACTGTTGTTTTTGATAAAGAAAAATTTCAAAGCATCATACATTTCCTCATTGACAATGCCATATTTGAGGTTGGGGATCAGATAATACAGCAAACCATTGGTTTACTTATGGGAACTGACCCCGCCCCATTTATGGCTGATGCACATTTATATAAATACGAATTCTTCTTTCAAGACCATAAAAGAAAAACAGATTACAAAGTAGCTAAAAGTCTAAACTATACCTTCCGATACATTGATGACTTTAAATGCACTGCCAAAGGCGATACACAATTACGCATTTTAAAAGAAATTTCAAAATTTCCATTTCTTCAACATACCAAGTTTGACATTTCTTATAAGTATATAACCAACTACATACTGGATAATGATCCATTTTGAATTTAGATTTTCTGTAGTTACCTAACCCTGTCTGAATTACCTCCCTTATTTTTTATGCCTTTATAAATACACTTACATAGTACGATTTCTTCAGCTTACCTGTTTTCCATTTCTTGTGTGGGGTATTATATTAATAATATATTATAACTTGTACAATTACATAACTTAATAATTCCGATTAGTCGCTACAACTTATAGTTTTTAAGCTTTAAACGTTATTTTATCTGGATTATCGCCCTTATTATTGTGATTTTTTATCACCTTCTAAGATATGACGTCATTCCCACAATAACGTCGCCACTCAGTTAGCAGAAGATCTCGGTTCCTGTACATATTCGCGCATATCGGATCGTATCTTCCTAGATTGTACGAAATATCGCTTCTTCTTTTTTAGCCTATTCTCTGTCCATCTCTTGCAAAATGTGGGTGGATCTTGCATGGCAATCACTTGTTGTTTTTTGGATGGTTATACAAACCTCTTTAAAAATAAAAAATGATTATTCTCCATATCTAAGTAATCATGATATATTAAGAAGTTGTATATTTATATATTTTTTCCAGTATTTATAACACATTGATACAGTTGGCTCCACCTTTATTGAATTTAGGAGAATCAACCGAAAGTGGTAAGTCCTTATATTTACAAATGGTAAATTTGGTCAAAATGATTTGAAGAATGTTTTTTACAAATGTAAATTAACCAAATCAATTTCACCTATTATTCGCTGGTTTTACATAATTGATTATGCTAGTCTTCTAACTGATCAGTGAGCAAACATTTGATTCAATTTCCAAGATGATTAACATGTGGGTTTCCATTTGTCATTTTTCAGCAAGAATAAATAATTCTGATATTGAAATAGATAAATATCTGATTATTCATATTATATTTTTGTAGCAGTAAAGAAAGTGAAAGATTGTGATGGACTAGCTGGTGGTGATGTTGGTAGTCCAGTCAGAAAACCATCAGCTATACAAAGAGATCTGTTAGTAGGAACACCACCAAACAGTCCTCAAAATATTTCCCATAAACCTCACAATAGTAAGATACTTAATTTCATTTTTATATACCCATATTTGAATATGCCAAAAATGACATGTAAGGTGTATAGAGTCTACTGTTTTCATTTATTTGGATCAAATTTGTTATGTGACCCGATGTTCATGTGCTGTCAGAAGTGTTCAAATTAGAAATTTGTGGAATGATTGCTGCCATGTCAAAAAATTAAGTGACAGCTGATGATTTTTATACGCCCACATTTTCATGTGGACTTATATTGTCGTTGCCCCTGTCCGTCCACAATTTGTTTGTGGACACTCTACAGGTCACAATTTTTATCCGATTTTGACCACACTTAAAATTTATGTCTATCTCCCAAAGATCTTGGTTCCTTTTGATATTGGCATATATATATATCGGACGATAACTTCATGAATTACAGACAGCCCCTGATTGTACGAAAAATCAATTTTAGCTTGTGGACACTCTAGAGGTCACAATTTTCATCTGATTTTGATGAAACTTGAAATGCATGTTTATAACCGAAAAATCTAGAGGTCACAATTATTATCCGATTTAAAAAAAATGTTTGAATATAGGCCTATCACCGTTACACACCCTAATGACGACTGAGTTTGAATTTCATGAAAATCGGACCAAAACTGCTGGACAAAATGGGCTGCCCCTCATTTGCAAATAGTGTAAATATATGGTATTAAGGTTGTGGACCCTCCAGAAGTCACAATGTTGATCAGATTTTGATGAAACTTGAAATATATCTTTATAACCCAAAGATCTTGGTTTCTGTCGATATTCGTGCATATCAGATCATAACTTCCTGAATTACTTCCCTTGATTTTACGAAAAATCGCTTTTTGTTTAGCTTGTTCTCTATTCATCTCCTGCAAAATGTGGGCTTATCATGCCTGGCAGCTGCTAGTATGATTTATTAATTAATGCTGATGTTGCAGACAACATCACAATAATGGCAAGCCATCCGTATACTTCAATCACAATGTGATGCGATCACAGTGTATTTGTAAATTTTAGTAATTTGGCATTTTTACAACATATAATAATTGTTTGTTATATATTTTACAGCACCTGTTGTGAAAAGGGATAGAATATCAAGAGATCCTAGAACTGGAAAAGGTATTAAGTGCTTTATTTCTCTTTATCAGCCACAGTGACTCAGTGATTAGAGCACTAGCTTACAGACCAGGAGGTTCCGGATTCGAGCCCGGTGTGGGTCAAGAAAGTTGCTTATGATTTATCAGCCTCATTTCCCTTTGTCAGTTATGTAGATGGAAGGGTCTGGCAAACAACGTCTAGTCGGTCAGGTGGGACGAAAACCCAAGGACTTGTGTACACGCTGGTGTGCACGAGAAGCCACTGTCGGGACAATTTTTCACACATACCGCACTGCATGGCATATGCCAATCTTCATTCGCTTGGTACAAAAAAAGTAGGATGTTAAACCCCATTTCATTTTATCAAAAATTTAGGACCAATATTACCAGTATATATCTTAATCTGATTAAAATAAAGATCTATGTTACTTTCGATGGCCTACACTACATGAAGATCTGACAAGTTATACTATAAGCTTGTACGAGCGGCTTTTGACTCTACGACATCAGACATTGATTAATCAATCAGCGTTGACGTTTCTAGTGGTTTACCCACAGTTCCGTGCATGGCACGCCAAGAAGTCGCCGTAACAGACTGTTTCATTGGCTTATCCCTCACTTCAACCAAAAGGCCGATAATGTAACAACTCTTCCAGATCCTCCTAAGTGTAGTAATAAGTAAAGACAAGTAAAACGAAATTTTGAACTATTAAAAAAACAAAACGAAATAGGATTATATATATCTCTGCAGTTGTTAAGATATACTTTCTGTAGCACTGAACAAAATTGCTGAAAGATGTATTATTATATTTTTTTAGCGATACAAGAAAGAAATTCGTATGCTGTGGGTGTATGGAGAAGGGTGAAGATGAAACTAGATGGGAGAGATCCTGATATTAATAAAAGGTTATCAGTAGCTGAACAGGTCAGTTTTCTAAACTAAATCATTTATCTAAAACAGTTGATTATACTTGTGAGCTAGACTTTAGTTCAAATTGGAGAAGGTTGTGAAACGTGCGCTTTAAATCATGAGATGTCATTGTCAAGAGTAGTGGTGTGGTTTCGATCCCATTTTTATATATGTCATAAGGAGTAGGTTTACCTGCCTAACCATGTTGGTTTTTCTCCAGGTTCTCCTATTTCTAAAGACCCCTACATGCAAGCGAATTATTGAGAAAAAAAAAAATATACCAAGTTAGTCCAGAAATGACCCAGTTTGTGTTGAGTGCACATTAAACCCCATTTCGCCCTTTTTAGTTAAAATTATTAGGTGTGTTCATTGTAAATTTCCTTCACGTTGTAGGTCCTTTTGATATGTTTTTTCTTATTATTGTAGGTTGATTATGTTATTAAAGATGCCACCAACCTTGAAAACCTGGCCCTGCTATATGAAGGCTGGACACCGTGGGTGTGAAGAGATGGCCGTAGTGATATCTGGCTTACTTATCTCCTTGCCATCCTAAACAGAGCGTGTCTCTAACGTATAACGCTTAAACGACAGGATCGCAATAACAAAAATTACAAGAAGGAAGACCACACGGCTTTGTCCGTCGCATGAAGAAAAAAGCTAAATAAAACGCTCTCGGGCCCGGCCGGTGGGCCTATAAAATGAGAGTGAATGCTTTTTTGTGTGAGGTCTTTTCTTAACACCCTTCTATCAGGGTGGTTATGACAAGCTTGCTAGGGAGTTTGAATTAGAAGAAAGAACCATACTATGGTTGATCATCATAACATCCTTAACTCCTAAGCTCTTACTATGGTATGATGAAAGAACCATAATAACCCATGTATTATGCTGTGTCATGCTTATTGTTTGACCCAAGGGCATTTATTATACTGGGGTACTGTATTATATGGTTATATTTGTACAGAAGGGGCAGGGGTTTGGGACTTTGTTGTAAATTAAAGGGTTGTTTATATTGATTGATATATATCGTATGCTCACTTAATGTATATATACACATACTATCACTTTACGCCATTGTAGAATTTAAACCAGAACAAAAAATGTGGTCGCACTTAAATTGTGTAGATTAGAAAATAAATGGTACGCATTTACTGTATCTTGAAATGTGATGTTGTCATAATGATTATTATTACTTATTTTAATTATATTATCGAATACTATTGACAAAATAATGTCTTATAGATAAGCGATTGAAGCAGGAAAGTTTCACTCAAGGAATTCAAAGTTTCTAAAGGTATAAGTTACATTAGTTCAGAGAAAGGATTTCCTACTCACAATTGAATTAAAAAATTGTGTTGAATGTAAAGCTTTAAGATTTCCATTCATCACATACTTATTATATATTATTTATGTTTTATTGCAGATATTATTCATGTTAATTTCATGTATTTGTCTTTTTGGTGGTTAATAAAGTTGTATTTAATCAATTTGAGCTTATTGTTTGTGTTCATTTTATTGATTTACAAGGTCTATAACTTTTGTTGCAAGGTATTTTTAACATCTAATAGAATTCAAATTCTGGTAAACACAAAACAGTCATAACCCATAGGGAACACTGTAGTTTTTATTGTTTTATGGTCGGGTTGCTTCTGGTTATTAAAATAACCATTAACTGTTTTAGATTTACCAGAAAAGTATAAGGCACATTTACGTCCCTTATTGAAGAAAGTCACTGGATTGAATACTATTGGATCAAAATGGATGACAGCAAGCCAGCAAATATGTTACTTCTCAGAGTTGACAGACACAATCCGTCTGGTACTTGTCATTTTTTTCGACACAGATGTGTCTTTATCACTGTTATATTTATTGTACTGATACACATACTTTAAGATTCAACATGTCAGGTACTAGTTCATTTGTGACTGACATTTTGTCAGGTACGAATAAAATTATATCCAGACACCGATGACAATTCCTTCATAACGTCACAAAGTGTTAGTTTATAGATACATTTCGCACAAAAATATTTATTTCCAGTAAAAGTATGGCAGTTGTATATATGGATAGTAGAGATACAAAATTTTACTAGAAAAATACTGGATTCTCTGAGAACATCCATGTCACTGACATTTTGTCAGGTACGAATAAAATTATTTCCAGGCACCGATGACAATTCCCTTCATAGATGACAATTCCCTTCATAACCTAACAAAGTGTTAGTTTAAAGATACATTCCCCACAAAAATATTTATTTCCAATAAAAGTATGGCAGTTGTATATATGGATAGTAGAAATACAAAATTTTACTAGAAAAATTGTCGGCCCGACGATTAGGATTGTCTGCTCGAGTGACATCAAAGGTTGCACGTGCAGATTGTCTGACCTCTTTTCATTAGGAAGCACCTAATGTATATGTTGATAAAAATGATTGTGAGCGGACATGGAAAAAGTGTGAGACTTAAATGCACAACAGATTCTGAGACTAAACTGCGGAAAAAGAAGTGGTTAGGGGATATTATGACGTTTTGCTAAATTCACACTTACAGACTGTAGTTAGTAGGTGGCGACACAAACAGGGTCCATGATCTCGATAGGTCTACATCATGGATATATCGTTGAAGAAGATGAGATTACTAAAGTATGCACAGTTTGTCATTGAAGAAGATGAGATTACTAAAGTATGCACAGTTTGTCTCGGTGTCTTCTTATTTTTTCTACGTGAAGGAGAAGGTCTTCTCTGTGGATTTAGTTCATGAAAACCACGATTCAGAGAAAAATTATGGGCTGCATCATAGAAATTAAACAAAGTTTAGCCAAGTATCGTGAACTTAAGTTATAGGGGCTGCTATCCGTCTGTTACACTTTTATGGCGTTGCGATTCACGTCATACATTACAAAACCTGATGAAATTTTACTGTCTAAATGTAAGTGTAAATGTAAAGTTGCGAAACTTCTCTAATAATAAAAATCCCCAGAAAATCATAAGACAATTGTCTTTAAAGGCAGATCAATTTATTGCATCTTGTATAAAATATAAATACTTTGTAGTGTATAAATAAAATCTTTAAAATAATAATACATCCTTTAACATTTGGTTTTATCAATTAAAATATAATTATCTTCCATATTTAATTCAGTAATATAAGTGTATATTCATGTATTGAAAATTGTTATAAAATATTCTTAAATGCTGTCATTTACAAGTGTTAAGGCACAAATCTGACCAAGACATTTTTAATTTATATAAAATAGTAAATATTGCATAAAACTGAATATTTGTGATTGTATGTGTGGTCGATTTTAATTCTATTAAAATAGAATTAAAATCGACCACACATATACAATACACATTTGCAAACTCGATAAAAACACATCTAATGTCAAAAAAAACATCTGTACAAGAAAGTGGTTTGCCTTATAGAAAGGAGAACATCATTTGGTTTATTAGCCAATAACTGGTGTGGTTGAAAACCTTTGTCGACAGGAATGAAGTATTCTATTTCCAGAAATTCTAGCATTTTTATCTTTCCATGCAGAACCTTTACATTCACCTATAAAAAAATAAATATATATTTCTAGCACTATATGAATGTATTCAGTAGCCGGTTTCACAAAGCTTATGTAAAAGTAACCTACACCTAAATATAACTAGCGGTTGCCAGGCAAGATATGCCAACATTTTGCAAGAGATGGATAGAGAAGAAGCTAAAGTAAAAAACAAAAGCAATTTTCTGTACAATCGGGGGTCATAATCGAGGAAGTTATGGTCTGAAATGCACGAATATCGTAAAGGAACTGAGATATTCGGGATATAAATATATACATGTTTCATCAAAATCGGATTCAAATTATGACTTCTAGAGGGTCCACAACCTTGGTATTACATACTTATACACTATTTGTGTACAAGGAGCGGCCGTTTTGACCAGTAGTTTCAGTCCAATTTTCACGAAATTCAAACTCATCTGTCATTAGGGTGTAACAGTGATACATTTAAACATTTTTTTTTTAAATCGGATAAAAACTATGACGTCTAGAAGGGTCACAAGTACAGAAGGGCGGACTGGGGCAACGGCAATATGCGTTCACATGAAAATGTGGTCATATAATAAAAAGGCAAATGCCTTATGAAACAGAACCTTGATCTGTAAGCCTACAATCTGCAATATGTGGCATAACCACAATAACTTAGCCATGGTACCCTGTGAACTCAAACATCAGCATTGTGATTGAAACCCTAGCATTACATTTCTACTCTTAGTCTTAAATGAAACATCTAACTCTGTCCTCTAATAGGCTACATCACACTATTGGGTCATACATGTAGATGGGATATATCTGTGTGGAGAATGCAATTATGTCTACTCAAAATCTAGACTTCTAGCCAGATCCCCACCTTAACTATACATATCTGTTTAATTACCAATACCTATACTAATTTGATGTTTGCACATGTGAAACTAACCTGTAAGTAGATTGTATTGTTGTCTTATAGGATAACCCTGTGGTACACCAGGACCCAATATACAACCTAATTTACTGTGAATTCTTCCATATTGCGACCAATAACTAGCAACAGAAGAATCTGGACAAACAATTTTATTAATATCGGCACCATCAGTTTGATCTAATTTATTCTTCATTGAAATCAAATGCAGTCGGTTAGCCTGAAAAAAAAAGTGGCTATGATAAAATTAATAACAGATAGGTGTTTGAATCAGATTGCATGTCAAATTTGAGACAGACCTGCCAATCCATCACTACAATGTTTTTACATCACCCCAAGATCTTGGCCTAATGGGATCTTAAGATATTACATTGGTCTCAATGTAAATTAACAAATAAATTAAATATCTATATCCACATCCAGGTTCAAATGTTACATAAACTATTATTTAATTAAACATTTATTAACATAATAAGCCCATAAAACACTTCAGCCATTTAATGATTTAATTTAAAAATGGAGAAGCGAGACTAAGACTCGAATAACAAGTACCGTTGTTGCAATAATAAACAATCAATGCCAGATTTTGTCAAAAACTCCGAACAGTGATAACTTTGCTCAGAATAAAGTAATTTGAATGAAATTTCAATATATTCATTTTGCATTATGTATTTTTGAACTATTATAGCAAGAATGGCCAGCTCTGTATTTAAATCTTACATAATATATCTTTAATATTCACACAAGTTTCAACATTCTGGCTCAATTTGTAGCAAAGATAATGTATCCCTAAGTCAGACTATGTGGAACAGTGAAGTAAGGGCAGGTGCCTACATGCACTATGTACTTGAGATGCACCCGACGCCGACATTAAACACTATTCCTCCACCACCATTAAAATAGTTATAGGTTTGAAGTAAACCATAATCTCCTAGAAAAAAACCCTACCAATCCAGAACAGAGATGCATAAAAGCTTTCTCTAATATCCACCATCAAATTGGGCAACTTGGTTAGCTGAGCCCATCATGTTTTTTGTACATAAAGGGTTAGAAATTCCCACTGAAAAAGTCCATGGCAATGAATAGATTGCTAAATATTATAATATACAGGAGCAAGCTTCTAATTCTCCTATGGTACTTACAGGTATAATATCTTTTTTAAAATAGGTATTGGTATAACTTGTATTCCAGTCACCATCACCACTGTTCATACCATTGTTAGCTTTTCCTAGTACAACCTGGGACTTGTGCATTGATGGGCATTTTGGAGGCCGTCTCACTGGATTCAGACTTTTACTACCACTGAAGTTCTGTATTGAAAATATATTAATAAAACAATGAATAAGAAACCATTGGTGATGCCGAGATTATAAAAAATAACTTTCGGTCATAGATATCTTGTCTTTTAAGCCTTTCATTGACAACCTGGGACCTGAACAATGTGGTGGGGTAGTTGTGAGAGAGCGATTAATGGGGTTTAATGCCTAAATTAAATGGTACAACAATGTTATTTCCATGGTTCATCTACATGTATGGGTTTTAGAAGTGGGAGGAAACCGGATAGGACTGGGAGAAAACACAGGAGATTAGACAGACAACCTTATTCCTTGTCACATACAAAATATTGATAATAATTGATTAATTAAATCACTTTTAATGTCTTTGCTATTCTCTGAATTCTGATGTGCTTTTAAAATCACTTTTATGAGTGATTGGTAAGTTTAAGCTTACATAACATCAATAATTCATTTATTAAATTAAATTAACCAATGATTTATTAAATCAACCAATAATTTATGTTCATGTATTAAGTAGAATCTCCAATTTATCAAATATTTTTATTACAAACGCAATAACTAATTATTGTTTTAAAAAATAACACTTTATTTAGAAATATTACGTAAACACTTTATTATTTCGAAGACATAATTATTGGTCCGATATATCTTTTTGTCCGTCCGACTGGTCTTACCGAGCGCTGTTTTTGGCCCGTCTTGTCATGCAAGCTTTAATTTAAATCTGCAATTCCACTGATTTTCTTTTAAAAAAAACTGAAACTTTTATTCTTACCTGTTGAGAGGTTGTTTTAAAATCAGAATATAACGGGTCACCCAAAATAAAGGTCGAACTATGCAAGGAATGCCGACGTAAACTTCTGAGTTGAGGTGTACTGAAAGGGGCCGATTGTCCACGTCTTTCTACATAGGGGGCATGGGATATTACAGGAAAATGACACCCATCTTCCGTTAGCAAGGTTGTCACTCGTTTTCCTTGTCCAAACACATTAGGCGGCCTTTCGATATTCATAATAAACTGTTCGGAAGCATCCCTACCCGTTACATACTACGTGCATTGCTATCAGTACTGAGCACAACTTTTGCAACTTCCAAAAGTTTCTGTTATTGTAAGGACCGTGTTACCACGTGTCTGAAGAAAAAACGGTAAATAAAATAGTTCGTTGTTTATGTCTTTTGTAAGTTTTATTTGCGTAATCAAATATCACAAAAACATTAATTTCGTCGATATAGTCTTTTATTTCGAGAAACAAGTTTTAAAGCAATTATTTAATTTAACATAACATAATACTTTTGGCAAATTTTACGCTTGATTAATGTCTCCATGACGTTTTCATATTCATACACTCACAACGGTTAATGGTTGTTTAACGACACGACAATTACCCCGCAAGGAAAATATGATAGACCGTTTTATTGCTGATAAATGTCAACTACTCAATGATTTTGACCATTTGTGTGCCTAGATCACTTTTGACACAGTCGCCGTAAAATAACTCTTTAGACGAAGATACTTATATGTTTTACCGGTGAAAAATACAGTTGTCTCCCATTAATCATTAATGCGTCAAGAGGAGCCTCCAACAATATATAAAATGAAATGGGGTTTAACGTCCTACTATTCTGCACGGACTGGGCTAATGAAGACGGTTATACACCATACCATACAGTGTGCTACTGCTATAACGTAAATTTTGCCCGGACAGTGGTAGGCCTACGATCTAGGCTACCTGTAGGGCCTATAATTATTATTATTGAAAAATTGATAAAGCGCATATATAACTTCCACTTAGGTGCCCATATGTACTGTACACAATGATAAGATATACATAAATAAAAAGTAGGCCCCTTCATATAAATAAAAGGGTTACAGTAAAAGAATTAGACAAATAGGCAGCAATGTAAAATAACGACAAGTAAGTATGAAATAACAAGATTAAAACATACAGAATAGCCTACATTTAAGTAAAACACAGGTTACAAAACATATAAAAGTAACATTTTTTAAAACGTTTATATAAAAGCTTCCTTAAAAAGGTGTGTTTTTAGATGCTTTTTGAAAGTAGGCAATGTTCTAATATCTAGTGGTAATTTGTTCCATAATGTACATAAAATGACGGTCACCAACCAAATTAAATTACATGTAACTTAAATTAAATTTGCATTGCGTGCAACAAGAAGACATGGATCAGAGGAAGAGTGGAGATTGCGTTTAGGTGGTTGTTGAGACATTATTATAAATAAGAAGTAGAATTTAAAACTTAATTCTATATTGAATCGGTAACCAGTGAAGGCTGTAGGCCTACAATATTGGAGTAATGTGAGAGGACTGATTTGTTTGTGTTATTAGCCCAGCTGCACAATTCTGTACTTTTTGGAGTTTATAAAGTACTGTTAGAGGAAGTCCAGATAACAAGGAATTGAAATTATCTAGTCTAGAGGTAACATATGAATTAATTTGAGTTTTTGTTGCATCATTATTAATGTATTTTCTTATTTGACCGATTTTTCTCAAATAATAGTAACACACTTTACAAATATTATTTACTTGTGCTTCCATGTTTATATTTTGGTCGAATATAACGCCTATGTTTATAGCTACTTTAGAACACATAATTTGACAATCCCCGACATAAATATCTTTAGTATCTGGAATCTTGTGTAACTGTTGTTTAGATCCAATACATAAATATTCAGTTTTGTCAGAATTAAGCTTTAGAAAGTTTGATGCCATCCATGATTTAATTTCTAATGCAATTTTCTAGGCTATCTTTCGCAGGAACAAATTAAAGTTATTATTTAGAGGTTTAAAAGAACAATATGCCAAATTCGGTAGAGAGTCGGTTTTATAAAATTGGGTGATCGACTGTATCGAACGCTGCTGAAAGATCCAGCGGAACTAAAAAAGAACAAAATCGCGCTTGTCCAATGAGAGCAGTATGTCGATGTGAACTCGGGTAAGTGCTGTTTCAATGACACTTTCGATACGCACTTTGGATTTTTCAATCAGACAGTTTTCCTCAACATATGTAGCTAATTGACAAGAAATGCATTTTTCTAAAATCTTAGAGATGAAGCAAAGGTTGGATACTGGTCTGTAATTTTTAATTGATCAGGATCAAGATTTGCCTTCTTAATAAGAGGATCAGCACTAGCAGTTTTAAAGGCATCCGGGAAGATGGACTGTGCGAGTGAAGAGTAGATAATAGGTTATAGACGGCAGTAATTCACTAAGATAGCTAATTACAAGGTGTGTTGGAAAAGGATCCAAGGAACATGTTTTTGGGGCTGATAAGTTTATCTTTGAAACGGTATCTTCATTTATTGGTTTAAAACAAAGCAAACGACAACTGGTTAATAAAGGCAGTGTGTCATCATTATTAGGGCACTGTGTGGTAGCTAAGCTATCCCAAATGACAGCTATTTTATTATGAAGAAATGAGAAAATTCATTTGCTAACGTGTGTTTATATTCAGAGTTCGGGAGAATTGACCTATTAAAGTTACTGTCTGTTTCTGAGTTGACTATAGACAACTGTCACGGTTCTTTTGTGCACCATAATTTGAACGCAGGACCTCATTTTTTGGTCCATCCAAACGACTATACATTATCCAATGCCTGGCCCACCATCCTGCACCACTGACTGTCAGTGGTGCAGGATGGCGGGCCAGGCATTGGATAATGTATAGTCGTTTGGGGGGGGATGCACGTGTGAAAATCACTATGAACTTTCAAGATTGGCAAGCTTTTGTCTTATTCACTGAACCACCATGGCTTCCCCCAACAATATGAGACAAACAGTAAATTAATATGACACAGAATAATACTGCAAATAAATTTGAACATGGTACCTCAGTGAGCATGGGGCTGGCTCTTTAACCAAGAGTTAATTGCAAGGGTTTGACCTTTGTGTTATTGGCTAAGAACGTTCCTCTCGGTTCCATGACATTAATGCAGGACAGAGAGCCTGGAAGAATAAAGCATCTAGTGGTTAGGATGAAACAAAAAAATGAAGTTCACCTGTATATTGACTGCATTTACTGGTACATGGAAAAGAACCCATGGCAGTTTAAAATTGTTTCAGAGTAAATGGAAATGTTGCTGTCCAGGCCAGGCCCGGATTAAAGGTGGAGATGACTGGGCTGCAGCCATGGGCTCCCACTATTAAAGGGGCACCAAAATTAGTTCTAATAAAAATTTGGTACCATACATAACTATTTTACTTAATTATTTATTACGTTGTATATGTTTGTGCCAAATAAATCTATCTATCTACCATACTGACCTGCAAATAATTTGTATGAGTGTGACGAACAATGACCAGAATATGCCCCTTTTTCAATGTTGATTAGGGTTGGGCGATAATGAAAACAAAATATTGTGATAATAATTTATCAAATATCACAATAAACGATATTTTCATGATAATTTATAGGTGTGTCTTAACAAGTCAAATTTTGAATACTTGGACAAAAATCGTCGCTTGATGTCAAATTATTGTTGCTAAAGTCGGTAGACATCATGATGGAAATTTACCCTAGACCAGCTGGTACTTAATAATGTTATTTTTTACTGGTGAATTTAATTTTATGAATAGAATGTCATAGGTGATGATGTAGCATATGTATTACCATCAATATTGGGACACAATAATTATAAATTTGGTTATCACGATATACCATTTTTTGGATATTTTTAAATAACTCTGATATGTTAAAATCGCAGATGATTTTATCACGATATACCGAAAAAACGGTATATCACCCAACCCTGCTGTTGATATAAGGGCATTTTCAGCCATGAGGCCCCATGTAAGCTTAATCTGCCCCCAGAAAAGTTTAATCCCTCATAGCACACTGGATCGACGAAACCTAACTTTATGCTGTTGGCTATTGAATGCTTATGGTTATATTCGATTTCAGGAACTTATGAATTGGCATTTCAGTTGGAATTTTTATACTCATTATCTAACTTAGTCATGGTAGATTTCAGGCCTGGCACAGTGCCTGTACTGTGAAATTATAATACATACATACCAATTGATTTTTAATACATATTTATTTAGTTTTAAAATATAATTAGCATTTTTTTTCAAAATATTTATACAGGGCGTAGTCAGATATTCATATTCATTGCAAGTCTTCACATGCACAAGATTATTTATCATAATAATAATATACACATTTGCAATGTATTTATTGACCTAATAGAACACCTTCACTACAACAACAATGTTCTGTTAAGAGATGCTCAGTTCTTGTATATTTACAATAATACTTTTTTGTACCGTAATGTACAGAAATGAAATCTTTTATCTATATAATCTCAAACATATATCTATAATTATCTACAAAGAAGTAATGGATTGGTAGATGGACTAAATATATTGCAGTCAATATAACATATGCTAACAAAGCGTACAGTCATCATATCCAAACGTAATGAAAACTATCACTAAGTTAGTTAAAATAAATTCAGTCCAGGCATGGGATTTTATCCATGTGTCCTGTGTTCATGTGACAATTTAAACAGCATTAGTATCAAACATGTATAATCATGTCTAATTCAATATCAACTTATTTCATATCAAATTATATATGTACTTGTACATTTACAAATAAATATATATGATGAGTTTACAGGATGAAATGGTTAAACAGCTGCAGCGGAGATAGCCTGCCACAAAACCCTATAGCAATTGAGGAATCCATATTTCCCACGAAAATCACAATAATTCGACATTTGACCTCCAGACAAATGTTATAGCACTCATCCTTTAATATATTCCGGAGCAGTTTGGTTCGAATCCATTGAAACTTCTCAAATATACCTAAGTTCGATGGGTTGCCATTTGAAGATTATTACGCGGGATCAGTAGAAAACCATGTCAAAGTTTGATGGCCATTGGATAAAACCTGTAGCAGGAGATGCATTTTGTGCAAGACATGCTGGTTTCGCGAAAAATGCACAATTTGACCCCTGATCTCGTCAGGACTATAGCTGGAGTACTATGTGAAAGATATGCACCAGGAAGAGTTTTTCTTATATGGGTGGCCAATTGGCAACAGTGGTTCTAATATATATAGCAACCAAAAATGCCAGGTGCACAACTAGATAACCGGTCTGACATACCCTGCAAGTCTGGTCAAGATTGAGCAGCAATGTGGGAGATATGCCCTGGACAAACTCACAGAATAACAAACCAACATTATTGGGAAACTCTCCACTGAGCCATTTAACCAAAACATTTATTTAACAATATATCTAATCTATAGTATTAAGATTCTTACTGTAAAATGAGCATGTTTCATCAACACATTTATATAATAAAACACTAAAACAACCATTAAAAAACATTTTTCTTTGTCATGTAGGGACTAGTCATATTGTTGTTTCATTAACTTTGAATACACAAATGCATTTATGGTAATCATCAATAAAAGGCTAGAAGCACTATAATTATATTATGATTATTATCATATAAAATATTAACAATATAGCCTAAAGTCTAAAATAACTCACATCTAAAAGATGTACTGTATTATCCATAAAATAATCTATATGAATCTAAGATTTAAGTTTTCCTATAAATATAATTTACAAAATTATGCATTCAAGATTCACATATTAGATATATTTTATTGTCTTGTTTGTTTCTTGGCCTGAAATAATGAGATCATTTAGTTTAGGTCCACAGGTATTAGAACATACCATTATTTTAAACATCTCAAAAACAATTCTATTCTGGGAGTTCAGAAAAAAGAATAGATTGTACACAAAATTAAAATTTGAACATGTTATAGGAGTGTTTAAGAAGTTTAACCAATCAAACAGAAAAAAATATTTGGTCCCATTTTCTTATCAACATAATTATTAAAATTAACAATACTGATTGATTTAAAACAAATATAACAAAGTGATATTTTAAACAATTTACAAAAATAACAATAAGTAAGCATGGTGATGATAACATTCAGCAGAATATTTTTTGCAATGAAATGGGATATGTTTGTGGAATGTTTTTTTTCTTATCCGTTTAATAAATTTCTTCCATAAAACTTTTACGAACTTGTACAATATCAATCATACATCAATTTACTTACCATATTTTTAGGCATTCATTTAGACACCTTATGGTGTCCAAACTTACAAGCTTTAGCTAAATGAGATAATGACATTTTTTTTTTTATCGATTTTGAGTTTTCAGCATATTTGTCATAAAAGAAATGACGTTATCTTTATTTCTCCAAAACTAACCACTGACAATAATTTCAGAAGTACACAACATTTGCAGTTTTAGGTTTGTACTGAGTCATGCTTTCTTTGTTTTGGAAATTTTCAACCATATTTTTTATCAAAATTAATTTTATTGGGTAATGTTATACCAACTTTTAAGATAAATGAATATTTTCCATACTAATTTAATGGTCTTTCAATACGAAATTTGAATTCATGATAGATGTATCTCATTTACATTTAGCCAAAAGCTGGTTACAATAATTTCATCATGTACATTTAGCTAAAGCTGGTTACAACTGTTTCACCATGTACATTTAGCCATAACTCGTAACAACTGTTTCACCATGTACATTTAGTTAAAGCTGGTTACAACTGTTTCACCATGTACATTTAGCCAAAACTGGTAACAACTGTTTCACCATGTACATTTAGTTAAAGCTTGTTACAACTGTTTTACCATGTACATTTATAATTGTGTACTAATGATTTCACGAACACTGACTTATTGTGACCCACTGTAGGCTAAATTGAAAAGCTGATCTGAATTAATAAAATTACAAGAAATAAAATCATTACCACCAAATGTGGATATGTGGTTCGAGAGAAAATAGTTATTTTTAATTTCAGGATTAGCCTTGTTTACAAAATTACAGTCTATTTTGCTAACTTTACTAGGAACATGTCTTTTACATTTCAAAAACTGTTAGGCATATCCATTACTTCACTGAACAACCAACAATAATAATTAACGATTTATGTAATGCAATTCATTCATGATTAGGATATATTTCTAATATTATAACATGGCAAATAAAATCAACTGTGGCTTACTCCCCTTAAAATATTAATAATTAATAAAATAAAGCTGAGATTCCACTTTTACATCACCAAACCACCCAACAACAGTCCCTGATTCAATATATCAAAATAAATCCTCAATACCTAAATTCATATTCACATTTTAAACAAACCACCTTTAAAATTAAGAACAAAAACCATGCCCAAAGGAATTAACCGCCCTGTGGTTAAATAGTATATAAAAGAGCAATATATACTATTCAAAAAAAGTAGGGGATATTTGATTTTTAAGTGTTATTAAAGTCACCTAATGAAACTGACGAAGAAACAAATGACAAAATGAAATGAAGTTCACATTCATCGATTTATTCCAAATGATCGTTAGACTAAGTAAGGCACAGACTGACCATTATAAGGGTAAAATGATACCCGGGGTCAAACAGCAAAGTTACCACAGCATCACAACCAAGTCAGTAACGGGTAAATCCTCCTCTGTTTGCCAAACAAGCATTGATCCGACGTGGCATACTCCTAATGAGACGTCTAAGGTCATTTTGGTCCAGATTGTCCCATTCCTGTTGCAACGCAGCAGCAAGTTCTTGGACATTGGCAGGACGTTGTTGACGTTGACGTAACCTCTGTCCAAGCATGTCCCAGACATGCTCGATGGGGGAGAGGTCGGGACTCAGTGCTGGCCAAGGTAATGTGGTGATGTTCTGTTGTTGGAGGTAACGTGTAACGATCCTGGCCCTGTGACATCTTGCGTTGTCATCCTGGAAGATGAAACGGCGGCCATGACGTCGTGCGAACGGCACAACATGGACTGCCATGGATCACGCGAGGACGTCGGGCGCGAAGGTGACCCCTATGCAGTCGATTCCGAATCGTCTGGCCACTCACTCTCACACCAGTGTCTGTTTGAAGACGAGCGCTGATCTGATTTGCTGTGATGACACGATTTCTCAAGGCCAAGGTACGGATAAATCGATCCTGGGCTTGAATTGTCGCCCTTGGTCGACCTGAGCGTGGTCTGTCCTGTACAGATTGTGTATCACGGTATCTGGACCATAGCCTGCTTATGACAGACTGAGAAACATTCATCGTCCGCGCCACAACCACCTGTGTTGTGCCGATCTGTAGCATGCCAAGGGCACGTAACCTTTCATTTTGGGTAAGCCGACGCATATCAAAATTTGTTTTCTGGTCACTAAAACAATTAAACTGATGTTTCCACCCTGGAATTCAATGCCACAATGACTGTAACATTCAAAGTCAGAGTCGTGCAAATCTTGGGTTGGACCCCCATGATGATCCCAAGCATCACCTGCATTCCATGCGGTAGCTATTGGTGCGTTTAGGCGTCACATGTAACTGGAAATGTTTCTTCTGTTAGGTTCTATAGTGACTTTTTTCGTAGTCATTTGCATATTTTAGTATTATGCCCCTAAAATCAAATATCCCCTACTTTTTTTGAATAGTATATATGGATGAAATGGTCCAGATTTAATGTTATTTTGTGAACTAATAAACATTCATCTTGAATCACTTAAGACTAATTATATCAAATAATTTGTTGATTAAAGATACATTAGTTAAGAGTTTTATAAAGAGATAGCCATTCTTGCTATAATAAATCAAAAATAGATGATAAAAAAAGAAAACATTGAAAATTTCAGTCAAATTACTTTGTTCTGAAGGGAATTGTCACTGTTGGAAGTTTGGACTAGAAATAGGCATCAATTGTGTCTGCACCGTCTATGAGAATTGACGATCGTTTGATTGACAGACGATAACTCCACCCACATATTCTCGATTTTCAAGTAACGTGCTCAATGGCTATGGTAGCCTTGCTTGACAGGCCTTTCATTACCAGTTTCCGGTAGTGACATCAGCGACTAACGGTAAACGTTAGCTTGCTCCGCCATTTATTGATTTAATGAGAATTGACGATCGTTTGATTGACAGACGATAACTCCACCCACATATTCTTGATTATCAAGTAACATGCTCAATGGCTATGGTAGCCTCACTTGGCAGACCAGTTTCCGGTAGTGACATCAGCGACTAACAGTAAATGTTAGCTTGCTTCGCCATTTATTGATTTAATTTTAAATGAACGACTGTTTAAATCCAAACTGTATCCAAGACATCCATGGGTCTACAGAGTTGATTTTGAGCTTGTCGTGTAAATAAAGGTCTAATTAATAATTTCTATAACATCTGAAGCCTAAATAAAGACTTGCAATACACAGATTTAGCTCTTGCATAATGTATGTTTAAACCTACTTCTGTCATGTTCTTCTAACACAAAACTATCAAAATAAACACCACTGATAAAATCTGAATCCCTGTTATTCAATATGGACGGTAATATGTCATTAGCAGAACATTTTCGTATAGACATACCATCATTTTACCATAATTTTTCAAGAAGAAACAGTACCATTTTTAACTGTCAAATGAAAAACAGAAAGTGAACAAAAGAAAGTCATCTACTTATAAGGAAAGTAACTCTCATTACGCTAGGAATGCTGCATTCAGAAAACCAAAATGACAGCATTTGTAGAGCAGACAGGTACTTAACAATAACGTCACAGTGACGACAGATAAAAGTTAATAAATTAAGATAACTGACTAGTGATTTACAAAATATATAGGTTTGTATTTTCTTAAAGATACGTTCCTGTGTACAAACTGGGTGATTTGATGATGTATTTGGACTAAAAACATATTCAAACTAATTAATCTATCAATATTTTGCTTTTAATCCTTCGCAAAACACTGTTTATGCGAGGGAATACCTCTGCTATAACAAATCTATTAAAAGTCAGAGGAGAATTCATTGCATTCACAAGATAATGTTGTCCGTAATCACTATCCATTTATCATAAATATCAAAGCCTAATTAAATTCTCGGATTATCCACTGCCCATGTCTTTTTCCATGTTTTTTACGTCTAACTTTTCATAATGTTTATCAACATGTACATCAAGCGCTTAATCTCCGAGTGCAACCTTTGACGTCACGCGAGCAGACATTCATAATCGTCAGGCTGCCGATTTGGGAAACCCTTACGTTTTTGTCCTGTATGCGCTCCATGAGTGTTTTTCAGGGAATCCAGTATTTTTCTAGTAAAATTGGATATTTCTACTTTCCATGTATACCAAAATTGCCATACTTTTATTGGAAATAACCACCCGATAAATACTTTTCTGGGAACGTATCTTTAAATTAAATGTTAATACTATAAAATGAACTCTATGCAAAAAACAATTCCATTTCTAACTAAATAACAGAAATTACATAGTAACTGTACACAGCATAATTTTACACTGTAAGCTAACCACGATTCAATTATATGTTACAACAGACTTGGACACGAAAACTATCTATATATGAATTTGGTTGAAATCAAACAGTGGTTCAGAAGAAGAAGATGAAAATCAAAACTGCTTACGACCGATGGAAGAACCATGGACAAAAGTGACGAAATAATCCCATTGGGCTATCAGGTAGCAGTAAACTTTATCTTTCTATATCAATATTTGTTTTAAGAGTTTTTAAAATTAATAATGTATTTCAGCACATATATCATTCATACGACAGCTTGGTATAATAACAGCCTGTAACCAATCAGTACTACCCTTAGTTCAGCATTATCGCTAGGTACTGCATCAATTGATTGGCTCTGTATGTAAAGAAATTGAATTAACATCTAGGCATCCAAGTACAACTCAAATACAGGAAGTATCTAGATGTATTGGAGATGGTCATCAAGCGTATACAAAGCAGGAATTTAATGGAAGAGATCATCAATTCATTCAGTCAGCCATGGCTGTTTGTCATGATGTCAGGAATTGGAATCAACATCTTTGCATTCATGAAAAGTTGGGAAAAGGAAACAATGAAGAGATCGAATCCTGAAATAAGCAAAAATATATTTCTACATGGTATGTATTGTGTTTGGGCAGCTTGACTATAGTTGTCCATTTTAGAGCATGAAATTTCCTGCACCAAACAGGCTACTGAAGATGAGTATACACCTTGCAATGCACTATGATGGAATGTTTGCCCAGCAGATTTGAGGACAAAGTGCCCTAAAAAAAGTTTTTATAAGATTATTACCATACCTTTTTATGTAAAAATAATTATATTTTCCAATTTTAAAACCTGCTTAGAGTCAGAAGTAAATATACATCAATTTTATAACAGCTTTTTTGGTAGCTGATGTGTAAGAGTTTTTATGCAACAAGTACAAAAATGATGGATTTACCTGGATGGATCATTCTCGTCAGAAAATCCAGAAACATGTACAACATTAGCTTTATTATAACTATAAGTTATCTAAAAACAATAAAAATCATTTTAACACAATTCAAATATCACTGTAAGAGACGGAGTAAATTTGATCTCTTTGATTTAGGTCCAAAATAAAATGATCAATTTCAGTTGATTTTTTATGTTGATTTGTTTTGTGGGAAGATAATATAAAACTTTAAAATGGTTTAACCTCTTTGATTTATTATATCTCAATGCTTAGTGAAAGGTAGGAGAATTTTGCATTTCTATTTTAACCTATGCCATCCTATGGGCTAGAGAGTTGGTTATGGGCTAGCCATGTCAATAAATGTCTAAATAATAATTTATAAAACTTCTGAAGCCAGCAAAACAACTGGCAAAAGAGTTTTTGATAGTCATTTTTAAAATCATTCTGCGGTTGTTTTATTTCATGGTATCATTAAAATATTTTCGTAGAATTTGCCAGTAATCAATATATATATATAAGTAAGTGCAGGAGGCCTGCACTACACGTAAAACAAAAATGTTAGACCTGATGATAAATTTATCAAACTCACCTGATTTCTCATATCCTTATTTTTAACAATTTTTAGTGATTCCAAGTGTGAATGAAATTCTGTAACAATGGTTAGCTCCTTCTTCAATAAATGACCTACAAGAATAGTTTACATTCCAGTAATTCTCTTTTACATCTATAAAATAATTTATGAATTTATAATCTGTATAACTGAAGCAACAGACGTATCAAATACAGCCACTTGAAGTTTTCAGAAATGACAACAGTCAAAAAATGACTATTTTTGAAGGTACAAGAAGGTTGAATTGCATATAGTGAGTTCACAAGCCAATTTTGACAATCACCCTGTGTATAAAGGACAAATCCAAATTGGATGAAAACTGATCACAAAAGCAAGTATTTGTATCTAAGAAAATGTAAATAAAGAATGTCAAAAGACAAACAGGTTGATCACATTGAAGTTTTATGAACAGGGCAACTCACATCTTAACAACAAGAGCCATAAATCTAACAACCCAAAACATGGATATGCTATGCATTCATAATTGAATATGTTTATTGATTAACAGTTAACATCCAGTTTTTTTAAAAATATACATGTGTATTGATAAAACAAAGTTTGTTAACAATATGCATGTTTATATATAGATAAAATACACAGTTTGTTAACAATATGCCTGTGTATATTGAATGTGTTTTAGATAAAACAGTTTGTTAACAATATGCCTGTGTATTGAATGTGTTTATAAATAAAACACACAGTTTGTTAACAATAAGCAGGTGTATTGAATGTGTTTGTTGATAAAATGCACGCACAGTTTGTTAACAATATGCATCAAGATATATATAGTTACTTACTAATTATATATCCTATTGTACAATCATCTGGTAGACGAATAGTTTCACCTACAGTCATAAATCTACCACCACTACAAAATAATTAATATAACAATTCAAAGTATGAACAATGATTCAATTCTGTTCAGTATTTACAAAGATATGAAGAACTGAAAATTTCACAATTTTCTGAAGCCTCTGCAGAAGATATAAACAAGCCACTGTCAATTAAAAACGTTGGGTAACACTTTTGATGGGCATCTTATTAATTGAGACTGAATCCAAGGCAGGAGATTATCTGTAATCAATTTGAGTGAGTAAATTTTGTTATGGATAAATTAGATATTGTCCCCAAAAAGCATTATCGGCAACTTTTTAATTAAAGAATTAGAATTGCAGCAGGTAATTCCTTGCCACTTATCATGATCATAAATATAACAATTTAATCATTAATGCCTTATAAAACATCACACAAAAGGAAAGATACCAAAGGTTGATATATTTTGAAATTAATGCTTCCCAGAGACTGCCTCAAGTCACAGAACTAGTATACTAAACAGTCCTTTAAAGGCTCAATACCACTCTTGTTGTAACTGAATAATATGTCCCAATCTTTATTCTGGTCAACAAATTGCACTATTTTACAATACTCCATGCCAATTAATTGATGATACAAATTTCATCTTAACACACCTAATTTAAAAAAATTGGAAAAATTGAAATAAATGATTTGAAAAGCCTGACGTAAAGCTTTTCAAATGTGACTTGGATTTAAAAATATTTTTGAACCCTCTGGACAAGTAAAATAGGATTTAATGGATAATTTACACAACAGGTAAGACACTAACACATCTAGTACTTAGAATAAGGCTATTTTTTTATTTTCTGGAGCTGTCAAGCCAGCAAGAGTGTTATTGTCCCTTTAACAGGTCGTCATTTGAGGTGTTATAGGGAGCTGTAGGTTTAGATGGCTCAAGTACTAAAGGTTTAATACCTTGCATGTGGCATCATTTTTAATGCTAAACTTCTACTGATACAAAATCCAGCACCACCCGTTGCAAACCAGAAAGCTATCTTTTGCTGTAATAAAAATACACAATTCACATGCTAATCAAATCCTTGTCTACAGTTCATCATTTTAAACGCATATAATGTCAACTAAGAACGTATAAATTTGTCTGCCTGTGTCAAATATAAAATCTTTTGTTAACACTGGCATATGATTATTTACACCAGCCAGCCAAGGAGATCACTATAGTCATTATCTTCTATTATTACAAGCCATTACAATGCTCAATCTTGGCTAGCACATATACATGTAGATGGCACCATATTTGGAAAAAGACAATATGGGAGATTTAATAAGTGAGCGACCAATAATTTATGTCCAATAAACAGACAGCTTTATGGATAACATTCACTAGGTTTATTAACTGCAACATTTCAATGGGGATACTCTCACCGTATAAACCTGGTGAATGTTATCCATAAAGCTGTCTGTTTGTTAATATGCAGTCACTAAATGCCTTTCAAAGATAATTTATGTCCAGTTCCATCCAACAAATGTGAATTTAAACGAATCACAGGGAGCAAGTTGCAATCATACAAGGAATAGAATTGGTCATTCATTATTTGGAAAATTTAAAAATAAATGACAACCGTGAAATACAGATATCAACATTCTATAATTAGTACTTTTAGGTACTTTTATTTTTTTTGTGTTCAAAAATCTCTTTTTCTTCATTAAAGCGAGAATTTCATATTTTCTAAGAAAGTCAAAACATAATTATTTCTATGTCTTTTGCTCGATAGGTTGTCAACTCACTATTATACGATCATAGGTGTCATTCTCACACTTAAAACTCATTTACACAGGAAATAACAACACAATTACCCCCCTTGTTTTCCTATTGAAAACAATGGTCAGCCATTTCCTCAACGTTGGAATTTGAAGTTGAAAATGATATTTTTGCCAATTTCTCAGCTGGCAATAGTGACTTATAGGATTAATAGGATTATTCTTTAACAAGGTAGGACTGTTTATGGATGCCATCTATTTTAAGGCTTTAATTTAATAAATTTTAAAAATATAACTTAAAAATTTGAAATTTCCGCTTTAAGTCATTCTCATTCGGATGGGATCAGAAACAGAGATGCACTCTTGCACACTTGTAAAGAAACCATGACAGTTGAAATTTGATGCTGCTGTCTGGGAAAAATTCTCATTCCTTGCATTGTTCATGCAATCAATACAAAACATCAACCATACTTTAGTCTCAAAATGACTGAAGTATTGTGTTGACTAAATGTTAAACCTTATTTTATTCCATTATTAAGTCATTCATGCATGTAGAGTGACAATGTATAATTACCCCTTTGTGTTTTCTATCCATAATCTCTATAGGTCTAGCTAAACTAGGTTTACCGAGATACCAATCTTGGGTATGATTATATTTCTTTACTAATTTTACTAGTTGTGGTATATTTACATATGTATCATCATCAACATGACAAAACCATCTACAAAAGAAAATAAATTTGAAAAAACCTTCAAGTTCAACTTATAATACAAATCATAAAATCAAACATTTACCATTATACTGTATCATACAAGTTTAAAGATGAATTGTGTAAGACAAGAGCTAAATCTTCCGAATGCGGGTCTTATTTCTAGCTTCAAATGTAAGTTATTTGTTTATTTCTAGCAATGTCTGTTTAGTTTGTCACATGAATTAGAACACTTTGGTCATTTAACAATTAAATAGATAGTAAAGACCTTAGTATCATAGCAATGGTACTGAACAATCAAAACTATCTTGTCAAAACTGCAGACACTCGTACATTTGACTGAATCTGACTGAAACTTTCAATATATTCATTTCTCCTTATCTTTTTTTTCGACTATTATATGGCCAGTTCTTTATCTAAACAATACATAATGCATCTAACACTAAATATTTTATTGTTACACAACATATGTCACCAATATTTTACTGTAAGTAACATATTTGATTATTTTTATCAATAAATTAATATTCTATTATCAGCTCTAGTGTAGCTACATGTAAGCTATAGGATTATTTTTGATGAAATCAATAACTATTTTACTCCATAGTAAAGCGAATGTCAGACCTTCATGTGAACAACTTCCCGAAGAGTTAAAAAAAGCTCTACTGAAATTGGAAAAGGGTATATCGCTCTCCTGAGACAGTTCTCCTGAATCTCTTGAGGAGAGCTTTTTTGGCATTTGTGATAAGAACAGGGATTTTAATCCATTTTGAAACCAATCGGCCAGAGCTGGGTCAAATGAGGTCGCAGTAGAAAATAGGGTACCAGTAATTAGAAGCTCCCCTTAACTTTTAATATAACCAGACTTAAACAAAAATAATTTTTGGTAATTTGTTATGGAGAATGTCGTATTCTGAATAGGCTATTATATGACTTGAAGTTCAAGTCAGTAATATTCCTGAATAAATTACTGTCTTCATTTATTCGATGGATAAACGGATATCATCACTCGAACGAAATTAGGATTTTTCTACTATGGCCAGTATCAGAAAATACAGTTGCCAAAATAAGCTGATACGACACCATGGCATTTTTTCATATTTAAAACGCAAATTATTGTTTTTGTCTATCACGTAACTTACAAAGTTTTTATTCATTCGTGGATGATAGACAAGCGGCACAATGATCATGTGACAACCATAATTAAAATTGCTTTATACAAAATAAAATTCCATACGACTATGCCATAACCTTAACTAATAAGGACAATATTTTTCAAAATAACTCCCTGTCAGCATGTGTATAAAATAAAAAAAAGAATAAAACTAAAATGCTATTTAAAACTAAATCTAGCAATGCTGATTGACCTAATTCCAACTGATGCATGCCACGTGTTATCAGGAATCGGAAAGCATATTGGAGATCCTGACAGAAAAATATATTACTAATGTCTGTTTCCCGGGATATCTGGTGTTCTATTAGGCATTATTCAAAGACTATTTAAATTTAACTAACAACGGGTCAGTGAAACGATAAAATGTATTATCCAATTATTAATTAAATATCTACCTGGAATTTGTACAGATCGAGGGGCGAAGACGGCGCAAATCCAGAGATTCACAATCCATGTCGAGCGACATGTATTCATTCGCCACGCGGCTTATTTTTACAAAGGAAACGTGCTGGACCTGTTATGAATCAACAGCAAGCTTGTTTTGTTTACCAAATTATCAAAATTACTGTTGAATGTGCTAATTACTTGGATTATGAACCAGATGACTGTTAGTAGCCGACAAGCAATTTGATTGTCGATATTGACAGTATTTTTCGTAACCGGTATATTTTTCTTGATTATTTTCTTTGAGGGGAGTCAATTTAGATATTGAGGCGAGCGCTAAAAAGTGCACCACGACTGGCATCCAGACGCATTCTGGAGAGCAAGAGCGATCGCGCTACTTTTACGTGAAGGCCTGGAATGTGCACCAATAATTTAAGCTGAATTACTGTATTTTAATGTAAACAATCAACAGGGCTGGTTCTACATGTACTATTATACAGGTACTGTTGCAATAAAATTATACACCAAGTTTTATTATTGTGGTCCAAAGCAATGATAAATTAATTTACTTATCAAACTCTGTTAAGACTGTACAGTAATCTAATGAACAACTTCACCAAATTTGAACATTTTATCTCAATTAGAAGCAGAGTTATTGTCCAAAAAGCAGGTGACAACACTACTGTATAATCTATTTGATCAGTCCCCAAAAATAAAATTCTTTGTTTGGGATAAAAACAAATGTAACAATTAATTTAAAAATGCTGGTATATGATATGATTATATATAATATTTAGAGATGTAGATTACAAATCGCCACATATACAAATTGATTAGTTCATGTTAAAAGTTCACCAATACATCCTGAACGGAAAATGATGTTTGAAAACTATTTCCTGATTGACCAAATGTCTATCTCATAAAGTCCATTTTACATAAAGATAATATTGTGGTAACATAAGGTTAAATTTATGATTGAACTTGATGGCAATAAAATGCAATGACATATACAGGTTCCAAAAATAAGTGCTAGAACATTGATAGGAATTAGAATAAGATAACTTAGTTACCATAAAAACAAGAACATCGCTAACGCTGCAATATACGTCCACATTCCAGCTTTGATTGATATGGTACTTTTTAAAATGAAGAGAATGAAATATGAAATGGCTGTAATATGACAAGAGGCAAAGAAGACTAGGCGTTGGGTTTGTTTTGCCAAATTTACAGATAAAATATTAACAAAAAAGTGGGTGTGAGACTGCCCCAGGAGGTCTGGGCATGCACCAAAATAAATAGTTGCTGTCTTTTCGATATGAGGATTAAATATGCAAAGTTCCAAGATGATCCAGTCAGAATTGCAGTCTGTAGACGATAAATTCAATAATTGGGATATGTAACAATATAAATAGGAGAGAGAGAAAAATGAGGTTTAACGTCCACTCGACACAAACTAGGTCATTTCGGGACCAACACATGGTTCAACTTTATTTCAATAATTCGCTTGCGCTTAGGGGTCTTTTGCAGTTGGAGGAAACTGGAGGACCCGGAGAAAACCCACGAGGTAGGGTAGGCGACCCTACTCCTTGTCACGTACAACCAGGGAATCGAAACCCCGCCAGTTGACTCAATGACAGACCGTATGATACAGCGTGCGCGTGCTAACCATCGGCCATTCAACCCCCCCCCCCCAATATACATAGGTACCACCCTGTTATTGTCATGACAACATCATATAGTTGCTGTCCTTAGGGTATAAGGAATAAGTATACCAAGTTCCAAGATAATCCATTCAGAATTGTGGCCTATGGACGCTAAAGGCAAAAATAGGGCGTGGCTCTGCCCCGGGGGGTCAGGGCATTCACCAAAATCAATAGTTGACGCCCTTATGCCAAGTACCAAGTTGATCCATTCAGAATTGCGGCCTGTAAACGATAAACATAAAAGTTGGCCGTGGCTCTGCCCTTGGGGGTCGGGACATGCAGTTGTCGTCCTTAGGCTATGAGGAATACATATCCCAAGTTCAAAGACAATCCATTAAGAATCGTGGCCTGTAGGCAACACACAGAGACACAAAGGAGAAATGGGTGTGGCTCTGCCCCTGGGGATCAGACATGCACCAAAAACAATAGGGATCATCCTTAGGGTATAAGGAATAAGTGTGTAGGGTACCCGGTATAAGGAATAAGTTTCAAGATGATCACTCAAGAATTGTGGCCTGTAAGCGACAGGCACACAAAAAGAAAATAGGCGTGGCTCTGCCCCTGGGGGTTCGGTATGCACCCCAAACGATAGGGATGTTCCTTATGGTACAAAAAATAAGTATGCAAAGTTTCAAGATGATATGTTAAGAGATGCAGGCTGTAGACGACAAACAAATACAAAAAATGGGTGTGGTTCTGCCCCTGGGGGTCGAGCATGCACCAAAAACAATAGGGAACACATTCTTGGGGTATAAGGAATAATTATGTAAAGTTTTAAGATGATCACTTAAGAATTGTAGCTTGTACGTGACACACAGACACACACACAGGGGCGACCGCAATATACGTCCACATTCATAATGTGGAAGTATAAAAATGAATATAAACTTCTAGGGAGAAATGAAATCTGGCCAAAACGTTTTTGAATTTGAAATCATTTCATATGTTTTGACAGAACAGTGAAATTTTCAAAATGTTTTAATTAACAGATTACAAATCTGCCAATTAATTCATTGCCGAGATGCAGATGTTTATGGTAAAGTTTCAATTTAAGAGTTGGACATATTTTTTGGTAGGTTCAAAAGAATTCAATGAACATTTGTGCAAAATATGTTTCTACAAAGTAAATCAGTGCTGGAATTTACAAAAGTACATATAGTGAAAAATGACAAATATGATTTTTTAAAATCCACAATCGGCACATCAAATTATAAACCAGAACTTTCCTTTGTGAATTCAGCTTCATTATGTGTCTGTCGGTGAAGATTTACAGAAGGATTTGTTTATTTGGTTTAGTGATATAAACAATATTGACCATATTAGTTTTAGACAGTACTAAAAGCTACTAAATCTAGCTGGCAAGAAGTTAAAACAACATTTCACTTTTATATTGATAATGGCATGGATATTCTTTGTGTCCACACGACAAAAACTGGGTCATTTTAGGACTAACATATATGGTTCAATTTTATTTCAATAATTCACTTGCACATAGGGGGTCTTTAGCAGTGGGAACAAATTGAAGGACCCAGAGAAAAACCCACTCCTTGTCATGCCACTTGACTCAATGACGGACCTCATGTCATGATGCAACGCTTGTTAACCATTCGGCCACATCCCCACTAACCATTTGAATCAATAACATAAAAGATATTAAACAAATGTTGGTATTCTACAAGAAATTATAGTGATTTTTATTGTCTCCTGAGATTTCCAATCTCAAATAACATCTTGTCACAAGTACACTAGCTGTAGCAACACGTAACAGCTTTATCAATAAAAATATATATATATAAATGCTAGGCCAAATTATTCTCTAAAGCATAGGCTACAATCAAACTAGGACAAAATAATTCAAACACAATAAATCAAACATTTATATTAAAAGAACTAAGAAAGCATTACCTTTTCTTACTCTCAAGAAATGAATCATATTCTATGGCCATTTTACAACACAGTGCTTGCCTGGAAATAACAAATATTCAAATAAAATTATTTATTTTATCTGTTAATATGTATATATATAATGGATAATTGAGACTTTGTTTTTATCATACCGACTTCAGTAATGATGACAGAGGCTAGCCTAAAATTCAAAAGGTAATTATTATCTCGGTTCAGAGTGCAGCAATTTGACTGAATTTTTCAGCATATTCTATTTTTTAACTATTATAGAGAGAACTGTCAACTCTTTATCTAATCTTCCATAATGCCCCTTTCAGTAATGACATACTATAATTTGGATTATACATGTACTTATAGTGGGGAACATTGCATGAAAGAATTTAAGTACACAAAAATGCAAATAAAGTAAAACACCGATTTTGGTCATGTCAACACGAAAACTACAAAAAAACATTAACTGGTTATATTGAGAGTATAGCATTAAATTTGATATTATGATTTTGGCAACCTCCAATAATTCAGCTTTTGACCACAGAAATAAGATATTAATTATTTCAATATACATATTAACATTTGATACAGTGCTGGATTGCCAAATATTTGCCCTTATTTTGTTTAAATTCTCTGCATTTCTCTCTATGTCCAGTAATATCAACATATTCGTGCATATTATGTTTTGAATATGGTGAATGACAGACACTGTAATTTTAAGATCAACCAACTCAAAACTTTATTTGACCTATACCAAGAGGATTAGCTTCTTTAAAGTCAGAGTAAACCAATATGTGTTCAAATAATACTATTTTTGTCATAAAGCTACTCTAAAATTTGAGCAATTCAAAACTTTTTGTCACAATCACATGTAAGGTTATTAAGAATTGTTTTTGATGTTTCAAGTTGACGTTAAATGTCAAGTGGTAATACTGTTATGAACCTATTGAAATTTAAGTAGCTAACTTGTGTCTGATGCTAGATGTAACAAGATAAAACCACCAGTCAGTTGGTTGAACAGTCACAGTTTATTCCATTACACACAGACACCATTGTTTAGAACATTACTGTATTTGCATGTATTTGGGACATGAAGTGGTACATACTTCAAACTTTATTAGTCGTCCAATACAACATACTTTATAATGTCACTAATATTAAAATTGAGTACCAGTAATTGTATTCAATATAAGTTTAGTGTTTCATTTAGTATAATCTAACTCAAAATTTTCCATAAAATTCTATATCAAAAATACAAATTAAAATTCAATATTAGCCCATTTCAATCAATAATGATGTTGTTATCTTGCTGTGAAAATATGGGATCCTAATAAACTACCATCATTGAATTTGTGGACTGTTTACGTATTTCACCAAATATAATTGACTAGAAATTAGAATAAAAATTTAAAAAATTGAAAATAAATCACTATAATCCGTATTTCATTAATATGTGCTTTAGTTAGACCCATTTTCATCTATTTTAAGGTTCCAAAGAATAGAGCCATACACCTGTTAAGAAAACATTAGAATTTTAATGGTAGGAATCTCAAGCAGGATATAGACCACAATAAATTACACAGTAAGTATTTACATACACGTTTATGTTATTGTGCTTCTTTAATCTACATGTACTATAGCAAGCAAATATAATTACCAATAATGCACCATAATTACTGTGTCTTTTCTGCATATTCATGCATACGTGTTGTGTCAAAAGGTTCTAGCCAGTAAGTTCTAGCCCATAAAGGGGGGCTTATGTCGACCTTGCAACTGAAAGTAACTGGCGTTTCGGCAACTGGGAGCAACTGAGAGCAACTGAATGCAACTGAATAAAGTCGACCTGAGCGCCTCTTACAAATCAAAGCAATTAGTTGCAGTCAGTTGCACATGTTCAACTTTCTGCAACTGGCTGCAACTAGTTGCAGTCGACATGAGTGTTCTTGCAATTGGAGTCAACTCGTTTCCATGGAAATAACATTATGTGACAAGAGACACGTGTCATGAGACTTTATAAATAAGCAAATGGAAGCAAACGAAGACACCCACTTTTCGACAATAATATACTAATAGAATTATAGCAAGACCGACCATGCCTTTGGGTTGCTTCTTCTAAGTAATTCGCCATTTTGTTGATCACGTGAAGAATAAATTATCAGTCACGTGTTCAGTGGGATCGCTATCAGTTCCGAGTCGACATAAGCGCTCCGAATTCAGTTGCTCCCAGTTGTCCTCAGTTGCTGATATGATCGACATAAGCACTCTTGCAACCGACTGCAACTATTTGCTTTGGGTTGCAAAGTCGACATAAGCCCCGCTTAAAGTCAATAGACTCAATACCTGTTACATCTGAAAATAAAGCTGATTTGCAGAATACTGGTACTTATTTCTAATGTAATTAACAATAGACTAAATAATGGATTTAATTTAATTCATTTAATTATCTTTGAAATAATCATAAGAATTTAATAACTGAGTATACCTGACCACAGCAAATGATCTTACTATCAGTAAGAAGGTGTGCTAACAGCTCAAATTTTTTATGTGGCAGTGTTAAAAGGTCTATAACTATGACATTTTGGAGGAGTTTGATAAAACAGAAGTAGGGCCTAATCAAAAAAGATCAAAGATAGCATGTCATAAAATAATCTTGCATTTCCCTGGTCAAGATGATGTATGCACTGCAGTATATGTGTATGTAGGTCTAGCTTGACTGCATTCAGCAGTAATTTATTTAACACAGATACATTAGTTTTATGTAGGCCTGTATCAATATATTGCAATGATTTTTGTCTAAAAAGTACATGATATACATGCACATGTAAGTATACAATATTTTACGACTAATGCTTCTGCAGATGACAAAAAACAGTCCCACCGATAAAATAATTACTATACAGTATTAAATAAAATCAATTCCATGTTATGAAACATGCCTTGTTCTTTTCTGACTATTTTTCAGCCTCGAAAATGCCCAGTACTTTATGAAATATTATGTATATATATATTGCAATACACGACATAGAATTCAACCTTTAAATTGAATCAGTGATGTAGGGCCTACCTGCAACTGTATAACTATCGACTTTAGTCATTTTTTTTCACACAAAAAAATATTCATTTAGTAGACTAAAAAGTCACACTAGGCCGCAAACCTTTCAAAGTGACAAATTGCAAACACACAAGTCGATATTTGCAAAACTTACTGACTCACAATGTGTCCTCCAAAATTTTTTTTAAAATTTTACACCCACGAATTCAAACCTGACTAATTATTCACAAAACTTACCGTGAATGTGTTGGTAAACAATTTGTGTTGACGATGTGTACACCTAAAAATAAATAAACAGTTACAATAACATTTACATCTGAAATTCTACAACAACTCATTAAAATATCAATCAAATGACTATAAGCTTACTATTTGTGACATTAGAACACTTAATCTCAAGCCTGTTTCATATGCTTCAATTATGATTATGAATCAGTTTTCTTTTTCTTTTAATTCTGTGTTATTTTATTTACATTATTTTGTGTTTTTATTTACATTTAAAAAATAATGAAGTGACTTTTCATAGTACCTTTATCATGACTAATTTCTGGATCATCCGCATCTGTAAATATATGAGTCTGAAACCAGGCAAAAAGGTTATTAGAGTTTCAAGATATACATACACATTTATAGTTTATAGGTGTAATTTGTTTTTAAAAAAAAACCTTAAAATCAAGAAATGAATTAAATGCAAATTTCTGTCTTAATTTTAATTGGATTGTATTAAAAAAAGGATTATCAAATAAAATTTCAAATATATGCTTGCAATGTAACCCAATTCACATTTCTTGGTATTATAAGACAAATATTTTTTTCAGTATCAATAGACTTTTCTTTTCATAGGAATTTTCTATTTTATAAATATAAAATAGTTTTATGTCTTTAGAAGATATTAAAGTAATGAAATAGAGAACAAAATGAAATTGTTTCTAGCTGCATCTCTACCATTTATTAAACTGTTTTAAGTATTCTATGTTATTCGATCTAAGTAGGCAAAATTATAAATAAGCTTACTCTTCTGGACACCTGTTACCACTGTTTGTCGTGTATTTTGTACACGGTGAACAGACCATATGCTGATTACACTATTTTGCCTTATTACACTATTTTGCCTATACCGTTTTTTTAGGACTTCGAATTTTGTCTAATGGTTAGGATTGTTCGTACTTGGTTTTATTTTATTTAATAGCAGGGACACTGTTACATCCAACTGTCAAAACTATTATTGATTAGTTATTGAGGTTTACTTTTTTTCCATTACGTTTAAAGGAGCTAAATTGCTAACATTTGGGACCTAGAAATTCACAAAAGTGGGTCGCAACACATATAATACTGTAATATGAATGTATATAAACTGATTTACATTTAATAGTTTTCGTTTTTACTCCAATTTCAAATCAGTTATGTTCGGCGAAATAAGTCAGCAATCTCAATCGAGTGCAAATTTCTAGCGTCTAGTTATTCTAGTCTACATAACTCCATTTGATTTGGTGCAATGTGTCTAGCCTCGTCCCTCGAGTCTCTCAATACAACTGGGGCTGAAGCGCATTATGGTACACGATTCGTGTACCAATGTTAAAAAAATTATTTTATCTTAAATATCGGATATCAGAAGCTCATCTTTTCCCGGTAAGTTTACATCATCAATGTTGATTTAAATTGGCCAATAATTCGTGTTTTCGATGTCGAAGATTTTGGAGGATTTTGAGTTACAGACTTAGGTCCTTTAATTTTAATTTAAAAAAAAAAAAATAATTTTCAGGTCTTAAAAAAAAACATACAATATTTATCTCTTTAAATGCAGAAATCAATAATACAGGATCATTTTATTTCTTTGAAGGCATATTTATTGTGGCAAGTGAAAAAATAGAAATAAATTTAGGCCAAGCTCTTATTCTTAATTAAAGATTTATATTTATTTTTTTGACATATGTATATTTTAAATATACCTGATCCCGTGCAAGAAGAATCCAAGTGTCTAAAAGAATACGCAGTCTACTCTTATGATTTTTTTGAGTAGTTTTCACACTAATAAATATATCTGACAATTCCGTTTTCCTATTTTTATCACCACTGCTGACACTTTTTTTTTGGTCCAGCCCATTAATCCTAGAAGTAGTCTGCACATTGTTTGAAGATTCAACAGTGGTCAAATTATGCTTTTCCTTCGCTGACATCATTCTCCGTAATTCTGAGTCTCTGTTCCGTCCTAAATTGTTTTTTTTGTCCTTTTGTCTGATATCAACAGGTTCTCCCAAAGCAGTGTCAACATGCACCTCTGAGCGGCCATTGTTGACCCTCTCCTCGGTGTCCCCCCTTTCGCTCCGCCGATCCTCAAGTTTCTGTGATACTTCATATGATATCAAAAAGTTGGTAAATATCACAACTATTACAATAGCGGTAAACTTCGCCGCTCTTCGAAGAGAAACGCGCATAACTTGCGACGTCCTCGTAGGTTTATCATCGGAGCAACATTCCGTCAGTCAAACTTTGTGAGAAAGTTTTAACTATCGCGTTGTTTGATAGACTCAATTAACAAGTGGTGGTCGATATACCAGGGAACACGTGGTTACTCACTGGATAATCAAGAATAGTTATGTTACTATAAATAAATAAAGGGTTACCGTTTATCGGGAACATGACTCGAGGTCAAGAAGCCACCGCGCATGACTAATGAAAACACCCATTACTTCCGCTCAAAAAAATGGCAGGTGATTCTTGGTAAGAGTAATAAGCAGACGAATTGGTTTTTTTTATTATAATTCTTTTATTCAATTTAATTTACAGTTGATCTCATCGTTTTCAGGAATGGAGCAACAACTGAACTTTGCGATTACAATAATTTTTGTTGAAGTATTGTCTTCTAGTAGCCCCCTAAATATAAAATACAAATATTGAAATGGAAATGAAATGTCAATGTTCAAAATATTGTTTTTTGGGTTTTGACTCCCATTCAACTTTCAAGATTCAAGCCCTCCTAACCATAGTCGTAACCCTTGTCATGTCAACCATGATCACCGTACTTGCGGTACTGGGTTACACCAAGAATTTAGATAATAACAATGTCCTCAGGTCGCCGTTTTACTGACAGGAAACTGATCCAGAATAACTTTATTAATATAAGGCAAGGCCTTACTAATACTTACTCTTAGCACAGCCATCTATGCAATCGGCCTAATTCAAAACTGTCAAAACAAAAAATTGACACATATTTCTTCTTAATGTATTTCAAAATTCATTTTTGTGATGCGAAATGCTGGAATAAGAAAAATGATTTTGTAAGGACAAGGGTAAATGAATAATCTTCAATCGTACAGTAGCTAAAATGAAGCACACCAAAGTTTTGAGTAAGTCTTTGTAGCTAGTTTATAGGTCCAGGGTTGAAATGATTACTACCGTTTTACCACTGAATCCCTTGAAATGTGAGATAAATATTGTTCCTTTCTTCAAGCAACGATACACATTTGTCCGTTATCCAATTTCCTAAATGCCAAAAACAAATTTGTACAGAAAACATATTTGAAATTAAATGGAGCTGAGTACATTGAAACACGTCGAAGTGTCATGGTAAAAAATCACTATTTGAAACTAACTTAAATGGAGCGGAGTACATTGAAACGTGTCGAAGTGTCATGGTAAAAAATCAGACAATACGTGTAGTTAATGAACGTTATTTGAGACAGGGCTGATGTTTTAATATTGTTTTCTTGAGCAAGTTAAATTTAATTAGGGTATGGTAAATGAAATTCATTTTCAAATAGGCACATGCTTGAATGAGAAAAACAAGTTTCTCCAGTTATAGTTAATAGGTCTAGGCTTGTAAAAGTAAGCTTATACAATTACCCAATTGAAATTCAGTTGATCCTCAGGTTTCTTCAGAATTTTCCCAGAATCTAAGAGAACTTCGTTAGTGTAAGCCAGCTACATACAAACAATGACACATAAGCTTACAGATAAATTACTATACAAATCTACTGAACATGCTTGTCTGTTGTGAAGGACACAAGTTTTAGAACTAAACTAACGAAGAAGCAAACTCGGAAGATGGCAACTTTGTAAGTTAGGTTGTACCGTACTCTTAGAGTTGCTTTTATATTGTTTTTCTTGACTTTGTCATTTTTCTGCCACCAGTCATTTGTAGTTTTAAGTGTAGCACATTTTCTGACAGGTTTGGGACAGTTTGGGTGACTACAAGAATTTGCTAAAAAAAAAAAAAAGAAAAAAAAAAATGGTTTTCTTACTAGCAACAATGGGAGAGAACAGTGGAGGCCATTAACCTTGCAAACTGGATTTCTTTATTCATATTTGCAACTTCTTGGAAATAAATTACCAGGAAATGAGTATCTTAGTTGTTAAATTTTATGGTTTTTGAAGGCTAGTAGTTTTATGAGTTAAAGCTCTATTTTTAATTCTTTTCAGGTTGACAGAATACGATTCTTGTACCCGAAAGGGTCAAGAAATCATGGAGAAAATCAACGAACGCAATAAACATAATAGAACAAGCTCTACATATACAAAGGTTAACACACATTTTCAACATAATTTTATCCAAGTAGCATGTTTACCTGACAAGTTTTTAATGAAAATTAGCATAACAATTTTCATATGCACTGTAATTCAGTTTTATCAAATATGTATAATTAATGTTGACATTTTAATATTTATGCTATTTATATATATTTGACCTCAAATTTAATTTAATAAATGTAATCATTTGAACCTACAGGTATAAAGAGAATTACATCTATAATTGTTTTTTCAGTTATCTGCTCATGTAAGAAGTAATATGAAACAATTTTCCAGTGAATTAAATCGCCTTCGTCAAAATCTAATGAGATCATCTTCATCTTATCATATGTATCCTTTAAAAATATAATGAAAATGGGTTATCTTAGTTATATTTAAACTAAAGATGCATTATCTAAGATTTAGATAAAGAGTTAACAGTTCTTGCTCTAATAATTAAAAAATAGATAATGAAAAGGGAATATGTTGAAAATTTCAGTCAAATTACTTCATTCTGAGCGGAGTTATCGTTGTTTGCAGAACAATGTAATCTCGATTGTTGTTGCTACCACATATTTCATATGCCCACATGTAAATGTGGTTGTATATTGCTGTCGCCTCCCATAATACCTACAAAGGAATTAATATGTGACCACCCTTGATAATTTAGCTGCTATGGGCATATGTTTTGTTGACTTGCAACCTATCTTTAAATTAAGTCATTAACTGCCAATCATATTTAAATCTGTCGAAAATCAAAACCATCTTAAGTTCTAGAGAGTTGATTATGGGCCTGGCATGTAAATAAATGTCTAATTAATGATTTATATAATATTTGAGGCCAAACGAAAAACCTGCATTAAGCAGATTAAGCTCTTGAATAATGCATCTTTAATCAAAATGAGACCAATTTTACACAAAATACATCACCTAAGTTTCAAGCTTAGAATTGTACAATTAAGTTACACAAAACTTAAACTATTGACTCAAATAAATGTAGACTGGGGATATCATTTACAAATTACATTTCCGTATTGAACAGAATAAGTTAAATACTAATTAAACTAAACAATGACTGGTTTCTGAATAGAACTGTTTTACTTACTACAGAATTGTTTGCGAGCCATTTGGTTTATGTAACTACACAGCTTTGTGTATAGTCTTATCAAGAGAGGAAAAGGTGTGGTTTCTTTGTAGATAATTTCATAAATGGAGAAGACTAGCAAGTTTTTAACAGAGAAGTCAATAATTCAACTGTTCTATTTGCCAACTATTTAAATATTTGGAAATTTATAGTATAAGGAATGCCAAACATATTTTTATGTGCCTACATTATGCCTATCAATCATTCCACAATATGCTCCAGAAGTTAAAGTTATCACCTGATTGACTTTAGATTCATATACTCATATAGTGTTTATTTTGAAGAGCCTAGTTCAATGATTTCCTATAATTGCTGGCAGAGTTAGAGCCCTTGATCATTTTGAAAAATTCTGTTGACACTAAATAACTGAAGTTGAAAAAAAAAACAAACAAGCCATTCAACGATCTTATATAATTACTCACTGAGTTATTGCCTTTGATCAAACTGAAAAATTTTGTGGATGCTATAGAGGCTTATAACGTGACAGAATAGAAAACAAAATAAAAGTGATTCCCAATGTACAAAGTATTTTCCTGTCATATAAATTAGAACACAAAGAGAAGTAGAAAGAAGACAGATGTTAATAGATAATTTAACATCTAAAGAAAAACAACTTGATCAAGCATTTCGAAATGAGAGTGCTGCAGGCAGGTGGGTGCATTGTTTTTTGCTTTTACAGTAAGGCCATGTAAACAAAAATATTTTGGTACTCAGACTCAGATAATCCTGTGTCACTTCAAAAGGGTTGCATGACCTGTTTTTATTTATATAAATAAAAATTAAAAACAGGCTCATTGATGGTTGAACTAAATATTTTATCCTGGTTACAGGAAATAGATCTATAAAAAAATTTCAATGTATCAATAGGCTCATTTATCACATACACAACACTGATAAATGTTAATGACAATCATAAATGATACTGGATAATCATACATTCCTATAAACAGCAATTTGATTTGCATAGAAAAGTCATATTATCCATGTAGTGATCCTTTGACTTAAGTAGAAACATAAAGATAAAAACTTCCCTCCCCGATTAGATCTTTTAAAATGATTGCTGAGAACCAGAATATATTTTTTGTACGACCTTATAGTTTAATTATATATTAAGATTTTATACTTTTACCCAGAAATTAACATTTTATTCATTATCAAACATCATAATGGTATATTAACATTACTGTATTTTGATTTATTAGATTTGGCATTGTACTTTAAAAATTCTGTTTTAGATAATTAATGAGGGTGTCTTTCAGGGGTTATCCCCCTTTACTGTATTGGATACACTCCTCTCACTTGTCAATTCTTTGTGACAGTTTTGAATTTATTAGCTTTTATGTCCAGTTTTCATTCCATTAATTTTTGATTAAACTTTTAAGTGTAATATAGATATATGCATGAATTTACAAACATCAGTGAGGTACTTTAAAAAAAGGGATATCAAAAATAGCTTGTGAAATCAGGCCCATAGCTAGCGGGGGCAGGAGGGGCACGTTGGTCGTGGGCACGTCCAATGGAAAGGGCACCAAAGGCACCCTTTGGGGTAACCGATTCTCTCCCCAATGGACAAGGGCACCATTGGGTGCGGCAATTTTTTCCAGGGGAGGAAGCGCCAGCTGTCCCTCTTGCGACAGCTTAAAGGAGGCCAAACATTACACATCTGTTTATGAAAACAAAAATAGATCCAAATCTAGAATAAGTGGAAATCATTGTTTGATGTAATATTAAATTATCTATTTCTTACAATGCCATTAAGGTCATTTTATGATTATGAACATTTTCTTGATTGATTTAAACACCATTTTGAAACGGAAAAAGTGGGATGAAAAGAGACAAAGAGAAAGGGACAGTCAAATGCTATCCAGAGGTTCAACTCCCTTCATTTATACACAACAACCATCTCAATAAGTCTCGATTCAGTATTAATAATGAATATTAAATTGAGTTGAAATTGTGTAACTGTTAAATTTATACAGATATGTTATTCATTAGACTTTGAATTTCTGTCATATTGCCATGCATGTTTAACATTAATTACCAGTCTGAATTCTCTGATTCTTTCACTGGTCTTTTTCATAGTTTTTCTCGGGTTTTGTTCCGACTTTGTTACTTCTTACTTTTCTGCGCTATCCCAGCTAATTAACACAGACATACACAATGGTTGTATGCTATGAGGTGAATTTTGCCTGAACAGCATTGTTTCCATTATTTTTATTTCCTTGATGCTCAAATAGGAAAACTTGCCAGAAATGCACAACATTTCTTCATACATTTTCTTCAAACTAGCTTGGATTCTTGAGTAATTATTTTTCAAAATTATAAATCATAAAAATGGTTTCAAACATTAATAGACAGTTTGACTGACTAAACTGCTGGTTGGCGTATGTTTGGTTGCCTGACAACCTCCCTTTTTTTCTTCATTGGTATATGATAATAAAGTACGATAAATCAGACACCGAAATCCATTGCCAAATTCATTAAAACCCCTGGCCTTCAATTATCAAAATAATCATCAGAAAAGTCCTTAGCCAGATTTCACACCATTTTTATTACAAGTGTTAACTGTAAAATATGTAAATATTGCTTGCCCCGCCCTAAATATGATTTAAGCATTAATTAGCAAGATATGTTACTCTTCCTTATTATTTTATATTGATCATGGAAAATGAACATTGAATTTGAAGTGACAACATTCTCAAACTAGATGCACAAACCTAGAAATAAGTAGGAAATAGTTTATTCATGTAGTTGTATACTTTTACCAAGTGATAATATGGTTTGAAATTGACTGGCTGGCAAGTTTAGTCTTTCTCAAAGAACAAGGTTTTCAGTAAGTCAACAAAAAACATTACAATTATCTTAATTTATGTATTCATATTTATAGAATATCTGATCTGAGTTATTTTCAATGTATTAGGTTTGCTGGTTCACCTCAGAAAGGAGATAGGTGGGATTTTTTTTAGAAATCTTGACAACACTGCTTACATGTAGTTACTTCCCTTTGATTATTTGAGACATTCTCCCATTTATGCTGCTTATTGCAGGCAGATCATTGGTTTAACCCGTATCACATATTATCAATGACAACACACATTTCCAAACCTTTTTGTATGGCAGCATATTTATGTTTTTATTCGTCACAATACCTTGCACCCATCTGACCTCTCATGATTTTTGACATCAAGAGTCTAGAGTTACTGGATTTTTATACACCCACTTTGAAATGTGATCTATTTGGTCGTCATCCTTCCATCCGTCATCCAGATTTTCTTGTGAACACTCTACAGACTACATTTATCATCTGATGAAGAAGCCTGTTTAATTTCAACAATTTCAGTTAATTTATTCTAGAGTGATGGCCCTTGTTTCACTAATTACTTCTCGAATGACAAAATATATCATCCGATCTATATGAAATTTATATGCATTATTTGGATTTGTAAAACAAAGAAGCCTATCGAATATAAGCAATTTCCGTTAATTACTTCTAGAGATGGCCCTAGTTTCACTTAGTTAAACCTTGTGAAAGCTTGAATGACAAAAGTTATCATCTGATCTGTATGAAATTTCTATGCATCATTTAAATTAGTGAAACAAAGAAGCCAATCGAATTTCAGCAATTTTCGTTAATTACTTCTATATGCAATGTCTAAATTAGGTAAACCAAAAAGCTTGTCGAATTTCAACAATTTCTGTGGCTTAGTTCTAGAGTTGAAGCCCTTATTTCAGTTTGTAGAACCTTAAAAACGCTTTTTATGCCTTAAATGTTATATAAATTATTAATTAGACATTAATTAACTTACAAAGACCATAACCAACTCTCTATGCCATCGGATACTCTAGATGTTTTTTAGATTTAAAAACGATTTGCGGTTGATGATTTAACATAAAAATGGATAAGCGTGACTTTTTTTTATTATCGTAACAATGGTAGCAATGACTATCAAGGCTACACTGTTATTGTATCGGCAATAACTCGGCTTTCAGTGAAGTAGTATGACTGAAATTTTCAACATATTCCCTTTTCATTATCTATTTTTTAACTTTTGTAGCGTGAACTATCAGTTCTTTATCTAATCTTTTATAATGCTCCTTTAAATGACAAAAATTATAATCTGATCCATATGAAATTGATATCAGTGTCTTTTAAATGCCCCCCATTATCCACAAAAGAAATGAAATGAAATAGGGTTTAATGTAGGCACTATGGCCTACTCTTATACCGAATTCCAGCTGCCAAGGGATCTTTTATGTGCATGCCAATGTATACACAGGACCTTGTTTTTTCGTGCCATCCAAAAGACTAGACAGCTACCCACAAAAGAATAATTATGATAGAACCCTTGTCGACGGCTCAGACTATTTAGCTGCTGTGGGCATATGTTTTGTTGCCTGGCAACCTATCTTTTATGGAACCCAAAGTTTTCCAACCTCAAACTCAAGTCCCATTGTTATACTCCATTATTCCAAACCTGTATCTCTCCAGATGGAATCTTTATGAAATTTGAATAGGTGTTGCATGAGTTAAAGGGTTATATAAATCTAGGGAGACTGCACCACACACGACAGTGTTCAAAGTTTACACTGCAGACACAAACTTTTAATAAAAAACAAAAACAAGACAAACTCACCAGACATGAGACAGCACAGAGACTTCTATTATCACAATGCCATCAGAGACTTCTATTAAATTAATACAATGCTTTCTCTAAGATCCAATACCATTTTTGTACGCCCACATTTTCATGTGGACTATATTGTCTTGGTTCCTTTCGATATTTGCACATATCGGATTGTAATTTCCTGGATTATGGCCCTTGTACGAAAAATAATGTTTTTAGCTTGTGGAGCCTCTATAGGTCACACTTTTTATCCAATTTTAAAAAATGTTTAATTGTATCACAGTTACACACTAATGACAATTGAAATGAAATTGAACCATGTGTTAGTCCTGAAATGACATAGTTTGTGGCATGCAAGTGGACATTAAACACATCTCTCTCTCTCTCCCTACTAGCTATCGACACAAAATTCATATATTGTGCAGTTACAATAAATTCCATCAGCAATTTCAATTTAGATTAGTTCATTAAAATTGATTATAACCAGATTAAATCAGTTAAAAACTGAAAATTAAGATCTACACTCACACGAAGAATCAGCTGTTTTGTATTTATTAAAAGGAACATTATTTGATAAGAAGACTATTAATTCTATAATAATGGTATGTGTGAAGGAATTTAAATATATTATTTAGTGCAAATGCATCAAATTCAATCACAACAACTATTATAGAGGCTATAAACCTTTCAGTAATGATCGCTAGAATTGCTTTACAAAGTTACAAAAATTATTTATGGAATTCCATTATTCAATTGTAGAAAAGATTTACAAGAGTCGATCATCACAGGCAAATCAGTTTTTATACGCCCACATTGAAATGTGGTTGTATATTGTCGTCGTTCGTCCGTCCATCTGGCATCTATAATTGCTTGTGGACGCTCTAGAGGCTAAAGTTAATATCTGACTGACCCTAAATTTATACACAGTGTTTAAGGTCATGAAACGATGAAGGCTATTGATTTTCAGTGATTTCCGATAATTACTGCCAGACAGGGGCGCCGGAACCCGGGTACCAGGGTATACAAATGGTACCCTGCCCTTTTCTGGGGTATACATGTATACCCATGCCCTAATGCTGAAAGTTTTCAACCTTTTTACTAGTCTATTCATTTGTGAATAATCAGGCTTTCGTCTCTTTCATTATCATGTATTTTAAAGGGTTTTATGTTGGAATTTGGAATGCTAGAAGCGCTTTAAACAGCTTTCTCGGAATTGACAAATTTCAAAATCTTTTGGTACCCTGGCCCTCGCGTCGTTCTGGCGCCCCTCCTGCCAGAGTTATGGCCCTTGATCACTTTGAAAAATGTTGTGGACGCTCTAGAGGCTAAGTTAATATCTGATTGACTTTATATTTATACACAGTATTTAAGGTCATCAGACGAGGAAGTATTGATTTTCAATGATTTCTGATAATTATTGCCAGGGTTATGACCCTTGATCACTTTGAAAAATCTTGTGGATGCTCTAGACTCTAGAGACCAAAGTTATCATCCGATTGATTTTAAATTTATACACCGTGTTTACGGTCATAAGACAAAGACACCTATATATTATCAAGGATTTTAAATAATTACTGCCAGAGTTATGGCCCTTGATTACTTCGAAAAATCTTGTGGATGCTGTACAGGCCAAAGTTATCATTCGATTGACTGTAGATGATACACAGAGTTTAAGGTCTTGAGACGATCAAGTATATTGATTTTCAATGATTTTTATACGCCCACGTTGAAATGTGGACGTATATTGCTGTCGCCCAATCCATATCTCTGTCAGTCCATCGTCCACAATTCCTTGTGAACGCTCTAACGCCAAAAGTTATCATCTGATTGTTTTAAAATTGATGTTTTTTTACATTAGTGAGATGAAGAAGCCTAATTAATTTCAATAGTTTCCGTTAATTGCTTCTAGAGTTATGTTTCTTGTTCCACTTTGCTGCACCTTGTGACTGCTCTAACATCTGTATGAAATTTATATGCATCATTTAAATTAGGAAAAAGAAGAATCCTATTGAATTTCAGCAATTTCCGAATCAAACTACAAAAATTATAATCTGATCTGTATGAAATTGTCTTGTAAATGCCCCCAATTACCTACAAAAGAATAAATATACAACAACCCTTGTGGACCACTCAAACGATCTAGCTGCTGTGGGCGTATGTTACATTTGCTGGCAACATATCTTTGATAAGTTGAACAGCTAAGTCCATGATATTAAATGTTTTGTGTACTAAAAGTTAGCATGGGGCAGAACTAAAAGCCAAACAAATTCAAATGATTTTCTGATAATTATTTAATGAGTTGTTACTCTTAATTAGATTTTAGTGTGTTATAAATGTTTCATTACAGACAAAAGATAAAATATGTGACAACTCTTGTTGACTTCCAGACGTTTTAGCTGCTGTGGGCATATGTTTCGTTGCCTGGCAACCTATTTTATTGTCTATTAAATATAATGCATTCATTACGACATGTATTATAACACTAACAGTTATTATGACTATTATAATATATGTACTTTGCCTCAGGTATAGCTATAGGCAACAAATTGACACATAATAATTACCTAGAAATTTCTGCATACATTTACAAACTGATTCTTATAAATATAATTTAAAAAGGATCCAAGATAAATTGAAAAGGTAAGTACCAGTCTCACTTCTAGATGATTGTACCCTACAAACCCTTCTAATTTCTATTACAGTTAGTTGTAATTGATAAAATACCTCTATATCTAATTGACAGGTAAACTCTATAATAATAGTTTTCTCTAGATTTCACTACAGCATATTGGTAAAGTTGAGGAGGTTGAAGCACTGTGTTATATTACAGTCTATACACTGTGTAATAACAGCCCACATGTAGGCACAAATGTTTCAAGTACCTTTAAAAGGTCCAGTTAAGTTGAAAGTTTTTTGTTGGTACAGGCCCAACCCTGTGCGACAAACACACTCCTTCACTTTTTGGGACAAAAGGGCAGGCGATTCTTTGAGATAGGTGTTTGAATTAGCACCTGTCTATTCGACACTAGTTAGGGTGAACCTCTCACCCTCATCACCGACATGACTATACAAATCTCTCACCTCACTGTTTGAACTATCAGCAGGCTACATTGTAGCAATGACTGGTAATTTTCTCTGAGAGGTAAATCAACACGCTTGTTTGTGAATCTTATTCCCTTAACAAACATGGGCAGAGAGGCCTAATTTCTTCAGATGCAGGAATGCAATTTGGGGATTGATGGACAATGATATGAATGTAGCTGCTATTCTATCTGTCTTAAACTTAGAATACCAAGGGTCAGGAATCATGCAGTTCAAAGACAATCTGATAAAAAGACTATTACATTGATTATTTATACTAAAGATTAACACATACAAATTTAACATGTAGTTTGAAGTTCAAACATTTTAAATTGTACATTTTCTTCTAAGTTCGAAATAGAGTACCAAACCAACACAGGGTGGCAATCATTAGAAAACAATTGAAACAAAGTAATTTATACATAAGTAGTGAATTTCAAATCTTGATATTGAAATATTGATACAGTACATGTATTTGCAGACAATTGGCAAAGTCAAAATTGCTAAATGTCACACTCAAGCAGAAGGATTGCATACTGCATTCAATATAAGATCTATATATTTTTACATATTTTTACAATTCATTAAACTATTTTATTTATTTTTTTGTATTATTGCAAATACAAATTATGTTATGGTATAAGTTCAATGCATGTGGTAAATTCCATGTTACAAAACTCCACTCAAGTGTTAGATTTAAAGAGACAATATTTTAATTTCACCGAAAAATAAAAAAGTTTCTCATCTGACTCAATTTTTCCCTCGAGTAGAGGTCCTTGCTAGACTTGCATCATTATCAGGAATCCCTAACCTGCAGCTGACCGGCACCATATATAACATGTCATGTATACCCTTCATTACAGCACTTAAATAAGCCAAAGTTTGTTTATTATTACTCATATTTTTCAATGTAAAGAGTTGTGTATGTTTTTATCGGGTATAGATCAATGTACCGATATGTACCTCAGATTTTAAATAAACTATCTTTGGACATGTCTGATCTATAGATTAGGAACACTGTTGAATTTTGAATTTGTATATGTATTTATGATATGTGTCGTGATATGTATTGTGAGTCATATTTTAATTATTGAATCAACTATTACTTCATTTCATGGTCCAAAACAACATTGTAAAGATATAGATAAACATACAGAAAAAAGACAGATATTTTATGTTTTATTCAATATATTAAATACTGTTACTAAATGGGAATTCTGTTATACTTGTGTATTATAGTTTCTTACTCTATTGTTCATATAATTGTAAATATTTATATTGTATTAGGAATAATGACTCATACTGTATTATTTTTGATGTTTGAATACATGTATATCATTGCAGTCCTTTAAAAGAATTTAAGGTAGGAAATACATAAAGTACTGCATTAATGTATGAAGTTTATGTTTGCTAAAGGAATAATTGCTATTTGTATAGAGTCATTTTTATTTCAGAAGTTCATTATTAGGAGCAGACACATTTGGTGCCAGTGATCCGTGGGGAGTAGGGGCTGAACCAGATCATTTACATGATATGGGGAACTCTGACTTACAAGCTCAACAACAAAGGGTAATACAAGGTTTGTTGGAAAGTTCTATCTTCAAATTTTTTTTTTTTAATTATATGATTTTGATTGTGTAAGTTAAATGATGTACATTCATGTGCTGGAATCATGGGCGTGGATTTAGGGGGGGACGCGTCCCCCCCTTAGAATCGGATGGGGGGGGGGGGCGAATAGGCCTCTGTCCCCCCCCCCCAATGATTTTGATCACCAGGACAGATTTTCAAGTTTATAGGCTATTCCACATGATGGTGAGCTTGTTTCTACGTATCTGGAGGAATCAGGACTTGGAACAAGAATTGCCATTCTTAAAGCGCCAGTTTTCGACCAAATCTATTTCACTTGTGCACGAACCGTTCCTCATTATGTCTGTGAGGCAGATGTTCCCTTCTGTCGAAGCTCTTCTCATCTCACACTGCTGAAACCTGCTAGTTCCTGCTCTGCATGCGATTCTTCAGCACTCTGCGCCATATCAAAACTTGGTTGCGCAACTCCATGACGCAAAACCCACTGAACCACTTGATGACGTGTTCGGTGCATAATGACCCCCTTCATGTCGCTAAAATATTCAAAGAGAACAGTCCTGATCGTAGAACGAACGTCTTTGGACGATTCACTTAACTTCATTAACAAGTAATATTTATGCAGCTTTGGTGTAGGTAGTCAATTTTTCCATATTGTCATCATATTACCCCTAGTTACAGCCTTCATTGAAATAACGCTGGTACAGTAAACTGTTCGTAATTATTTATTTCGTTTGGTAATGAAATGTTCCAGGATTCGTCCGCCCCCCCCAAAAGTTATGACAAATCCACACCCTCGGCTGGAATGCCTTTGATTGTAAGTTAGATGATGTACATTCATGTGCTGAAATTACTTTGTGAATTAAATGCTGTATATTCATGTGTTAGAATGACTTTGATTGTGAGTTAAATAATGTACATTCAATGATTCATGTGTTAGAATGACTGTGAGTTAAATGATGTACATGTATTAGGATGGCTTTGATTGTGAGTTAATAAATGAAATACATGTACATTAGGTGTTAGAATGGCCTACATTGTATTTAAGAAATGTGTCTATTTGTAAGAATCAAAAAATTAGTGGATGAACATAACTCCAGGAAATGACTGGACATGGTTGGCTTAGATTAGCTAAAAACACTACTGCTATTTTAAGCTTTTAAAACTTGTCATCTCCCATCTTTCGAAGATGGCATGGGACTATTGAGGTAGACTTGTTGTAGATGTTCATTTTCTGCTTAGGCTTAGCAGTGTCCATCTGTCTGTCACACCCTTTGGAACACAGTATAGGTCTGCTTCTAATTGAGGTAGAATGTTCAAACTTGGTGTAGCTGTTCCTTAGGTGAATATCTTGGCTAAGCAGAGAAAAGTAGTGTGATCGTTGTCTGACTTCAGAACATAATAACTCTGCCTTTGGAGCTATATGCTTTATTAAAAGATAATTAATTAGTGTCATCTATTTATTTTGTGACCGAGGCATGAGACATCAGCTTGTTTTATTAATATTGTATTGTACAAAAAATATATTTTTCATTTACTATAGGCAAATGGAAATAGTATTTGTTTTGAAATTGTCATCATCAACTAGAATGATATATAAATTATGAGTATCTAGACCAATATTAGACAGTATTATAGATAGAGCACCTAGTCACACTTATTAGATTGCTTTAGATTAATATCAATATTGTTTGATCAAACACCTTTGATGTCAAAACTGACACTTATGATGAGTGATTAGGACAGACATATTGTTATAAGGTGATGGATACTGGAGAGATGTTGTATTTAATTGGTTGTAATTAATGGTGTGTGTGTGGTGTGTGACAATTAAAAATAAACCCATGTGGTAATGTCATCTATATCTGTAGATGTAAGTAGTAATGATTGACAGCATCAGACTGGAGTAATATAACATCAATACTGTTAAACTCTTAGATCACTCACACCATGTTTCTATTACCTTTTATTAGTCTATAGATTTGTCTCGAGCATTTACATAGAAAAATGAAATCTACTTGAGGGGTCTGTACTCTGCAGTAAATTACATTAGATTAGAGATCGGTATAAAAAAAAAAGTTAAATAATACAGATTTCATTTGTATATTAGAAGACCTAAATACAGGGCAAAAAACTCTTTTGTGGATATCTGATAGCTATGACTCAACAGATTTATCATCCGATCTTTTAAAATTTATACATGTTGTTTACATTAATGAAACAAAGAATCCTATTGACACATTCAGAGTTATTGCCCTTGATCACTTCTTCTGACAAAAGTTAACATCTGATTTGTATGAAGTTAGCAGTTTCAGATTAATGAGATGCAGAGCTAGAAGTGTATCAGATTTGAACGATATACATAAATTACTTCTTAGAGTTATGACTCCTTGTTCAATCTGTTGAATATTTTAAAATAGTGAAAGACATTGTCTGAGTCAGACCTACTTTAAAATGTTTGTTGCTTTTTGTATTAGCAAACTTAAAAAGGGACACTGGGTTGGGCTGGGGAGTCCTCCCTTGATCCTTCTTTTTTGTAGGGGGCAATACTTTTGACCTTATGCACAAGCTCTAGGTACACCATTGGTTTTTTCTTTAGATTATTGTGACAAATATCAATTACTACAATTTCTGATAATTTAGAGTTATTGTCCTTGATTATTATCTTGTCAACACACCAAGTTGACTATAGTTTATTTCAGATACTTGTGATGTGATTATGACTATCAGTTTAATTGTAGCAAACTTGGTGAACATATTTCATTAGTCTGTAGAAATACGAAAGGATTATGTATTAAACTTGTTTTAAAAAGTAAATCTTCTCATTTGAAATTGAGCAAGTTTTCAATATATTCCTCAGAACAAGACAAAGGTTTAGATGCCTTATCTAATGTAATAGCCAGACAAAAACAAATGGCCTTAGATATTGGAGATGAAGTTGACAACCAGAATGGTAAGACCACTTTGGGTTTTTTTTTTGGTCTTTTAAACATTTTCACATTTCACTTATTAGATGTATATATACGAGGAGATGAAAACTTACTTTTGAATTCAATTTCATTATATATTTTATATTAAGCTAGCAATATTAGTCAATTGTCATTTACTTTTGCCTTGAACCTATTTTGCCTTCATAGCTGAAGTGGTTTTCAATAGACTAGAAAAGTTAACCAGAAGAATAATTATTTTGTGTAAAACACAGACTAAAAATATTAAAGAGGCATTATCACTTCATATTGAGAATAATGACAGACTAGCCAATGGGAGAGAGAGAAATAGGTTTTAACGTCCACTCGACACAAACTGTCATTTCGGGACTAACATATGTTCAATTTGATTTCAATAATTCGCTTGAGCGTAGGGTTCTTTAGCAGTGGGCTGAAACTGGAGGACCTGGAGAAAACCCATGTGGTTGGACAAGTGACCCTACTCCTTCTCATCTAAAACTGGGGAATCAAATCCATACCAGTTGACTCAATGACAGACCTTATGAATGATACAACACACACGCGCTAACCATTCAGCCATCCGACTAGCCAATGGGTAATTATTATCTAAGGTCTTGGTTAGTATAGTAAAGCTGTAATGACAGTGTGTACGATCTTGAAATGTATCACAGTAGTAAATTAATAGATTCATCAGAATTAGCATGCTTTCTAATTTGAACACCCCTTATTTTTTATCAAAAGTTACTTTTTTTCCAACCATTGAGATATCGAAAGTACCAATTTCTGTTTAATGTTGATAGTGATCACAGCTGTTTACATATAGAATCACACTGATAGGAAGTTTTCCTTTTTATAAAAACTAATTGATGCTAATTAAGAAGGAAAAAAATAGCGCTTTATTTTTATAGATGTTTACTAAAATAAAACTGACTATCATATCAGCCACCTGCAGGATGACGTCTTAATTATGGTTAAGTTTAATTATGTTATTGATCCCATGAATAAACCAAAAAACCACTTCAGCTTACATTTATATGAATACATTAAAGTCAAAAAAAATTTTCAGAATTAATTGATGATATCACTGATCATGTGGATCGAACTGGTGAGCGTCTAATCAAAGAAACTCGACATATTAGTATAGTAGATAGAAAGTCTGGTACATGTGGTAGGTATTTTTTAAAGTAATCATTTAAAGTAAGAAATTTTGACAGGACTATTTTGAAATATGATAATTGATACTTTGCAGATGCCCTAAAACATTGTTACCAGTACATTTGCATTAATTAAATGTATGTTTAGAATACAGTGGAACATTAATTATTAATCATAATGCCATATTATTAAGCTTTGTTTTGCTGGGCTTTAAAGGAGAAATTCAAGATACATTTTAGTGAATGAAAATGCTTCATTCTGTGTGAATGACTCTTAGAGAACTTTAATCCTGTGCAGCTTTCTGAAGATCCCCTATACTCTTTAAAAGAAATACAAACTTTTAGTTTCCGTATTGGTTTAATTGGCCAATTAAGTTTTCAAATTCCACACTATCCCTAAGTGCCTAGATAACTGACTTTATAGGCGTACGTCCCTCATTGCCTTAAATGAGGTAGATAACCCCTTAAAGCAAATGTAGTACTAATTTGAGAGAGAGAGAGACAGAGAGTGTGTTTAAAAACTCTATATTTACTTAAATGCAATCTTTTTACAAAACATATAAAAACTGTATATTTTAGAATAAAACCAACATTTAGGCTAAAATGAAATCTAAAATTTTATCTTACAAATACTAAACCATTGTAAATATACTGTTGTCTGGTTATGTGTGGTATTGTGTTAAAAAGAGATTAATATCATATAAACTAGCATTATATTTTTATACATTTACCTCAGTGACACAAGGAGAAATTTTGGCAGTTTCCAACCCGATCTTATCATAAAATTAAATAGTGATTTATATGTTGTGTAATTTATAAGTGGGGCTGCTAAATGTTTTGAAGGTAGGTTATGTCAGTTTTTATTAGCCACCATGCCAACAGTTGGTTTATGTATTTATTTTGCAGGATATTGGGTGGTCATTATTTTATTATTTATAGCAGTTGTTGTGATAATAGCTGTGCCATACAACCATAAACCTTGATTATTTCATTTGGTAAGTTCTTAAAATATAATAAAGTTTGATAAAAAATCGTTTTATATTGCACTCTCAATGAAAACGGCTGGCATGTTTCCACTAGAACCCTATTGAACTTCAGATTCATTCTACAGTTGTGCAGTCTGTGCTAGAATTTAAAACTGACCTAAATACATGCTATATCCCATTTTTAATATGACTAGAGATTTGACCATTTTTTAATCTCCCAAATATTTAGCTGATTATTTTGATCTCGTATATTTCTGTTTGAGACTACACTATACTTTCGGTCAACCAGTCTACTCCTGCTCTAAGTAACTCATTAGAAACTTATATGAAGCATAATTTTTGAGATTGAATATACTTTGATTTCGCAAACATATCAGAAAGCTGTCGTTATAATGCCTGACTGATGTATTCAAAAGATAGAATTTATTTGCAATCTACAAAAAAAACTCTGCTTATAAAAAAAGTCAAATTTTGCAAATTAGATAAAAACATTGCTCTTTAAGTTATGATTACTGGTTTATTTTTGATAAAGATGGAAAGGCTAAGACATAAGGAAACATTATTATTGCATACCATTCATCATGGGAGATCATGTGACAACCAATGTGTAGTTAGTTGTTTTAGTTCGTCAGAATTTCATAGTGACGGAAATTTGTTCCGTGTTACAGGTGAATACAATTACTAAATAAGGACCATCCCATCTATATGTAAAAGTTTTTATTACCTTAATTTCTGGAACATACTTTTCAAAACATTCAAATAGTCATAACCATTATCAACAGCTTAAACGATTTTGCTGTTAGTGGGTATATGCCTAGTTGCTTAGCAATGTATATCTTTTAAATACTGGAATCGTAATTATTGCACTTGACTCTCTTAACTGTCGAAGCATGTTTTCAAAAATTTACAATCCTAAAACAACCGTGTACCTGGAACAGCACCTACTGAGCTTTAGAGGTTCCTGGCTCTCTGGCTCCCAGGCCTTGAAACAGTTATTTTAGATTTACTTGACTTTGTTATTATTTTGTCGGATATGACGTGTTAAAAATATTAAAACAATAAAAAAAGACATGTACTGGATATAATGAAAGACACCCAAGTGATTGGGTGTGACAAAGCTTCAATTTGTGCCTGATATTTTATTTGACAGCTGCCTTATTTCCAGGCTTGCAGGCTCCCATAACAACTCCTCATTTTGGAATCTGGATGCCTTTTCAGTTTTGTGCCAGTAGAGACAACAGTGTTTATCCCTGCTCACTTTAAAAGCTTAACGTGGGTGGACTGATATATATACCTCCTTATTCATTGTCAAATAATATGTTAATTTAATCAGATACAATATTTTGATCAGATATGTTATTGACAATTGGTTATTATGTGGGTGCATGTTTTTTTTAACCAATCTGAACAGATGTGGCTTTATGTCAGTTTGATATTGTTTTTAAAAAAATAATATAAAATATGTATGCCATTATTATGATTAGGTGTGCTACTTTGTATTGCTGTCTAACAACCAAATTTAACCTTGGTCTTTTATAAAAATGTTATTTAATGTTATACATTTATAATTAGACTGGATGTTTTTCATATTGTTACATAGAAAACCCCAGCATGGTGAATGTCGGGTATCCAGTTTATTAGATCACCCACATGTTACTTGTATTGTCAGTGACGTCTGCTTACATCTTATTTACAACCATTTGTTAGTTCTTAATTAGAATGATTATTTGCCAACAAACGATCAAATGACATCATACACTGCTTCTAATTAGCACTGCAGAAAGGCTTTATTACCTTCTAGATGTATCACAGACGGCAAAAAGGAAATGAAGGGATAAAACTCGAATTGGGGTTCTCACTAAAATAACATTGAGTATCTAATTAAATAAACTTGAACTCTATATGCCCTTCTTACCAAGTGGTATTCGACTAGTAGTTTTTTGTTGAAAACATCAAGTTATCAGCCCCACTTCTCATTCAATATATCTAGTAGGTACACCACTTCAAACTTTATTGCTCTTGTTTCTTCTATATTGCTGCTAGATTTCCTTTGAACTCGATGGTTGTACAGTCGTTTGTTTGAACTTTTCTCACATTTAGATAGTTAATCACAGATATTGTTAATAGCAGCAACTTGTTATTTTTGCTATGAAAATAAGATGAATATGATTAGTAGATACATCTGTCCTCTGGTGTTGACATCATGCTCTACACATTTCCATTCACCTGGGCCCAATTATGGTAGCGCTTGTTTAATGCAGTAGGGTGGTGGAAGCTCAACTAATAATTATTTTCACCAGTATTATTTACCCACTTGTTAGAATCATTATATAATTAAAGCAAGCTATTTTATGCATACTGAAAATGTGTTTAAAATCTAAGGGTTCATTAAAAAAAATTTCACATTGAGTTTACACAATTAAGTTGCATTAATTATTTACTTTATAATTTCATATTGCATATAATGCTTGTTTAAAGAAATTTTCTGCCAACTATTTGTAAAATATTAGTGTTTATACTTCATATTAGTCATTAGTGCCCCTATAAATCAGATGCTAATGGCTGAATTGTATTTCTAGAAAAAGCAAATTGCTGAGTTCCGTGATGTACAGGTGATAAATTGGCTACATATAATCCATACCTTTCCAAATTTCCCTCACTTAGGCTAGAAACATCAAATGCATAAACCATGAATTATCATTATATCAATTTTGAAATAGCTAAAAATGCCATTTTTGAGACTTATGTACTTTAACCTTGTATAGCATAGAATAAGTTGTTTCCTTTTGCCTATAGTTTTAGATGTTCAGAATATTTTAATACAAATTTGAATCATTAAAATAGGCAAATTAACATCTTTAATTACACCATCTTTATTTGAAACCATGTGTGTTCTGTATTCTCCAGATGATTATCAGAGACAATAGGTATCAAACAAGTTTAGAATAAATCAAATCATCTTCCAGGACATAGATTAGTTTAAATAACTTGATACAAATTATTTGCTTTATTTTTTCCAAGATAAAATGTGAAATGTTTGTCTATGTTTATGTAGCAACAAATGGTATTCTACGCTGTAACTTATAGTTACTACAATATTTATTAATAGAAACAATCTGTTGCTCATTTTCTCTTAGAATGTATATTTAGTTGGAAGTGAAACCTTTTTACTAATGATGCTATTTAAACAGAGATATAATCATCTTGATTTTAATGACCTCCCTCCATTAGTCTGCCACCTTAGACTGTAAACAGAGCACACTACCATCATAAGAAGATCATCAGAAGTTTTTCATTTTGAACCCAGTTATGTAAATTGTTTTGGAGAAAGATTTGTAAACATTTTTATAAAGAATAAAAGTGGTTGAACCTCAAGTGGGAAAAAAAATTATTTCACTATATTCTAACATTTTGAGAAACAGCATGTAATTAAGAGAAAATATTTCAGAAATTTGTTAATCATTCTTTATGTCATGAGTCAATAATATTCCTTTATAATAAATTTTCCAAAACTTCATGTCAGGTATTTTATTTTAATTGTTATGGGTGTGAATTGTACATTCCTTGGGGTATATTAAGTACATGCTTTTCTTTTCAGAAAGGGTGTCATTTTGATGATTATATAGATAGTTGCATAACATGGTTACCCTGGCTTGTTGACCAGATTGATTATCGGGTAGAAAATCACCATTTTGTTGGTAACCATAAACACAGTTAATTAATAATTAATTATTGTTTGTCAAGTTAAATGTATCAAACTAAATACTGAACAAAGTGTTTTATTTATCCCCCTACAAAGTAAAAATTTATAAAATACTTTATGCTTCCTTATTCGATATCCAGTTCAATGAAGCAAAACATAATGGTATCAGAAAAATAATATTTGTACGGGTATATTATCACTTCATAAAAATTCTTTTTGTGTATGATTTTGTATTAGATTGGTTGTCATAGTGGATGATCATGCATGGATGTGTTGTTAGAGTGGTTGATTAGATAATTGTGATATTTGGTGGGATATCAGGCAGATAATTACTGTATTTAATGGATAAACAGAAGATAAATATGCTGAATAGCTCATTGGGTAGGCAGGGTTGTAATATCTATAGCTATTGAGTGATTCAAGTCATAGCATAAATGTATGATTAGATAAAAAAAAAAATATATGATGGCAGAATTTGGGTAGATAATACCATGAAAGCTGGGTGGTTTAGATATTTAGAAAACATGGTAATTGGGTGTAGATTGGTGATCTGAATGATTTGGCAGATGAACCAGTGATGGGTGATAGGGTAGATAGGAGCTATGTTGGGTGAATGATTTGGTAGAAAGAAGGTTTGTTGGGTGTTTGAATATGGGTAAGAATAAACCATAAAGGTGGATAGTCTGGTAGATAAATCTCATGACTGGGTGGGTGGGTTATTGTGTAGATATAAACCATAATTGGTTGGCATTAGGGTAGACACAACATTTTTTGTGGGGTGACCAGCTAGATGAATACTTCTTGAACTTACTTATTTGATGTTGACAAGGCCAGTACTTTAGATTCTATTTAGGACATACCTTTGAGGTATATATTTTGTCAATAAAATCATTGTTGATATATAGCAGTGAGTGATGTTGGGTGGAGAATTATCTTACTGAAAGAAGTATAGCCAGGAACACTTTGTGACATCTTGGTATCTGAACAATGTGTAATAAAAACCTAGAAAGAGAATTCTAATTATGTAATGATATTGAGAGGTAAGGTGTCATAGTAGAGTGTTGGTGTTTCTTTAGTTTGATGTTACAATAGAAAACTCATCTCAACAGCTGGCTGGAAAATGGCAAATACCATTCTCTGTACATCTGGCATTTTCTGATACTAACGTTACCCTCTACACCATTAATAACACTTGGTGCCTTTTCATAAAGACTTTCGTTTGGCTTTTGATTTCTTAAATTATCCACCATGTGTGAGGTTTCCTTAGCAGTTCCTTCAAGGATCTAGTCATTCGAATTGCACATCTACTCCAATTCGGTAAAACTTATAAGATCAAAATCTCCGACCAGAGTTGAAAAATATTGACGTTGGATTCTTTCTGAAATACAATGGTATGGTATAGTTTTAACCTGAAATTCAGTGGTTCTGCACGAGAACCCAATTATTCATCTATAGAGTAATACATTTTCTTGGCTATCAAAATGTTATTGTGTTGGACACACGAGAAAGTTAAGTCCACTCTTCAGAGTTCTCGGCAACCTGCAAAGTAAGTAGATTTCTAGAGAGTAAGACTTTTTTGTTGCTGAAAAAAGTTATATATCTGGATTACAAAAGCTAAAGCTATTTATCTCGACATAACAACGAAATTATGTCTTTTCTTTTTGTTGAAATAACAATTTAATGAAGTCGATTCTGGACTATAGCCCAAAAATATACATTTTATTCCATTGAATCATACAAGTGAATGTAAATTGGCATCAGTGGTGCTCCAGAATGTGACTTGCATAAAAAGAAATCTTTCTGGAATATAAAATCATGTTATGTACAAGATCTCCACCTCTCTTATTAACATGTACATCGTATCTGTTTTACTCCCCATAGCATTAGTTTGTCACAACTTACGCCTTTAAGATGAAAAGTGGGAGTTGTGTGGAGCATCCTCTGATTGTTTACAGATGATGATAACCAGCCTCTCGATTCACTATAACAGGAAGGCCAGCATCGAGGTGCAGGAATTTAATTATCTTAACTGCTGTGTTAGGTTTGCAACATGTACCCAGTTATTGTCTTCTTTTTTTCTTCCAACACTCCTCCATCTATGTTAGATGAATTAACAATAACATTGCGAAATCTGCTAGTCATATGGTTCAGGTAAAATCAGTTGAATAAGATACAAATGGTGTATGTGTCTACTCTGGTCGTACCGGTCGGGCAGTATTCCAGGTGTATTGTTACTAATACAAAACGGGGCATCAAGGTGTGCCGATTGTCTCAGTGGTTATCAACAACATTTGTTTTGTGTTTAGACAAAGGGGGATCATCAAATCTGCTTTCCATTTAGTTTACCAATAGTATCCTCCACATGTATGTCTCCATCTCCTCCTGTCCCTACGTCCGAAATGAACATGTCTATGTACTTATAGAAGGTAAGCGTATCGGTAACGACTTGCATGTTTGTTATTGTAAGCGAGAATAGACAAGACATAATATTTTGGGGGTTATTTACTGAAGGTATTTGTGCTCAGTTGTGGTGGCTTCCTGTGCGATGTTTTATAAACATAATGTTATGAGAAGCCGAGTAATCATGCTGAACAGTGATAACATGATAACATCTCCCAGTCAGACATTATCAGTTTCTTCACTTTCATCTCTTTCTCTCTCTCTATCTGTTTCTCCTAATATTTAGGCTCACTCTTTTAATGCTTTTATTGCTATTTTTTCTGAGATCGGTACCCCTAATCTGATAATGCCTTGAAAGATTCATGCACATGACACCTTGCTAATTCTTTAAGGTAGTTGAAACCTAAAGCTTTATATAACACCTGATAAATAATTGATGATTATAGGCGTTCGCTGTTTAAGTGTAAAGTAAGACACGTAACTGTAGTAGTATCAAGAGAGAGGAGGGGTTCTATTCTGGCCTGGCTTTCATTTAGAATATTAGAGGTTTTCGTGTGTACTTAATACCGTTTTTTACTAGTTTATGGGATGTTTACTTGTTGAATAATATTAGTTGATAATTTTCCTGTAACAATTCTCAGATTATGACTTTAACACGTTATGTAAGTTCTGATAAAGTGTAATGGGACCCCAACTACTAAATTGATTATTGGTTTCTAAAAACAATTCATGGTCTTTCCATCCGTCCATAATTCTCTAAAAGGAGAGAGAGAGAAGGGGGGGGGGGTAATGTCTACTCGACACAAACTAGGTCATTTGGGACTAACATATGGTTCAATTTTATTTCAATAATGCGCTTGCGCATAGGGCTCTTTAGCAGTGGGAGGGCCCGGAGAAAACCCACGAGGTTGGACAGGCGACTCTACTCCTTGTCACGTACAACCGGGGAATCGAAACCACGCCAATTGACTCAATAACAGACCTTATGATACAGCGCGCACGTGCTAACCATTCGGCCATCCAACCCCCCAACAAACAGGGGACTATTAAAATGGGCTGGTCTGTCGGTTACACTTTTTGTAACATACGAAGAGGGCTGGCTGAAAAGTTCTAAGCCTATCTGTGAAAGACCTGTACAAAGTCAATGGTTTCCATTTATTTTTCTTCACAGTCCCCTTCGATGTGTACACACATTTGCCAACGATGTTGCAAGGCCTGGATGCCGGTTGGGAAGAATTTTTTTTCAACGATCTTTAAAAAAATCTCGTTCACAGCTGACATGACGTCATTATTACTAGGAAAATGACGACTGGCTAGTACCTTTTTATACGCCAACATGGAAATGTGGTCGTATATTGCTGTCACAATTTCTTGTGAACACTCTACAGACTCCCATCATCTCATTGTTTTGAAATAGATATATGCCGTTTACATTAGTGAGATCAAGAAGCCTATTTTATTTTCGTTAATTTCTTCTGGAGTTATGGCCCTTGTTTCACTGGTACCCCTTGTGAACGCTCTAACGACGAAATTTATCATCCGATCTGTGTGAAATTTATATGCATAATGTAAATTGGTGAAACAAAGAATCATATTGAATTTCAGCGATTTCTGTTAATTATACTTCTAGAGTTATGGCCTTTGTTTCACTTCCTTGAATCTTGTGAACGCTCAAACCCCAAACGTTATCATCCGATCTGTATGAAATTTATAAACATCCTTTAAATTAGTGAAATGGGGAATCCTAATGAATTTAAGCAATTTTGGCCTCTTTTTAAAAAGAAAAAGTCTGTCGAATTTCAACAATTTCTGTAAATTATTTCCAGAGTTAATTTAAGGCCACTGTTTCAGTTTGTTGAACCTTTTTAACCCTCAAACAACGAAAATTATAAACGGATCTGTATGAAATTGTAGTGTACAAAGATTACATATGCGACAACCCTTGTCAACCACCGGACGATTAAGCTGCTGTGTGGGTGTGTTTTTGTTGCCTGGCAACCTATCTTTCATTTTTGAAAATAGGTGGAAGTCTGACGGGGCCAAATCTGGCCAAAAAAATTACCAGAATCTGCTTCAAAATGGCGCAGAATATCACGGGACGTCAGGAATCGGACACGTTTCTCAATCTTGGAAAAACCTTTGCCACTCCTAACTCTTTGGTGGTAATGTGCTCAACCCTCTTCTGAGAGATGCCCACCCACAAAACTGGCAATATGTCGAGTGGTCAATCGTCGATCAGCCATCACCATGTCATGCACCCGGGTAATGTTTTTAAATGTTTGCTGTTGATGGTCTTCAAAGGACGTGGGTCATCGTTAGGGCACTCTCTGCTACGCTTACTGTGGAAAACGAAGGGGAATCATCCCCTAAAGTGGAGACCATGTCAGCATGTGTCTTTAGAAGCAGAGTTATCGTGTTCCATAGCATCGATAAATCAGATTGCCCATCTCTGCATAGCAGGAAGTGCCCACCTTCGAAATCTGTCAATGAACATTCTACTCAGTTCAAAGCAGAGAAGTCCCGCAGAACTATAGCTGAACCTGGAAATTGTATACAAAGAGTTTTTTTTCGTGATTGATTTTAGTAGCCTAGGGTGTCCTCTTTCCGAATCTGCTGGGTGAACCTCGGTCACCCTTGGGCATTTTGAGAAATTCAAGATGGCGTCCGAAAGAGGACACCCTCGGCTACTAAAATCAATCATAAAAAAACCTCTGTATACAATTTCCAGGTTCAGCTATAGTTCTGTGGGATTTCTCTGCTTCGAATTGGGGTAGAATGTTCATTGACAGAATTCGATGGTGAGCACTTTTTGCTATGCAGAGATGGGCAATTTTATTTATCGATGCTATCGAACACGATAACTCTGCTTCTAAAGATAAATTTATGGACTTTGTGGTATTCTAATAAGTTGACTTATCCAACCAACTTGTAATAATTGTTGTATTTCTATTTGCAGATCGGCATTTGAGGGGTCTAAAGAACAAGGTTTTTTTAAACATGACGTGATGTATTATTTTCTTTCACTGAACAGCAACTTATTCCTTAATATCTTCGCATTGAAAATATAGTAATACAGCTTATGACTTTGTTTCTTTTGTACTGTAAATGTATATAGTAAATTATACATAATCATGCCTACCCCAGTAAAGTTCTATTTTTGTAATGATTTGTATAATGGATGATAATAACGTTTATTTTGTATATAAATATATATTGTTATGTTGATTATGTATATAATTTTATGGAATGGAAGTAAAAACACCTTTGATGTATAAAACTGAATGCAATATTTATATTTAGAGCAGGAATTCGTTTTCTATATTGTGTATGAAAGATTAACATGATAAAAAAAAAATTTCACACATTTTAGACTGTTGTCAATAAAAATGAAATTTATGTGGAAAAATGGACAATATATTTAGTTGTAGGAAATAGTTATACACCGAAAATCGCTATTTAAAGTTATCTCGCGAGCGTGTGTTATTCTGCTATAAAATACAGAGAAGCCACCCGATAAGTATAAATCTGACACACAAGCTTTTTGGACGGTAGTACACCAGAACGTTTTGGGGGGTAATTGGTCAGCAGAGACCCTGATAATATGTATGTTAGAGCGGTTTTGCTTATTTACGCCGCCCCTTGGAAATATTTACCATGCAAAACGGCAAAATTAGTCAACTGGGATCCCGTTAAAATTTTGCACTTTTTACAATAAAAGAACCTACGACAGTTAGAATTCTATGAAGTAACTCACTGCATGGCCTAAACCCGTCTTCATTAGCCCGGAGTTGGTTCAGAAAAGTATGACGATAAACCCCATTTCATTTTACTGCCTAGCCCCCGGAAGGATGCTTCCACTATTACCTAGGGCTGGACCTGTAAACAAATTTACCAACAATACGGGTTCAAAATCGTAAAAAAAAGACCCACCTACTACCAGTGGACTTACCCGCGATTTTCCGACAATAATATACCCAGCTGGGGAGTTGAAAAATTCCCCCACCCCCAATTGCCGCGATCATCTGTAATATCACGACATTGCATCTGACTGTTAATGATCGAAATTACCACAGAAAACCATGATTATGGTCAATGACTGTGAAAACTTCCCAATTTACAAGACAGTGGGGATTACACTTGAATACAATATCAAAGATAGGTTGCCAGGCAAAGAAACATACGCCCACAGCAGCTAAATCGTCCGGGCAGTCAACAAGAGTTGTCAAATATTTTTAATTTTCGGTAATGAAACATTTATAATACACTAAAATCTGATTATAAATTTAAAGTCAATGGGATATTAACTTTAGCCTCTAGAGCGTCCACAAGCAATTGTGGACGACGGACGGACGGACGGGGGCGACGACAATATACGACCACATTTAAATGTGGGCGTATAAAAACCGAACGAATAATTATATCATGCAAAAGGTGTATACTTTAAAGGGACAATAACACTCTTGCTGGCTTGACAGCTCCGGAAAATAAAAAAATAGCCTTATTCTAAGTACTAGATGTGTTAGTGTCCTACCTGTTGTGTAAATTATCCATTAAATCCTATTTTACTTGTCCAAAGGGTTCAAAAATATTTTTAAATCCAAGTCACATTTGAAAAGCTTTTACGTCAGGCTTTTCAAATCATTTAGTTGAATTTTTCCAATTTTTTAAATTAGGTGTGTTAAGATGAAATTTGTATCATCAATTAATTGGAATATTGTAAAATAGTACAATTTGTTGACCAGAATAAAGATTGGGACATATTATTCAGTTACAACAAGAGTGGTATTGAGCCTTTAACACATGGTTCTAGACTATACTGCACAAAATGGGGATGATCATTGCCCAGCGTAGAATGATTACTGCACATTTTAGGATTGAAAACAATGCACACTTATTGTATACACACTGCTGTCCATATTGGGTTTTCATTATGTTCATAATTTCCAATTTAGGAAGGCGCTGGGATACAGTATTCGTATTTTGCTTATGTACAAGCCCACATAAAGTGTAAATGTATAATTTCTCCATCGACATCATTTGTCTAGTTGGTCAAGCATCCGTTCACTTTTTTGTGAGAACCTGATAAGCTCAGATTGGATTTTGTGGGGAGATTTAATATCCTCTCAAAGTTAAAATCTTTTAGATTGCGACCACATAGTATGCTTCCTATTCAGATTTCTACTTTTAAACTTTGTAGACAAGGTATGTTGCTGCTCGTCAAGGAATGGCCTTTAGAAATTCTGGAGTTACCTCGCGGTGAAAGTATAAGAAGATTGAGGCCGTCCTCACCAACGTTTCACGATCTAGTTAGAGAGATGAATCATGTTTGGGATTCTTTTTTTTTCACTTTTAATTCACAAAACATAACAAACCATTTAAAAAATATCAAGAGCCTTGACATATAGAAGTCAAATGACCCCACACTGCAGTGCAAAACCATAATAATAAAAAAGATGGTGTTTGGCACCAGTCCTAACAGACTCATCAAAGACCTTTTAATTATAGGTAGCGGTGCAGTACTTGTTATTCAGACAGAATACCGTGACTGATCTACTTGCTATCAATCTTCTCTTCGTCTGCTTACAAAAATACAAATCTTTAACTATTGTCTGGTGTTGTAATCATACCCGCCAGTTCACGCTTAATAAGAATGATCTTTAAAACGTATATTATGTGTATCGAATTTCTTTACTTTGGAAACACATGGTTATTTTACTGTTTTAAATTCTACTACTTCTGTTTACTTTCTGTCTGTGGTTCACGTCTGTCGCACATCTAAGCATCGTCTGCAGGTTACTTTGGCGGGATTCCCAACTATACCACCAGTTTTCCCTACAACTAGTTTCTTTAAGTAGCAAAATAATGAGGCTCAATAGTTTGTTTTCTTAGCAGATTGTCTTAGAATCGCCGCCTTGAATGAAATTCTAGGATTATCTTGACGAAAGGTAGAACCCCCATCACGGTATATGCCATTACCAGAGGTGTTAACACATATCTAAATAGGACGCCGATGTTTTTCAAATAGAGGCATATGATTAATGTCTACCATTACAAAACACGAGTATGCAGAATTATATACAACATCTATAAGAAAGCGATCTTGAAATTCCCGTCTATATACAAATTTATATTCATGAATTCTAAAAAAAAAAGACATTGCCACTTGTTTAAGATTATTTACAAGGAAAAACATGGGCATGGGCATTCAACCCTATCACCTCTGGTTCCATAAGACGGAATCATAGTTGGGGCCCATGTCAGTTAAAATATCTTGACAGAATCCCATGAATGTTCTAGGAAATATGTATCTGCCCGTCGTTATGTACATTTTACATTGGTGACACTATACCTATACATTCAGCTCTCTTTCAGAGGGGTTGGTGGCCGAATGGTTAACGCGTGTGCGTTTCATCATAAGGTCTGTCATTGAGATAAGTGGCGTGATTTCGATTCCCCCATTATACGTGACAAGGAGTAGGGTTTTCTCCGGTTTACCCCACTGCTAGACGACCCCTACGCGCTAGCGAATTATTGAAATAAAATTGAACCATCAAATGTTAGTCCTGCAGGTCTTTCCGCAGGTTTTGTCTTCTGAGTTTCTGGTTGTTATGGGTGGTGTATAAAGAGTATATAGGTTTAATCTTTATTTGCCTAAAATTTCGCAAAGCGACAACCTTTATAGATTGCTCGGATGACTAAGCTGCTGTTAGATTCAAAATAAATTCTAACCTCCTATCGTCTAATTTCTAACTTCTGTTCATGTAATTTTTAACTTCTATTCATGTAATTTTTAAATTTAAGACAATGTATAATCCAACTTCTTTATTGCTTCAGTGTAAATTTTAATTCTATTTCATCTTATTTCTATTATTTCAATTGATGATTTACACGTTTAGTATAAACATCAACGAATTTAGAATTTGTACACTTCTGCCTAGAAACCATCATTATGGAAGTCTGGTTGATGGTTGGACGGAGTGCTGAAATTGAGAGAGTGGGAGAGAGAGATATTATATTTCAAATATAAGCTAAACAACATTTAATTTGGAGATTTTCTTTGATTTTTTTTTACAGTGAAGCCAATAATAATATTTATATTCTGTTGAACTGTATTCTATACTGCTGTAACAAAAATATCACTTTATAATGATAAACCCCATTATTGTGGGGATGAAACGGCCTTTAAAGGAGATCGGGATAATCTGTTCATGTGGATAGCGATGAAATTTCTATTTCTGATGCTTTCATTATACAGACCTGACTAACTTTATGGTAGTTTTTTTTCCAACAATATTTTATTCAAGTTGCATAAAGCGATACGGAATTTCATAGATAAAGGTGTTCTTGACGAAATTAAACCAAAATGAAATGGGTTTATCGTCCTACTTTTTTACACCAACTGGGATAATGAAGACGGAGCTACGCCATACAGTGTGCCATGGGTGAAATTTAGCCCGGACACCGGCGCCACGGTCTACTTTTATTACGAATTACAGCTGCCAAAGGTTTTCGTCCAATCCGAACGACTATGACGGCCGCCTCCGCAAATCACAGGGACTGAACTAATAATGTCAGAAATATTATAAATCTTAGTTTTGTCGGTGTGTATACTAGCTTACGATGTTATATAACCCATATTTCTATGATATAACCGATATCTTCCGGCGTGGTTCTCCCTCCCTTGTTATTGATACATGACGGGGGGGGGGGGGCTGGAACGGACAGTGTCTAGTCTTTCGGATGGTATAAAGAGGCATTTTTTTAGAGCAGTAAAAGAATATAGACCAACAGTATATAAATATTAATTGGCTCATCTGTAAAAAAAAAATCAAATAAAATTTTCCAAATCCTGCACTTGTCTTTAAAAAAATGAACAAATTATGCTGTTTAGCTTATATTTGCAAACCACATCATAAACCATTCCACCTGACGAAGAGCGAGGCGTTTGTATCAACATAATAGTCCCGATCAGGTGCTCAATCGCCAAACTGGGCACACGGTGGCGATACCAAACGACGTCATAATGATGGTTGCTAGGTAGAAGTATCAAAATTCTAAATTTGTTCGACGTTCACGCTTAACATGTAAAACGACAATGAAGTGGACAATTTTCGTCTTAATAATAGTAATAAGATGAAAGAAGTTGGATTATACATTGTCTTGATTTAGAAATTACATGAATAGAAGTTAGAAATTACATGAATAGAAGTTAGAAATTACATGAATAGAAGACGTTAGAAATTAGACGATAGCATGTTAGAATTTTGAATTTAATATACCGCCATACGTTCTATCGTTCACGTTTAACCGATTCCGAAGAAATGCTTTCTTTGAGTTATTTCTAGGTCAGTTAAAAACAATGGGGGGGTTTTCAACACAAAATGTTTCCACCCCCTTTTGACAGAAATTATTTACGAGACCTTCTCTAGTTAATAGTTAGTGACTCGATGATAAATAAAATCACAAACTCTCCTTTTGATCTATCTTATATCAATAAAGGTACATTTTCGAGTCTCTATCAACATTTTTGGACTTTTGTACATATATTTTTTTGTAATTGCGTTTATTCATAATATGAACTTATTGCCACCATATAATTAGTATATCAGTCTAATCATTGTATGTGTAATGTTTTATGAGTAACGCCTTTCTTATCCTGACTTTAATATGAGCTAAAATTACCACCCGGAACGACTGACAAAGTTCGAACTGAACGTGGACTGACTTCCGGTGTGTAGCTTTATAAAGAAACATCGTTCGGCCTTGGTTTATGAATGTTCAGACTTTAGTTACGTATGTTGTTGATGCGGTTTTATTCAGTTTACTATCGAGTATTATAGGTGTGTTCATATTGGACTACTAGATAAACCACGACAGTAGAAATTAGATAAAAACTATATATCATTTCTAGTCCGTGCTCATGAGTTATACTGCTCCAACCCGTCGCTTGTGTATAAAATTGTCTATCACCTTTGATTACAGCTACGTTCTGCACATAGAAAACTATCAACGTTGAGAATATATCACTGTCCTGAATGACCGCCATAAAGTGTGGTTCTAATCAGCTTCATACACACAAAGATTCAATAAACATTTTAACTCTCGATGGAAGCGGGATAAATACTTCTAAAAATTCTAGAGGTACGCTTATTGCTTTTGACTAAAATCGTCGAAATGAGAATTAAAATGTCGGTCAACTAGCTTAGTATCTGTTCTCAAGCGGAGCTAACGCATATAATTCTGTAATATAAATGTATATAAACTGATTTACATTCAATGGTTTCCGTTTTTACTCCAATTTCAAATCAGTTATGTTCGGCGAAATAAGCCAGCAGTCTCAAGCGAGTGCAAATTTCTAGCGTCTGGTTATTCCAGTCTACACACGCCGTTTGATTTGGTGCAATGTGTCTAGCCTCGTCCCTCGAGTCTTTTGATACAACTGGGGCTGAAGCGCATTGTGGTACACGATTCGTGTACCAATGGTAAAATGTTTATTTTGTCTTAAATATTGGATATCAAAAGCCCATCTTTTTCCGGTAAGATCACAACATGAATGTTGATTTAATTTGACAAATAAATCGTGTTTTCAATGTTGAAGATTTTGGATGATATTGAGTTAGAGACTTAGCTACTTTAATAAAGGCAATGTACATGTATTTCAACAAATTCTGGTAATCAAGAAGCGTTTCATGGGTCTGGAGTTAACAAAGTCTGCATCTGGCAGTCAATATTGGTTTGATTATTTTTTAGGCATATAAATTTCAAGTCAATAACCTCAAGAGTGTGCACAAAAAGGACAGATAGAGTACAGCGTATCTACGGGAAGATGGCGGGGTCCGGTCAGTGAGGTACGTTTGGTCAATTCCATAAAATAGATGTCGAATAGTAGTATACAAGACACTGACACAACTACATTATTTTACGAAAACACAGTCAATATGCTTTGTGTTGTATTTTTGTCGTGTGGGGTGGGTTGGGGACTGAGGAGGCAATCACAAAGACCGCCCCTGTGTCACAAACTCTAGACTACGCCACTGGCCAGGGAGAATAACCGGATAGTATAATTATGTGTTTTAGTTGTATCAAGTATTGCAGTGGTAAAAGGCCTTTTATATTCTTACCAATAGATGTACTCAATACACATACAATCTCAACTCGTCTTCATTAGGACGTTAAACCCCATTTCATTTCATTTTACAATCTTAACAGATGGGAGAAATATGGAAGGGTAACGTTGCCAATATTATTTTAATGTTCACGGTGCAAAATGCATATGTCAGCATTTCCAAATTTTTGTTTTACAATGTGCAATTTCCATTGCTCCACAATATCAATGCCACAGTGTTTAAATACAAAATACATTTTTCAGTAATACAAAATACAGTAAAATAGTTAGTCCGGACTTTTTTCCATATGCAAATGAGCTTCGTCGTAGATCCCATATAAGGTATATGTTCCAATATGCGCAGTTCTATTATGCATTTGTCTATTATGCAAAATATCTATTATACTGTATTTGTATTATTGAAAAGTGTATTTTGTATTTTAACACTGTGACAATGGTATTGTGGAGCAATGGAAATTGCAAACTTTAAAATTAAAATACGTATTTTAAACTACTGAAATATATGCGGTTTATACAGTGAACACTGAAATAATATTGGCAACGTTATCCTTCCATAAATAAAGACTGTTTCATTTTAAACCCCTAATATCTTTAGTCTTCAGTGTTCTATAAAATAAATACTGCAAGGGTCAATTTGACCTATAGCCATGAATATTGTCTATTTGACATCGTTTATGTCCCCACTCAAACCATATGTATAGGTGTTATGAATTATCCCTATAACTAAATGTGGTGGTGCGTGTCATAGATTAAACAGTACATGCGTACTCTTTTTTCTGGAATGTTTGATATAATTTCTGTGTGTTTGAAAAGTTCACAATTACAATAACTGATGAATTTTGTTTGTATTTTTTAAATAAAAAATTCTAATCACCTGACATTTTATATTATGACAGCACCAATTGTTGTACAGATCAGTGGAATTTGCATATATCATTGAGATTGAGTATATATATAGGGAGAAAAAATGGGTTAACTCAAAACAAACTAGGTCATTGCGGGACTAACATATGGTACAATTTTATTTCAATAATTCGGTTGCCCGTAGGTAGAATTATTTTAGCAGTTAGAGGACCCTGCGAAAACCTACGAGGTTAGGCAGACAACCCTAGTCCTTGTCACGTACAAGTCTGGGGTCGAAACCACGCCACTGGACTCAATGACAGCTTATGATCGATCTTAAGCTCGCGCGTTAGACCATTTGGCCACCCCGCCCCCACCACGCCACCCATCGCGTCTAGTATATATTGAATAGGCAATCAACAAAAAGCAGTGGTGTACGTAAATTCTGACAAAGAAAGACATTATAATGATGATATTCAGGTTTATTTCTAAAAGATTCAAGACTACTATTATAATAAACAGATGAAAGGGACGCCACATTATTATATTTAAATATACAGTACAAAAAAAAAAACACTAGAAAATTTAAAACTATTATAACAATTGAAATATATCTACAATTATAATATTTTAAACACAATATTTTAACTGTATATTAATCTAATAATAAAACTTAAATAAGTATCTACAGTATGTATTTGTTTGTCTAAGGGTACTTATATCTCTAAATGTTTAGATACAAAAACGCATGATGGTACATTTTTGGTTTTAAATATCGCTCTGGTAAAATAAGAATATAAATGAATTTTTTGAGGCGGGATCAATCGGGAAATGTATTTTATTATTTTAAATTACTATCCTGGAATAGTTGTTAAACTAAAATCATAATTAGTTAATAGAAATTATAATTTAAACGGTCACTTTCAGATAGATCTCAAATCAGTTATGTCAAGTCGTATTCTAACCCTCTATTAAAGATGTAACCCGTCGAGTTTAATTATCTCATCTATAGTAAATCTAGTTTTTATGCCCAAGAAATATATAATTGAAGACTGTTCGTGTCCGTCAAGGGCCACAGCTGGTCGAGTAGCGTAGAACTATAGACTACACTACATAATTGTCCGATCGGTAAGTGACGGCGGTATTATTAGATTGGAAATAGGATTACCCATCCATTAGTCGTAAGATATGTTGTTTTGAATAGTAGGTCGAACGCCAAAGGAATACATCTTTAAATTACAAACTTGTAAACTTTAAGCCATTAACACTACTTAGTGGTCGAGATATCTCTGCTTCAATAGAAGTAAGAGTTACTCTTTCTTATTTCAAGACAAAACGACCCGGTATTTAATTTACTAGGAATTAAGATTCATACATACATTTACTGAAAGAAACGGATTATTTAATATGGATGCAGTAATTGATCTAATTATTTGAGAATTGTTTTAAGTATATAGATGGATTTAATGATATGTACATAATAATTAATTTCATTTATGTCGTCTAATAACGAACTTATTATTTGTTCAGTATGGGGATCTATTTTGTCCAATCTACAAAAATAAACACTGAACAAGACAATAAAAATATAAGTTAAAATTTCACGACTTAACAATACACAACAATATTTATTGAAATTCTTAGACAAGAAAAAATATTTGCGCAATATACATATAGCATAAAAGTAATCTTATCTACAAACAAACAGCTTACTATTCTTTCAGAGCACATAAAATTTCAATTAAAATACATTTAAAATTTACACTCAGACTGTGCTCTATTAGTTCCATATACAACCATTATTCCAAAACATTGATCAAGTAACATTATAACCAACATAATATTATTCAATGTTTTATTATGTCTCTTAGTGCCACACACATCGTCTTCCTTCCACTGGGACACATAATATGTGCTTGATAGGAACGTTAACGTCTGTGCCAATTATAGGCCGATGCCCTCGAACGCCCTTTTAACCATGGAACGCACGTTTAACGTCTTCGATAGTTCTACGTGAATATTACGTCATAAAACGTTAGTTCTATCTTTGAAACGTTTATTTAACACCCTGGTAGTTTGTTCTACCTGCTCACACTTGTGAATCAAAACGTCCTAAAACGACTTCCTAACCCTGAAACGTACACTTCACATCCTGAAAGGTCTTTAGGGTGTTAAAAATTCGGGAAACGTTCTGTAACTTGATAATGAAACGCACACACTTTGATACGTGTCCAGAAATACGTACTTTCTTTCATCTTACGTCTTTCATCTTACGTCCTCTACATGGATCATAACATTATCCAAAATATAATATACCTTTCTTAAATAAAACAATTTATCAATATATACATCAGACATAAGAATTCATACAGAATCATATAATTAGTGTAAATATCACTTTACCTATATCTCACAATGGGAAATGATCATAAGAACATCGATAAAGTATCCATGGACGCTATTAACTCTACCAACGCTTTAAGTTATTAGCAAATATATATAAAATATATATATAGTTATAGGTAACATTTACTATAACGGCTTTCCTGCTTTTTCTAGATGAATTCCATGTTTTGTTCATATATGAATTGTTTTCCGAAACGCCAAATCCAATAGTAATTTTCAATTTTTCTATTATATCACATCTTCTCTGAGTAATTAAATCTCTTTGAAATCTCAATTTCGCACAAAGTTCGAGGTATATAATTAACAGCACTTGTTCCGGAAGTTACTCCAATCACTGACGACATTTGCCGCGCCTTTCGTACTTCACAAAGCGTCGTAAACGTCGTTGCCACTTATCTTTCCATTTTATAACGACACTTTTACGATCTATTACGAATCCGCTACGACTATCATTTCTACGGTGCTTTCCAACGATAAGGTAACGTTGGCTTAGACGAATTTTGGGACATTTACATCGTAAATCTTGCTTGGGAACCCATAGATACGTTTCACCACGACGTGTTCTGTCGTTGGTGGGTCGGTTCACTATTCGTTTGTATGAATTTTGTACGTTGATGGTAAATTTAACCCAATCATCGACCTTTTCTCTGGATACAACCTGGGCGCTGATGGCTGCAATGGTAACAAAAAAAATGCAGGTGTTATAACTTTTACACAACGATAGGATGTCAGTGAACGGATTATATAAACAAGTCCAGGGTAAAAATCACTAAGCTTAATAAGAACTATAACTCTGTAAATGAAAGATTTGTTAATACCGGTTTCGAAAAAGATCAGACGATATTGTAGTCTCAAAATTCGGCTGTTTTCTATGGGTGCAACATTCTGTAAGGAATTCAATTTGTCCTTACTTTATCATATTGTTCCAAACATATCTAATATTAAACTTTGAGTGCAATTTTTCAATTTCAAGTTTTGTATGGGTTAATAGGTTTATGCACGGAACAACAAAATGGTCAATGCACGACTGGCTTGGTCGTTTCTCAATTCGTGCATGGCAATTTAAAAATTATTAGATGATAACCGAGTCCATGTAAAATTGCCCATCTAAACTGTTCAAAGATGGACACGTGCGAGGGCAATTTGCAGCAGCATTTTAATTCGGGCTTATAAAAATTTAACTATACTCCGGAAAGGTACAATTGCTTTTAAACTTTGAAATGACGAGAGGGTTTGCTACATATTTTTATACTTTCGCGGGTTCATTTTATGTGTTTAATAATCGTTCTTACCAAAGTCTCGTCTGCAAAATCTTTTGAGGGTAAGTCGCCTGCTCCGCTTTTTGCATTTATTACATGGATTACCTGAAAATAAATATGGAACATCACGTCAAGTTCTATTGTTTACCTTATTGCAATTTCTTTCAGCCATTACTTTGTTTATGAGATACTGCAACAGTCTGCGTTAAGAGAAAATGACTTAGAATTTCCAATTTGGATTTCATTAGCCACTTAATCGGAATTTGAAAAGGGAATCGAAGGCTTAACAAAGGGCTTAATAGGTCATAAATAATCGCCAACACTTCCGATGGATATAGAATGATCGGGTGACGAACCGTGCCACAAGAGCAAATGATTTAACTTCCGACCTTTATTGGCAAATAAAGAACTATCCCTTAACTAATGGTCATTAACGGACAAACACCTTCTCGGGGAATTAATACAGCTTAACGCAGGTTTGTAAGGGTCGGTTACGCTGTACTGACCATTGTCAACAAAATGGCGTATAATAGAGGCCGGAAGTCATTCGCCACATCTGACCAGTTAATAATTGGCGATTATAAAAACGAGTTAAACGCCTTCTATTAGTTTTATCCGTCATCACAGGATATTATTTACTAAGCTAACGAACCCATTGGATAACTTGAGTTCTTTTTTATATATCGTCTTAGATTAAATGCGAAGAGCAAATAGCAACTGTAACAATACCTCATAACACGTAAAGTGTGAATAATCTGTCAGTAGCCTTTCTTAAAGGGCTAAAGTCGTTTGTTGTACATTACATTATTTAACTCCTAACTTCCACTCGTCGAGTGATTTATAAGAAAAGGTATGGCGAAAATGAAGAGGAAATTTGTGTCTACATAGTCGAAATAAGCGACCATCATTACTTTAGTCTTTGTTCAACAAGTGTGTAAATACTGCGTTCGTGTTAATTGTTCCTGTCATTATCACACTTGCCCAGGTGCGAGGCGGCCTTTTTCTTTGATCTTTACCTGTTTAAGATCAGTACAAGGTGTGTGGTCATATATCATGTACTTCAAAAACGATCGGACTGCGAATATTTAACATTAACAATAGATCCTATAGATCTTTTTTCATTCGATTTCTAATTTTACTATTTACGAGCAGAGTCTAATTTTAATATCGATAGAGAAATAACTACGCGAACTATTATCATTAGGTATATGAAAGCTCAAAATAAAATGAACTAATTAAAGTGAATAACAATAATATATTGTCAATCAATATGCCTGACTAGTCCCCGCTTCTGTTATTTTTGTCAAGAACTTCAAACACGCATCAATACATTTCAGTATAGGACTAATCGTTATTTTCCATCACTATACAAATCTGTATGTTATTTTTCCTGGACATTGTCATCCGAACACTCTGTTTTTCCTACTAAGGAAACGTTAAGAGAAAAAATAGTAGACACTATCGATGCATTTGTCCTCGATGACCTGCCATGCATATTGTTAACATATACACTGAGAAACCATTAATTGGGAGTGTTTCAACTTAGTTTTCTCTAAAAATTTACGAAGCGTGAAAACACCAAAGAGATTTTGTTTGAACTGTTTTTTTCTAGAAAACCACTGAAAAGACCAATTATATGATGTACGCGACTTGTTAATAAAACTATTGAATTCAATGATATAGCAAAACACGACTCGCCTGATGCTGGAATTTCTATATACATGACTGACTCCAATGGTTTCATGATTAGAAATACTATATTTTATTGTAATATTATGCAAATTAACCGTGTATTTATTAATGTAAATAGAAAGAATCATATAAATAGTCTGTCAGTGCACATGTTACAATTTATAATGAGTCGAAAAATGCGATATTGTTATCATAATTAAAAAAACATAACTTGAAGTCAAGGATTGAAACGGAAATATTGTCTGATAATAAAAAGCTCATGGAAAAATGATTTTATTTATTTTACGCCCTTTTGCATTCAATGATATTACACAAGACACAGGGGCCTTGGTTAGATTTGTTTGTTAGATTTTTTTCCTACTATATTTGCACACTATTTGTAATATCTCGTTGGGGTTCTTAACCTCTTACTTAATATGTCCATCTGCGATATCATATCAGAAAAATAAATAGGATAATAGTATTCACCTGTACCGGGAGTAGGTTTTGGTCGGTTTCCACCTGGGTTGGGTATTTCTGAAAAATACATTTCAAAATAGTAGTATTATCTAGTACAGTGACAAATAAATGAAGGTACAATGGGAGCTTTGGCTGGCTAAAAAAAATACTTTAATAGCATTTCAACGATTAATCTCTTCTGTTTTCCCAAGCCGCTGTTGTGTTTCTGCTCCTTGCTTCCGGTATTCAACACGATCTGCAAGGTCTGGGGATGATTTCCTGCAATCACGAGTGTGTCAATCTGGTGGGGCTTAAGGCAACTGTTAAACTGGTGATACATCCCATACACCTGTTGTCTTAATCCACACAGATTTTACAATCACTTCATTACGAGATTTGCTGGAAGGAATTAAGATTAGAGATTAAATGGCCGAGATCAGCTTGTCTTTTGATGAAAACCAAAGGTTTCGTTTTGGTAAAACCCGACTTCTGTATTCAGATATAGTTTGGAAATCAATGAATAAAGTATTTTGGGGAAAATATTACGCTTAAAATCAAATTAGCAATGATAAGCTTGAATATCAGATGCACATCTATCAACCAAACCTAAATAACTGAAGCATTTACAAGACCACAAGCAATGATAAACAATGATTGAACGGTAGCGCAGTACAGACTCGCGACAGACTATCTCACTTCCGTTACCAAGACGCGACCACAGCGATTTGTATCGTTTATCTTTGATAGATTTACAAATACTGAACTTTACGTGCATGTTATCATAATCATACATTGTAGCTTTAAGCAAATATAGCTGATCCGTTACCATATGGAGACCAAGGTGTGCAACTAATCTTGTGGGAAGGTTTCACCTTTCCATCGCATATTTCATAAAGGCTAGCGATGGATGAGCATGAATTTTTAACCATCATACACAATTTCTTCAACCAACATAAATTTGCATTGTTGTAACGTTCATTGGACAGTTCACACTTACACCAGAATTTATGTTTGCTCTTCATTGTATTCAAGAGGACTACTAGTTTTTCAATTTCCTAAATGTACACATTCCGGTAGACTTTTGTCAACATCACTGTGCTCGGCTTTAAAGGGGGATATTTGAAGAAGCCTGTGTTAAATTTCCCTCTTGTATAAAAAGATCTGTTCGTATGGCTGGTATTGTCGACCCGAAAATGAGTCTTATTTTGGTTAATTTACTCACAATGAAACGAAAAAGAAACGCATGTAACGTTTATTGTGAGAGAGTAGCCTTTGTCACCTTAGCCGTGTCGAAGGCGAGAAATATAGCCGCCTTATTGTTTAGATAGTGTGATGATGTTAGCTTAACACGATACACATTTAAATTTCTAAGGTACAAAGAAGATAGAAACCCCTTTTACAAAGCAAGTCATGATACCATATCAATAATTCTAATTTGATGGAGTTTTAGCTTAGTTCTCAATTATTTTCAACGTTTATTTTGAGATATGGAAGAATTGAGACCAATATTTTTACAAGCTAACACATCCTGTCGGAAAGGAAATGCAGTTAAAGAGGTATTATGTGAGATTAGATAAAGAGTTTACTGTTCTCGCTATAATAGTTAAAAAAAATAGATAACGTAAATAGAATATGTTAAAAATTTCAGTCAAATTGCTCCACTCTGAACCGAGATATTAGCTTTTGAATTTTAAGCCTAGCCTCGATCATCATTACTAAAGTCGGTACGATAAAAACATAGTCTCGATTATCCATTTTTGGATTTATTAATCAATAAGCGTTGAGTAGCAGATCGGATTCAAATCCAGTGAAAATCCGACACAAAAGATGAATTAATTAATGTCTAATTTATAGTTTATATAACATTTCAGGCCTGCAGAAAAACCTGCAATTTGCAGATTTAGCTCTTGCATAATGTATGTTTAATAATCCATAAACAGAATCATTTCCATTATTTATCATTCAAAGATTCAAAGCAAAAGTAGGTACCAGAATCCATAAGTGTCTTCTCTCTAATTAGACTAGTTGGGTATTCCACTAGCGTTCCTAATAATTTAATCGACAGGCTGGTGGTTAGTGTTCACACAATAAACTTATTTAAAGTTGTTGGAAAATAATTCAGTTGATTAAAATTTCGAACTGTTTTATTATTATGCGAACCGAAAGAATCACTCCATCATAACGTTATGCTGTCCTGTTTCAGTAATTAACAGTACACGGTCTTTGGGATTAATGAATAACAGGTAGAGCAAATACAGCTTCAGGATGAAAGGCAAATTATTAGAAGAAACCGGAGAAGGCAATTAGTTACAAAAGTTAACTTTCAACACAAGGGAAAATATTAATGTTATGATGAGTTTCACATAAAACTGTAGAAAGTTGAGAATCAATTCATCATCTTTGGTATTGTTGATCAAGGCATTTGAATTCTGTTAAAGGTCAATGAACATGGAAACACAAAATTTGTTAATAAAACAATAAACTTCAACAACATGCAAAACAAACCAATATTATCAATGTTAAAACAGATGTTAACAAAAACGAGTGTAAGATGACAATAATTCGCATGTTTATGATAAAACTCATTTATAATCACTTAACAGCACAAGTTCTTCGTAGTTAAATAGTTTACACTTAAATACAATTTTTCATCAGATACTTTCGTTTCGTCATCAAGTGCGTAAAATGTTCACCCTCATAAACCAAAATAGGATGTTTGTGTAGCGTATTATCGTTTACTCAAGTTAAATGTGCATGATATTTAAATTGAACAGAAATGAAGTTCTTTAGTTTAAGTGAGAAGGTAATAAAAACATATTTGCATGCCAACATGATAAGCTACGCCATTCTGTGAATTCCTGTCTATAATTATCCTGTGCTTAGGTGATTAAGGTGTTAAAACATTCATTAACAAATTTGGAAAGAAATCATGCTTCAATTACTTTCTGGAAATTGTACAATAATTGGACCCTTCTTATCTAGTTCATTTGATATTCTTGAGGGATCTGCAAAAGAAACGTCCAGTAATGGTTTATGTAACTGAGAACTTTCTGAAAGACGGAGAAACCAACTTATTGTTGTGGAAATCTTGATCTCGTAACTGCAATAGTTGGACATGTGTGATGATTTAATGTAACCGCATGACTTGCAATCAAGTATGATGTAACTGATCCTATTTTCTCTTTTTTCCTTAGATAAACACTGCAAAAAACTATAAAGTTGAATTACTAGCTCAATTCTTCAACTCTTAAATTCTACCTGATCTGCATAAGAACTTTTAAAGGGAGGGTATCATGGCCAAACTAAATACATTTTGAGTTGCTGCAAATATACTTTGATATATACTTTTTATTATAATAAATGACTATACTAATATATACTGTGATAAAATAGTATGCGTATATGTATACTTACTAATACATGGTGCGATGGGAGATTTACTTTGTTGATAACCTTTGGAACATCGGTTACAGGTCAATCCAGTTACCCCATCTTTGCACGGACACTGTCCAGTGGTTTGGTTACATGTTTTACCTAAAGCTCCAACAGGATGACAGTCACACGCTGAAAATAATAAAAACGGGTTTCTTTGATTATACAGAAAATATATATATTATTTTTCATATCTTAAAACAAACATTCTGATTTATCAAAAATTTTCTTACATGTACATGCAATTAATGAAATCTATTGAAAGTATATCGCGAAATAACTTATTCTTAGTAATTAAAACGTTTTTTTTCCACAGTGCAAATTTCGTGATCATGCAAAATATCCACCCATGGCTATTGCACGCTTAAACTTATAAAAACATTAATATTTGCACAAAATAATATCGCTCACAATATTGGCGTCTTAATATCTGAATGAATTTTCAAATGTATGAAAAGATAACTCCATACAAAATACATTAAATGTGGGTGTACAATAAATCGCTGGATACGACGGCCTTTGATCAGAATGTTAAAAAAAAAATTTCCAGAGCACTCCACCTTCTAGTATAAAAAAATTAAGTTAAGAACCAATGTCGTTACCAGGATACTTGTATCACAATAAAATCAAAACAAACAATATTTAAAACAGGGCGGGGAGAACCTCCAACAGAGTTCCTGATATCCAATATAAATATAGCCGTATCGCGTTTCCGTAGACAAATTTGCACGGATAAAAATACGAAGAAATTTCATCTCCAAAATAACAAAGTAGAATAATAAAGGAGAAGATAGAGATATAACCAGAATACATTTTAAACATACAACACGAAACTAATCATAACATTTACATCTGGTATCAAATAAAACTCAGAGAGAATGAAGCAATAGACGCTATCGTCACAGCTTTTACTCGATGACGCTATAGATGGGGAACATTAACAATGGAACTTACACAGACCGAACAGCCTAACCCGACCCGGTAGACCTAACCTGACCAGACACACTTCATCAGTTGTACATTGAACTAACAGTCCATAGTTATTAGCAACAGAGTTACTAAAGATTTACGTTTGAGAGGAATTTACTTTTTGAGAGGTGTTACCTTTCCATTCCTTGACGTTATACAGACCGAACAGCCTAACCCGACCAGACAGACCTAACCTGACCAGACACACTTCATCAATTGTACATTGAACTAACAGTCGATAGTTATTAGCAAAAGAGTTACTAAAGATTCACGTTTGAGAGGGATTTACTTTTTGAGAGGTGTTACCGTTCCATTTCTTGACGTAAATTGTACGGGTCGTATGTGGTATCTCTTGGAATCTCTTATTAACTTTAAATGCCATTTTAATTTATCTGCCAATTACGTTACAGACTATTTATAGTATGCATTTTCACTATCACAGATAATCAGAAATATTTGCCATTTTTTTAACATTTAAACTTCTTTAAGCAAAAGTGGCTTTTATTAAAGAATCATTTCGGTAGAAATCTGTTAATGAAATAAAACATCAACTGCCATTGGAAAGGGGGTGGGGGGTATTACAATTATATTTAAATGTTTTCCTGAAGGGAGTTATCGGTGTTGACGTGGTGTAGACAAACCATTAACTACTGGTTTCACAATAACAATGGAATAAATGGGAGGGTGGTGGCTTCTATAACATTATCAGTGATGATATAAAATGGTCTATGGGTACCTCAATGACGTTAAAACAACTCGAAGTAAATTGGGAGCACCAGACTTAATCTTTGTAGGTGTAATATTTTCACCACTATTTCCAGACCATCGAAACATATCGTCAATGAAGATAAGACATTAGGTGTGGGTACAGAAGTAATCGCTTCACAAAAGCACTTAACCTGATAAAGTATTGAAGCTAGCGAGCAGGGAACTTTATTGGCAGCATTTTATATAGGTTCGCTTTGATGTGCACTGCGGTGGTAGTACTTCTAAATAATACGATCTGCTCTGCAGATAAACTAACATATATCATTGCCGTAGAACAAAATAAAATTTAAATTCGGCTTCTGTAACTATTATAAAATGTGGAGAGTAAATTTAAATGAAGCATTAAATTCGTTCAACTATCATTATTCTATATTTAACGCTCTGTCATGTCGATCTTTACTGATTGCATCCAAGATTGTAAGAAAGAGCACAAAATAAAAAGTTTCAATGGATTATTTTAGACCATGTTCACTATTTATGTATATTCAGATATAGCAGACAACTTTTATCAAATTCAGAAAACTATATGATACACAGACGTAGCATTGATCGACCTTGTACTATTTAAATCTATTTGGATTTACATTCTAATACTGGGGCATTTCCCATGGTTATTATTTTCAAAAGTCAAAACAGAATTGAGTTTCTTTTGGGTACGGATTTTCCCAACGAGACCCCAGTAGCAATATTCATTGAAAACTAGACACACATGCAGACTATTAGAATAGTTATGGATACTTTTGTGTGTTTGGACTTGATTCAGACCGTGAAAATGAGTATACTGCATCATGTCATCTTGATAAGTGGCCTTATTAGATTTACATTTCGTTATGTTCCAATTAAATAATATATTGATAAACCTCGCTGAAGTGACATTTATAATAACGGGGCTTTATGTAATCATTAGTACTGACTAGGATTTTATTTTGCTTATTTTGACCTACATTGTCCATGATTATGATCATATTGATATACTCATCATAACATGTTTATTAATAAACAAAACAATTTGTCAGATTGTTTTAGCTATCCATCCAATGAAGTCTGAGAATTGCAAAATACAATGGGGTTTACCTTCTTTACCGGGATAACGAAAACGGGCGTATGAGGATAATTTCGCCCGGAGAGCGGTGCTACGGCCTTCTCTTATTTCGTTTTCGGTGGCCTTACTTTCCTTCTGATATGGTTTGTCATTTTTAGTTCGGCAGGCCAGCACCGGATATTGCATCCGAATATACGCATAATCAGTAGCCTATTTAGAAGGACGATTTTGGAGGTTTTATATGCAAAAGTACAACAAAAATGATATATTTGGTTCAAAACGAAAGAATTGAATGGCAAAAGTATAATACCCATACATGACTGCATCTTGTTCACATACATTGTATATTCAAGCTTTATAATAATATAGCATGGATTTTATTTGTGTAGATTTATTCAAGATGTTACAATAACTAGTCTAGAATAAGTGTTGTGTATACATAGAAAATTGATATTGTCTTAATACACTGGTTCAAGGGTCAATACATGCCCACTAGGTTGCTTTAAATATGACCTACCGGGATGTTTCAAGAGCATGTTCCCCACTAATCCGACATCGGTAAAACAAAAATGTGCCTACTTCTCTCTATTTGGACCTACAGTGTTGTTTCGATCTCCAATAACAAAACGCGTTGGGGTGTTTCGGGATCATCTTATTGATGAGATAAGGTTAACTGCTACAATATAGTGCAAAAGACCCCCATTCAATGTATTCAAGATGTTAAACTCAAACGATATATACATTGGACACCCCGATTGGAATAATTTGAAGGTAGTTGCCATATGCCACAGAAGACTCACTAGCGAGAACCTGCTTCGTAATCCGCTTATATAAAAAAACAAACGTGAAATTAAAGATTTGGGATGTTTCAAAAGGAGTCAACCTACTAAGGAAGGAACCAATATTAATGGGCACTTGGGCTAAATTCTATATTTATTTGACGTCATATTTCAGGGCCATGGTGGCACTGGCTCACTAACCAGGTTCGATCCGAGAAAATAATGGGAATTGTCCAGTCTGGTGTCCAATGGTCAGCGGGGCAGCATGGATGGTCTAACAAAGAACGTGTCTAGTCATTCGGATTACACGAAAAAATAAGGTTCACCTGTGTACGCATTGGCGTGTACGTAAAGCAACAAAATGAGCCTATACGGTAAGGTGTGAGGACACTAACCTACATGTAAATATGTTTATTATTAAAGTTGAATAAATGATATACACGATGGACATGCTCTTATCATAAGATTGCACTCAAAGTTTATGAAAATAAGATATGTACTTGTAATATGATATAAAGGTAAAGGCCAATTATACGCATAAATATTTGACATAGTATATTGTTAAATCACGTTCTAGTACGTCTGTATCATATTCAATATATTCACCTTCAAAGAAATAGGGGAGAAGGATTTATGTTATGACGATTCGAAAAGATGAAAATAATTCACAGTTAGGTTTATCGAGGTTACAACCTTTGATGTTGATATGCATTGAAAAAAATCAAATATATAAATACAGACGTCGGATATTGCATGTGATATACATTATCATTAGCAATCTGCATTTAAATAATTCACATATGTGTAGAATTACTTAGGAGTAAAATTGAGTTCTCAGAGAATACCCTCGAGGTCGTGGACTGAGCAGACAACCCTACTCCTTGTCACGTACAAGCATGGGGTCCCATTCACACATTTAAAGAGCACGCATTAGACCACGCGGCCACCCAACCTTCTACAAAAAAGTACAAATACCCAGATCAGATTAAAAGCATCTTGTTACTGGCTAACAAGAACAGTATCACATATTATTCTGCGTCATTGTATGCTTAACGAAGTAACCCATTGACAAAATGACTTGAGACATAAAGTGCCCCTCCCTGGGTGTAAGTAAATGAATAGCAATAATCGGCATATAAATCTCTCTACACCCCCCCCCCCCCCTGCACTCGACGCAGTAGTAATACGCGAGTCTTATCAGTCTGAAAAAAACATCTTATAAAAACTTTAACCCATAATTTCTCATAATTAACATGACCTTTGATTTGGTATGTTAATTACCGTGCCTCCGTTGACACAATTTGGCTCGCTGTATAAAAAGATGGCGTAAGAATACAACAAATGATAGAATATGACGTTTTAGCGTTAATAGAAAGGGGGATAAATAGAAGAGCAATAGAACGAGCCGTGACATGTTTATAAACTCCACCTTATTTTTAATCTAGATGCAAACTATAAATCAATAACCTGAACCGTTTTGGTGTTCTGGTTCTGAAATTACACAGCTTTTGGCTTGCCCTGCTGAACGTTCACGCAAAATATGCGACATGCTTACGTCCAGATCAGAAGATGTGTTGCCAGGCAACGAAACATACGCCCACAGCAGCTAAATCATCCGGGCAGTCAACATGTGTTGTCGCATATTTTTACCTTTTTCGGTAATGAAACATTTATAATACACTAAAATCTGATTAAGAGTAACAACTCATGAAATAATTATCAGAAAACCATTAGAATTTGGTTTTTATCAAGTTTTGTCCCATGCTAACGTTTAGTATACGAAACTTTTAATATCATGGATTTAGCTGTTCAAGTCATACAAATTCATTGAAAATCAATAGGCTCCTTCGTCTCATGACCTTAAACATTGTGTATCAATCAGATATTAACTTTAGCCTTTAGAGCGTCCACAAGATTTTTCAAAGTGATCAAGGGCCATAACTCTGGCAGTAATCATCGGAAATCACTGAAAATCAATAGGCGTCTTCGTCTCGTGGCCATAAACACTGTATATAAATTTAAAGTCAGTCGGATATTAACTTTAGCCTCTAGAGCTTGTGGACGCCGGACCGACGGACGGACGGACGGACGGACGGGGGCGACGACAATATACGACCGCATTTTAATGTGGGCGTATAAAAATGCTCTTTGCATGCCTGCATATAAGTCAACTTAACAATTCTGAGCAAAAATTTAGTTCAGGCATAAATGCTTAATGGTCTTCGAGTCTAGTAGGTTACATATTTTTGCCTATATTATTTTTTGGTTTTAAAATGTTTCAGTTCAGATTAGTGACACAGAGCTGGGGTCATTGAAGTTTACAAAGAAAACATGTATTTTTCTTGCACAAAATCTGAATTATCGCTTTTGATTCATCTTAAACCGTATCTCGCCATTGATAGCACAGTTTATACTCACATAAGAGCGCCAAAATAACTTAAGTCTTTTCGTAATAGCTCATCGGTGTCAACAATCATTATTTGGTTGCTAAATAAAATATGGACTGTAAAGATTGTATCTCAGACTCCCTTCAAACGTGATGAAACACACACCAACACATGTGGAGGGATGTCATTCGTAACTGTCATTTTTACTAGCTGATGATAACCTTATCAATGGCAGTCGTGCAGATCTACCTGAAGTGAATTCGTCTTATTTGTATATGTACATTTTAAAAATACAAATGGTGCCAAGTAGGTCAAGCCGAAAGGGGAGATAATCTTATCTCTGACGTATTTAGCTCGACGTCTGCTGTTTTTCTACGTAAACTAGATGCATGCACATTTAATATATTATATTAACTAGGTTGATTAAGTGGTAAAAGTATACAATATTGACACCAGCAAAGATAAAACAATTTCCTCTTTGAGATGTTTCAAGCAATAGATGTCAAATTAGACTACATGTATCTTCTATCACGTTCTGTATATCAGAGAAACAAACTGACGGTATCTTTGATCATGCTATCAACAGAGATTAAGATAAAGATCTTGATAATGAAAAGTAAGAATCCTATTCCCATACAAAATGACAAAATATATATAAACTAGAAAATCTGCTAAGGAAGCGATATAATAACAATTATCTTCAAAAAAGATAATTTTAAAAACAAGTACGAGGACAGGATACTATAGATTAGGAACTGAGCATGACGGAAACGTCGCCATTTGGAACATCATATCCAAAATCGAAGTCAATCAATTGGTTCGCAATTGTCCAAGGAACACGATGGTTCTTGAATTGTTGTAGACTTTAAACTATGTTCGAAGAAAAAAACCAAGAAAAGGAGTAGTCTTCATTACACCCCCCCCCCCCAAACTCCCCAAAAAACAACAAAAAAAACCCCCAAAGAATTAGACATAGAGTTGCCAAAGAACACAGAATTCGGCTACCAGCAACTGTGTTGAACGTGTCGTTTTTGAAATAGGTCATGGGGCGCAAGATCATCATATAATGCAGTTAAATCACGGGGAAAAATATCTTAAATATCCGCAACAGTGGTTAGGAAATTATATTTCGGGGCCAATATTTCCGCAATAAAAATCTGTTCAGATCTCGACCGGGTTCCACATTAGGCCTTACGTCTAATTAAACAATTCCAGCAGAATCTATCCTCAAGACTATCCGAGCAATGCCAGATTATTTTGGGGGGGGGGGGGGTAGGGAGGGGGTTAAAAGCAAAAGTTAAGAAAGGTAATTACTTTTACAGTGTTTACAAGACTTGTGGACAGACAAATGGATATTCAGAAAAAGGAGTTCAGTAAGACCAAAAGATCTATGGAAGACCAAAGATGTAATCTAATTAAATTCTACCATTCATAACTAAATATGTATAACTAACTAACATAAACATATAAGAAAATAAATAAACCATGTTTGCCAAAATAATAAGAAATGTTAAAATGTCTACAGCATTCCGACTAGCCAGAATCTATGAAAGGTCTAAAAGAAAATAGTCATAGACAAGAGATCTAATCTGTAAAAAAAGCCCAGGCCAGAATATTGATATTATTCTGCCTACCTTTGCAGGCTCGACGATCGGTGATGTGTCGGTCTGGATCCCGATAGTGACCTTCTTCACAATAGTGGCAATGCCTGCCTTTCGTATTGTGCTTACAATTTAAACAGACCCCGCCACTTCTATGTCCTGATAGTATGAAGAGTTCTCGATTAAATCGGCAGCGACGTGCATGCAAGTTACAATTACAGGCTGAAAATGAAACGAAACGAATATAGCATCACATATCACAACATTAAGCCTACCTTTACAAGCTTTCCTGTGAGTAATGGGCTTGCTGCGATCTCTATAATATCCCTCTTTACAATAATTGCAACTCCTGCCAGCAGTATTGTGACGACATTTTAAACATACTCCTCCGCTTTTGAAGCCCGATAAAGTATATAATTCCATATTGAAGCGACATTGGCGAGCATGGAGATTGCAATTACAAGCTGTAAAAAATATCATCTGACATATTAAAGGTACATTACCAAAATATGATATTAATACATAATTGATAATTGAATATATACACATTAACAAAGGAGATTGAATAAAATAAATAAAGGAATTAAAAAATAAAGAAATAAAGAAATAAATAAATGAATAAATGAATGAATGAATGAATGAAAATAACTGTTCGAAACGGTTTGTTATAGTTAACTTGACATGTATATTTTCCAAAAATGCTTGTGCTGCATACGATGCATGTTTTAGAGACTTGCTCTATTTAGACATTATTATGACATCTGAGTGAAAACATGTTGTATCGAGTTCTAAACATTACCAGAATTGTATAATGTTAATTCTTTGGTTTTGAAAAATTTCTTTTTTAAACTGTGAAAAAAGATCAGGATTGTTGTTTATTCGTTTCGATTTTTTTGATAAGGATTGATATATGTCAGATGAAAAGCTTGCACTGAAAATATTATTGTTTGTAAAGTAAACCTATTTTCTCACATTTTTGACACGGTTTATTCTTTTTGTTTACGCAATCGATATTTTCATCGTTTTTTGTGAAATATTCACGAGTTTTTCCTAAAGAGATATATATTTCATTGTAACAACTTGGGAGAAAGAAATGTCATCGCAAAATTTTGATGACAATGAAATAATGTTAAATATCCTGGTGTATTTTATTCATTTTGATACTTAAGGATAATGTATATATTCTCTCCTTACAATAGCACAGATCTTAATGAAGGTAGTGCTTTTCACGTTTTTGTTTGTCTGGGGTAGGGTGGGATGATGGGGTAGGTGGGCGGTCATGTCGTAGAAAATTGATAACAAACTGCTAACGTATAAACATTAGATGTCAATGAAGTGCCAAATTATGTCGTTAGGGATATAAAATAGAACGAAATACTTTTCTTTCTTTCTTTACCACATATTTGTACTAAGCGACGCGCAATCTGTCAGTGTAGACACATTGCCCATTGAACACCCAATAACACACAAGAATATAAAAATCACGGTGTTTAATATCTCTTTAACATATCTACTCCGAACATATAAATAGCTTGGCTAAACTTACCAGGCATTTATCGCCCTACATGTCGCGCTTATAAAATCTATCAAATGGATATACAATAAGCAACTTTCAATAGCGACGTTTATACCCGAGTCTTGTAAATCCCTTTTACAATATATAAATGAAGGCTTTCTACGTGTGTTATATCTGAGGTTGAATATAATGTAAAAATAGGGGGTCATTTATCAAACCGACTGAGCTAAATTAGAATATTGCTTTGCTGTCAAACAGTTTAGATTGAATAGATCTCGATTCAAATAAAGGTAACAATTATTTGCTTATATTCTTTTATAACTTTACACGCGATTATTTGCTTATGTCGTTTATTTGCCAAATTTAATATTTAGCTGTTCTTTGATAACTTGACTGATACTTGAACAAGGGTAATTAATACAATATTTATATATGCTAGAGCATGAAGAAGTACAAAACTACATTTAAAAATTGATACTATTATATTAAGACGTATATTTAGTAGCCCGTCACACCACACACACACACCTGTGTACATAAATAAATAAATGTATATACTACTTTACTTATGTCTTTATTAGTTTATTTAAATTTATACCTATATGGCATACATGTATATATTCATAGCATGATTGTTATAGTACACAAATATGTATATTATTATTAACTATATTATGTATATAAACAATTAAACCATTAATTTCTGTCAAGCTTTTTTTTTACCTATATATAACTACTTTATAATGTATATATATATATATATACATTATAACGCCTGAAAATTCTTTCTATGGACAGACAGCTAGCTTATGATTTGATATATTAAAAGATAGGTTGTCAGGCAACGAAACATGCGCCGACAGCCGCCCCGTCGCCCGAACAGTCCATAAAGGTTGTCACAGTTTATGTTTTTATTGGTAATAGGAGCATTTATAAGACACAACAAACTTAGGAAAGATCGTTTTTTATAATCAGCATCAAGTAGATCATCAAGTTGATCTTGATTTAAAAAAAAAACATTCTTAATTTTGTTAGTAGTAGATCTAAAATGAGTTGGGGTTGGTGGAAACTGGGTGTGAATTGCGTTTTGGTTAATAGATGTTGTTAACCGCTGTAATATAATTTGATTATTTTCGTAAATATCCCATTGAAACGAAATCCTAACGAAATCCATATATTTATATAGATTGTATATTGAGTGTGTTTGTGTGTGTGTGTGTGGGGGGGGGGGGGGGTCCACAGAATAATTTAGAAACTAATGTGGGTGTATAAAAATCGATCAAGGATTATAACTTAAATATCAAAAAATTGTCTCATGACCATAAACACTGTATATCAATTACAAATCAATCGAATGATAACTTTTGCATAACTTTCAAGTCAATCAAATAATAACTTGAGCCTCTAGAGCATCAACAAGATTTATCATATTGATCAAGGGCCATAACTTTTGACATTAATTATAAGAAAATTTTTGAAAATTAATAGGCTTCCTTTACCCATGACTATAGATAATCTGTATAAATTTAAAGTTAATCGGGTGATAACTTTCGCCTCTGGAGCGTCCACAAGAGGGCCATAACCCAGGCAGTAGTTATCGGAAATGGCTGAAAATCAGCAGGCTTCTTTGTATCTAGAGTGCCCACAAGAGTTTCAAAGTGAGCAAGGGCCATAACTCAGGCAGTAATTATCAATAGGCTTCTCCGTCTCATGACCATAAACACTGTGTATAAATTTGAAGTTTGTAGAAATATTTCAGTGCGATATGCTCATGTAGAATTTGGTTAAAAGGTTGCTAGGGTTGTGTTTAGAAATACACTTTGTTGATAAAACTTATTTTGAATGTTCATTAGGGTAGTAGATATAATGATACTTTTGATAACCTCTTCAATTAACGCCTATCCCGATGCACCTGGTGCTTTATTATCATCATTTAGTTATTTGGATAATGTTTTGCATATGGTGGTCTAAATATCTAGGACTTCTAACGTAACGCTTGCCAGATTTTTTATATGTTCTATTAAAGCACAACATCGAATGAGCCGCGTTATATGCGATTGTCATTCTTGATGCCTCAATTATCGGGTATTTGGCAGGCAACCGACCCGTTTGAGGAAAGGATAGATGTACATTTCTGAGAAGTTTAAAGGCATTTGGGAAAGAAAACGTCTGAATTGTGATAAGATCAAACCAAGACTAGAAATTAATCAATCAATTTAAACAGAATGCTATCAGGATTAAACTTTAGAAAGATTTACAGAGCAGCAATTGTTAGAAGAATTTCTGTGGGTTTTTTTTATTTGCCTCCTACATTGAACATCAAACACACTTACTTGAAAGATTCTATAGTATTGATGTGCATAATGTTTTAAACTAATGCACTTTTGTTTTCAGAGAAAACTAATAAGATACTGAAAATCAATATACTTCTCTGGAAAGACGAAATGTTTGTACAGAATATGGACAGCTCTTCATTTCTTTTTGGTCATTTATTCACCTTTATAATGCATACATTAAAACAAAAGTTCCATTACAAACAATTTGATGAGTTTTATCCTTTTGAAATCACCTTGGTTCCAGAATAACTATTTTTCGTAAACTAAGAATTACCAGGAATTGACCGAACGCTGGTATATAGACAGAGATTTATTGATATTCCCGAAAAAGGAGAAGCAACCTATATTTCAAATAAAATCACAATCCTACTTCTATCCAAAATATTTGGTACTTAATCATTAGAATTTGTTTCGAAGTCGGACATTAGAGCATTTTTATTTCTTTTAGAAAATATTCCAGAAAATAGAAGAGACAACGGGTGTCAAATAAAATCACAAATCTATGTCTACTCAAAATATTTGGTATCTATTAGCATTTGATAGCATCTATTCCTTTCGATTTATATATACAGTTGTCTTCATAAACTATATATGCCCAGTTATAAAGCTATAACTACTTACAAGTCTTTAAAATAATGTTCGAGTGTCTAATAACGTTGGTTCTTTTTGCCATTTGTTTAAGTATGAGTGATGTCTTATGTCTTCGTTTCCAGGGTTTAGACGATGGCAACAATGCGGTGGGCCATTAACGCCATTTTTTACTGCCATCAAGATAGTCTCAGAAAACAGGTGTGAACTGTATATCATATATTAGCTAACAATCATGCTATATATTCATCAGTAGGTAATAAAGTGAAAGTGCGATCTGAAATTTATAGTAAATCTGAACTTTGTAGCAAATTATTTCCAAAGCTGTTTCATCGATCCATGAATTTGATAATAAATTCCTAATTTGCTAATGATCTGTATCATCCCATGCACGTATAAACGATTCATATTTCGTAATGATGATGTATTTGCTTTGTAGTAAAGTGGTAAAGGAGAACGATAAACCATACTGCTGAAATCTTTATTGCCAATTTGTTAAGCGTTGTGTTCATCACACGAATAGAATGGAAAGACATATAATTAAGCAATAAGGCGTTAAAACTGATGGTACCTCTATTTACTCGCATCCACAATAAAATTATCGCCAAAGAGACCTTTCTCTTTATGAAAACCACATTGTTTCGGAGGTAAACAGGTTTTTTGTGAACAATAAGAGTACTCTCAACGTAAACTAATTAATCATAAATCGTATTTTCAGATACGTACAATCGTTAGAAGCGTGAAAAGACATGCGAACCTTGGCTTAAACAGCTGGTTTATAC